GGTCGCCATGAGGTCGTCTATCAAGTCGATGCTAATGCTCCTGACTTTACAATAGAAACAACCCGGCTACGTTGCCATCAAATCCGTCGACCTGCACAAGCTTAACAAGAAACTAAAGGACAATCTATACTCGGAGATCCACATCTTGAAGAACTTGAAACATCCACACATCGTATCCCTTATGGATTGCCAAGAAACCACGGCCCATATACATCTCATCATGGAGTTTTGCGAGCTTGGGGACTTGTCCTACTTCATCAAGAAGAGAGACACACTGTCCCGTCATGATACCACCAGGGACATGATAAGAAAGTACCCCAATCCTGCAGCTGGTGGTCTGAACGAGGTCATAGTCCGACACTTCCTCAAGCAGCTAGCGAGTGCTCTGGAGTTCCTAAGGAAGGGAAACTTCATCCACCGTGATGTGAAGCCGCAGAACCTCCTTCTCGACCCATCGCCCCTTTTTTGTGCCAAATTCAAGCCCGAAGCCGTCCCAGATGCTGCTCACGACGAATCGAAGGTCCCTGCCGCTGGTATTGAATCTCTGCCTACCCTGAAGATTGCGGACTTTGGCTTCGCGCGGTCTCTACCTTCAACTTCTCTTGCAGAAACACTATGTGGATCGCCTCTATACATGGCACCCGAGATTCTAAGATACGAGAAATACGATGCAAAGGCAGATCTCTGGTCCGTTGGCACTGTCTTATACGAGATGATGGTGGGGAAGCCGCCTTTCAGAGCCTCAAACCACGTGGAATTGCTACGTAAGATTGAGCGGGGCGAGGACAGAATCAAATTTCCGGAAGAGGTGGCCTTGAGTGACAGTATGAGGAAGCTTATCCGGAGTCTTCTGAAGCGGAATCCGGTTGAGAGGACAAGCTTTGAGGATTTCTTCAGCAATACTGTGATCAAGGATGAGATCCCCGGATTGGCTGAGGAAGATCGACCAGCTCAGCTTCCCAAAGAGGACTTGGAACCAGTGGGAAAGGGAAAAGAAAAAGCATCAGAAGGGCCAATGGGAGAGGGTTCGGCGCCAAGAACCTCAAAAGTTGACGTGACTGGTAACGTGTCACAATCTCCAAGAAGAACGATCTCAGGCAGTCCACAAACCGTTGCGCTCAGGGCTGAGCCTGCAACTCATCGTCGATCATCTGGTACGCCACCACGAACCGCTACTGGCGATTTGCGAGAAAAGAGAAACAGTACTGAGGCTACTCGAGCAAACCCACCATCAAGAGAAGCTGCACACCAAGCTACGCGTCCAAGTATTATTTCTCATGCTACGGCACCAGCACGCCAAGACTTGCTTGCACATAATAGCAAAGCTGCTGCGCCCGCAGTCATGCAACAGCAACCAAGTCGGACATCTCTAGCCCCAAATTCTCCAAGGTCCGATGAGAGAGACCAGCAGCGCAAAGCGGCTTTGGAAGCTAAGGAGGCTCGAGATCGTGCAGCGCATGATGTAGCGTTCGAGCGAGACTACGTGGTGGTAGAAAAGCGAGCAGTTGAAGTCAATGCTTTCGCTGATGAGCTTGCCGCGAGCCCTAGAATCCACGGCACAACCCAAGCTCAGCAGGATTCAAATCGTGGCGCGATGGTGAGACGAGCCACTACTCAAGGAGCTCCTATTTCGGTCGCTGGCGCTCAAATCACACCGTCACGAGCCATGCAGCTGGCGTCTGGGAAAAGACCTGATCATCATCGACAGAATTCCTACGAAAGGAGGCTACAGAACATTCCTTCGGCTACTTCAGCCATCTCAAAAGCAATCAACATGGCTAGTGGCAGGCTTTTCAGTATGGGGTTCTCGCCTCCCTTGGGCATTGGTCGAGGCGGCCCTTCTCCTCCTTCTTACAGCCCCTTCCCCGCCTATCCTACGAGTCAAGGCGGCCCTCTCATGATTGGTGACGGTTCCAGAAGCCCAGCTCCCTTGGATGAAGATTCCAAAGCCGTTCAAGTAATCGAAGATTCTGCCACGAGAAGTGATGTCGTTTATGGATTCGCAGAGGTCAAGTACAAACAGCTAATTCCTCTGGAGCCATCGATGGATCGCGGATTGGGGTTGCATCAAGCAGGAATACCAGAAGGAAGCGAGGGCGGGAACAGTATAAGTGAAGATGATACCCTGACCGTCGATGCAATCGTTACTCTCTCGGAGGAGGCGTTAGTACTCTATGTCAAGGCATTGTCATTGCTCGCTCGGTCTATGGATATTGCGGGAGCTTGGTGGGCGCGAAAGAATCGTGGTGAGATAGTCGACGAATCGACATCGCCTCGGACCCATTCCAACACGGCAAATGCTGCAGCTATTGGTAACCGAGTTAACAACGTCGTCCAATGGGTTCGAGATCGATTCAATCAGGTCCTTGTCAAGGCCGAAGTTGTACGTCTGAAGCTGATCGAGGCCCAAAAGCAGCTCCCCGCAGATCACCCAAGCCACCCCGGCAATCATCCCTCTGCTTCAGATCCTGCGAACATGGGCACATCCGCGGACAATGTCATAGTGACTTCTGGCGTGACGGCTGAGACGCTCATGTATGATCGCGCGCTGGAGATGAGCAAGTCGGCCGCGGTCAATGAGCTGGTGGGAGATGATCTCTGGGGCTGTGAGATGAACTATGTCACGGCAATAATGCTTCTAGAGGCCGTTCTTGAGGATGACGAGGGGCCGTTTTCGAAGAAAACTGCTACGGACAAGGATGCCAAGGGCTCAAGCACGGAAGAAGAGGTCGTGAACGGAGTGGAAGCGGAGGACCGGAAGGTCGTACTCAAACGTAAATAGCATGCCCTCAAGAAGCTCTCGATGCAATTTTAGCTGACAAGCGCATACAGTCGTTCAGGGCATCCGCTCACGCCTCGCTGCTCTTCGCAAGAAGATGCAGATCATAGCAAGGCGCAATAGCGTCCCGAATGCCACGCCACCTCGTTCGAAATCCCCAGTCGTCGCTGCCACCGCTACGACACCGGCAATTGCTACCACTCCACCTCGATAGCTCATCATATCCGCCCTCTCTGCTTCACATGCAGATTCCTTCGAACTTTGTACAACAAATCAAACATAGTCTTTCCAGCACCGCTAAACGTCATCTTTTGCTCGGAACTACCTTCATTCTAGCAATCGAAAATCATGGTCGCATCCAATAAGAGCGCGGTGTTTCGTCTCACATCAAGCATTTTTAGCGAGGGCTGCGAGGCATACTAACCTTCTTCCTGTCACAATGACATGCATTACGAACCTCTATTCTCATTCGTGTGGACCTTGGAGATCTGGCGCTGCATAAGAGGTGGCATTAACAAAGGCGTTGGATGAAGGGAAGGAATGCTGGTCACACTGGCGTTGAAAGTTCCTCCTTGAGTTTCGAAGGGTCGTTGGGGAAGGCGAAGACTGTATTTAGATACCCCGACCCGTAAATACAGATGATTTTGAACCTCGGGTCTGTCCACTTATGTTCCTATAGTAACCGAATGATCTCAAACTATACAGCCAGCTTATTCAGCCTCCCCGGCCGAAGATGCCGAAGCCTTGAGTCTGGATGGAATGTATGATCCAAGTGAGAAACTCCCCACAAGTATCTCGAACAAGGCTTCAGCGAGACTATGACACTGCAAGCAGGGGCATCGCCACTTCGGATCCGAAACGAACGCACAGCGGCTTTGCGGATGGGGAAAGCCTCCGCAAAAAGCAGGCAGCCCATTTCTTGTCACTGCGACGCACATCCACTCCGTACGGACGAAAGACGGAAGGACCCATGGCCCAGCTCGAGAAGAAGTGGGGAATCGAACCCTGCAATTTCAAAGGTGGATGTCCCCTCCTACCATCGCCCATACCGGTCGACCATCTGTATCATCCTTCCGTGTGCAACGGTCGAGTGTGTATACAACCCCAGCGCTTTGTCGCATTTTCCGGTTCAGACATCAACCGGTCGCAGCCGCCACCCACGGTGGAAGGAACCAAAAGTATTCGCAGAGGACGAATCCTTCGAGGCACAAGTGTGGCTGAGGGGACATCCATCACTCACATCGAGCTCGCGCGATCATGGGAGGGAGGACCGACGTGGTCCACGGCCGAAAAGCGACGGGATGGGCCAGTGTCACTTGTTCGGGCCGCAACGGCTCCGTGAAAGCCGTACTACCCCTGTTTTTCTTAATCATTGGGAAATTAAAAAAAAAAAAATCTGCGATTTTGGCACCCCCCGATAATCAAATATCAAAAATTTGAATTTCCTATATAACCTCACCACTACTCGTTTTTACAGTCTAAAAACTTTACGAAATCTACTCACTATATTAAATAATCTACTCTTAAATTTAGAAAGATTTTAATCCTAATCTTATAAGTGAAATGTAAAAAGCGAGAATATATCGCGAACTTCAAAAATTTACCTCGGCTATTTTTTTACCGCCAAGATTATCTCGAGAAAATCTAAGAATTTATTAAATTTTTATTCTATAATAGAACGAATGATTAAGATCTTTTATAATTTGATATTCTTAATCTCTCGTATAATTATTAAAATCTATAAAGTTTTTAGAGCGTTATAAGTTATCGTTGTGAGGCTATTCAAGAAAAGCACTTTTTTTGTTTTTTAGATGGGGGTGCTAAAATCGCGATTCTAGTTTCCCAATGATTAAGAAAATAGGGGTAGTACATACGCGTCCTCGTGGACTCGTGAAAACCCTGGAGGCTGGAGCGACGATAAAGTTAGTACGCAGGATTCGAACCTGAACGGTGAGTCCAGCCTTCGCGCCGTTCATATAGTCTCGTCTGCGCCCTCCGCTCCTCTGCGATGCTCCACTGCGAAAAGAATCATCGCGTCTGCGTGGGAGATGGCCTCTCCGTCTCGTCTCGTTTCGTCTTCGCTCTCTGCAATCCTTGCGAATGTGATGGTCACGTCGACGGCGCGGACATGATATTTTCCCCAAATGGAAAGGAAATCCCCTCGTGACAACCCCCTGCCGTGCGCCTACCGCTGACCAGGAAAGCGCATGCTGTTACGCAGATGACATCTGCCTCGATAACCATCTTTGTCTGCCACAGGTACTAGTACATATTTCCAAAAATGAATCTCTCCTACTCAGAACCAAAATTCAAAAACGAGATATCTCGAGCGCCGGTAGCACTCTTTTACTTTCTAGACTTGGTCTTCAGACTCGACCTTCTATCCTAAAAGGAAACACCGACTCCGAAATCTTTAACAGCTCACGGAATCAACCGTCATCTCCAGAGGAAGCTGCACAGATCACGCGTGGCAAAGTGACGGCTGCGCCAAATACCGTCAGGATGGTGAGTCCAACCGCCTCCACAAGCTCAGAACACGACACCACCTCGACCGACAATGCCACCATCCAAGTCAACAGCGCTGACGGGATCGGATCGTTCCCGTTCTCGCCGACCGAATCCTGCCGCAACGCCGTCAACTTTACCGGCGGCGCCGGCGACGTCGCCACCCAAGGCAGCAGCTCTCCGTTCGCGATCTCGGGTCGGATCGGTGATCGACAACCGCACACCGGGCCCGACGGCACCGAACGATACCAGCGGCCGCCGCTACCACCGTCAGCACCAGCACCCTGACAGCCACCGCCACCGCCGCCGCCTCGGCCAGCGCGGCGGCGGGCTCGAAGGATCGGGCGGCGACAGGTGCTGGTGTGGGGGGTGCCCTTGGGTCTAGCGTCGCTGGGAGCTTCGGCCATGCTGTGGAGGCAACGGCGGCGCGCGCGGGGGTTGGGGATGAAGGCGGAGGCTTGGGGGAAGAGATGTGATGCTTTGGCGAGGATGAAGGGGTTGGGTTGTCGGGAAGATCATGCCCTGGGCCATGGCAACTGCCTGAAAACGCAAGGATTGAGGAGCTGGATGGTGCACGTGCTCAGGATGTCCATGAGATGGCGGGGTGGAAGGGGAGGCCGAGATGATGATGCCGAGCATCGATGTGTCTGCTTGCGGAATGTCCGTCGCGAGGACTTTGAGAGATGGCCGGAAGACGGCTGCAGCTGGAACGGAAGAGGGACCGAAGCCTCGACATCCTGCTTCGGCCGATTGGTCAGGAGGAGGGACAACCTGATCACGATTCGGCATCTGCTCGGGAAATCGCTCCGGGACCTACTGAATTCGACACGATGCTCGGCTACTGTTTACTGAGCCTTGAGGTACATCTCGGAGCAAGGTAGAAGCGACCTTGGCACTCGGTCGGGAAGATGGCAATTGAACGAATGGGGTCTGTAGTACGGCGGACGACGGCTGACACTACGACAAAACCAAAAAAAATCTCTTTTCGTTTTTTCTTCGTGATTTCCAGTAACTCTCTTCAAAATATTTTTTCTAGAATATTCTCAACTCTTCGAGAGGTACTTTTTGAGGCACTCTTTAGGGGCTACTCTCCGGGGTACTCTCCGGGGTACTCTTCGGGGTACTCTCCGGGGTACTCTCCGGGTATTCTTCCGGGTACTCTTCGAGGTACTCTCCGGGGTACTCTCTCGGGTACTCTTCCGGGTACTCTTCCGGGTACTCTTCCGGGTACTCTTCCGGGTACTTACGTTTTATGAAGTTCTTCGCAAAAAAAAAAAAAAAAAAAAAAAATTTACGGGACTTTCCGCGGGACTTCCCGCGAATTTTTAATTTTTAATTTTTTTCTACTTTTTTGAGTGATTCCTCGAGTAACCCTCTAAGTACTCTCTAAAATATCCTCCTCGAGTACCTCCGAAAGTATACCTTTGAATAATCTCTTAAATCCTTCTCGAGTACCCCATAAAGAATCCCTTAAAGTATTTCTCTAAAATATTTCTTTAGAAAATCTCTTTAAATAATTTTTCAAAGTCGCGGGAAGAAAAAAAATTGAAGAAAAAATTGATTTTGGTTTTGTCGTAGTGTCAGCCGTCGTCCGCCGTACTGTAGTTGCCCAGAAGCGCCGCTCCGCATCCGCTTGGGGACTCTTTCCACGAGTTGGTAGGACTCGACGCATTGGAGAGATTTCGCGCATTGGCATCTCGAGCAATCACTTCTGACCAGCGTGGACGTGACAGCCTCGCCTGTCTTAACACAAGTAGCTCACGGGGCCAGATATAAATGTGTTGAGTCTTTCGGTGACGGCGCTAAGCATCGACAACACTTTCTGTCCGCTGCTGACTCCGTTTGGATGACACATTCTCCAAATGATGACACAACAACACACTCTTTTCCAGGTTTTTGTCAAGGTCTTTACCAACCCCGTAAGCTTATCCCCATTCATCTTGCCAGAGAAAATCCTTGCGACCCAAGACAACGAACGGTCTCCGCTTCACCAGATTCTATTCCCTTCGGACCGTCACATTCAGCGACTCAACAGACGCAACCGTGGACGATCGGTCTTCGACCGTCTACTTGGATCCCGGGGCAGCTTTGAAGATCGATCCCCGAGGACAGAGACCAGCAACCGAGGACTCTGGTGGCGTCCTCCAGCGTCATGTGCTCAGCAAGTCCCGCTCGGCGCGTCATGGTCGATCCGCAAGGTTACCCAAGGAGTCCTCGAAGCAGGCCCCGTTTCCCGACGATGATGCTGACGTCTTTGTTGATCCTTTAGCATCTGGATAAGGCGTAATAGGTAGGGGCGGAATCAGATCCGTAAGGGTGAGCGAAATATTGCCTGAATGACACAAGTGTCAACATCGAAAAGTTCGAATCCGACATCTTCAGACTTCAAGAACCTTCCTGACGTACTCACTTTGCGCGTGTGTGCCTACAAGACAGATAGATGCTTGTTCGCCCAAGAGCTTCCTCTCCCTCCCTTTCTCGTTCCTTCATCTCTCCCTCAGTCACTCTAGTCATTTGGAACCCTCGTCTCAGCATGCGACTGCGACAGCGGCGACCAGAATCTACGTACAAATATTTCCCCAGTCCTAGCTTAGTCCTCCTGGCCAGAACAATCTCTCCCCCTTTCTTTCTTTCTTTCTTTCTTCCTTCTGACGACATTACTCTTCTGCATTCGCCCGCCTTCCTCTCTCTGCTCTTGCCAGACTTCTTCTTCTTCTTCTTCGTCTTCTTCTTCGTCGCAAGTTCCTAATCCCGTGTACCTCAGTTGCTGCACATACGCATATGATCCTTGCGTACACGCGCACAGCTCGACTCTCATACCATACTGTGTTCTTCGTCAGCATTGATGGTGTATTGTGAGTGATTTGAACAAGTCTGGCAGGCGCCTCGTTATGGCACCCGTTTGATGCGAGGCAATGGAGAGGCTGGATGAAGAAGGATGTGGCTCACTAGCGAGATCTGACTCGAGTGAGGAGGTTTGGTCTAAAGACCGTTTGCCGGGTTACACTAGACGAAGCATATGGTGCAGAGTCGGCCCCTTAGTCAGTGGGCTGCCTCGGACCTATTGGGTCGAATGAGTTCCTGCTTATCTGGAGGAGAAACTTGCGAGCAAGCGAATGCGGATGGAGAGGGGCTTTTGCATTCGCTCGCTATCATGCATGCTCAGGATACGAAATGAGCCTCTTCTACCGCTCACTGCACTGTCTTCATGCCTGCTTTCCTACAGTTCCTGTCCGCTCTTCGCCAGATATCCGTTATCCGAGAGCCAGCTCTCCACATCTCCTGTGTCTCTCTTCAACCAACTCGCTTTCGCGCGTACAGCGTCTGAGCTCTGCTCTAACGCTCGATCAAAGCCCTAAACCATTAAATTTAGCAATAGCTCCTTTCTCCAGACCCTCAGCAGCAGAAAAAAAGACGGAAGTCAAGAATACCTTGGTACTCCTCTCCTTAAACCACTTTCTTACTCGCTCCAGCTGTTCTTCTGACGTGAATCCGCCTGTACACATTTGCACAATAGTACTCAGCATGCCCAGACTAGCGGGACACTTCTTATTGATTAACTCCCAATTCGCTGTCATCCAGCTCCACAGGCCCTCAATACCCTCCTTCTCACTCCTCAGCCCCGCAATAGGCAAGTACACATCCTGACCCTTGACGTCGTCGCTCAGTGGCAGACCCAGCGAACGATGAATCAGTTTCTCGCCCTTCACGCGGCCCAGGGAGCGTAGTGCGGTGTTGCGCTCATCTGCGTCGTTGGCAATCTTGTACTCGTTGAAGATGGTGTCGTATTCCTTATCACCACCATTTTGGAGAGCGATGGCGTAGACGCTACCACGGATGTTCGGGTGAATGGCTTTCCGGTTGCCGGCGGCCCACTCCCTGAACATGTCCTGTGCGGCCTTGATGATTTTCTCATCTCCAGCAAGACCAGCGCTCCCGAAGAGTAGAGCTTTGAATTGCGCTTGAATGTGATCTTCATCGGGGCTGAAAGCCCAGCCCTTTTCATGAGCCTTGGGGCTTACGAGGTCGCGCTGGAATGCTTTTAGAGCATCCTGTGTCTTCTGGTCCTCGAAGACCCACGCGGAACGGATGGACGAAATGCGGGTTAGAAGTTCATCCCAGACAACGAATTCAGATTCGCTGCTGAAGGATTTAAGAAGGGAAAGGATGCCGGAAGTTTTTTGGTAGCCGGATGAGGCGAGGGCACCAGCGTCGGCGATCATGCCGGCGCGGTCTTCCACGGAAAGGAGGCCTTGTTTCGCCGCTTGGCCGAGCTTCTCAAGACGGTCGGGAGTGTAGGACGTTCTGTATGTACCGGAGTGGTCGGCATTGAGCTTGAAGAAGTCTGTGTTAGGGATTTCGAAATCGTGCTCACGGCCAAAGAGGGTGAGGTCCTCGTTGACTCCATTCTTGGTCTTGAGACCTAAAAATACAGGATAGAGGGTCTCATCCTCTTCGGGTTTTGTATCGCCTGTTCGCAGGAATCGATTCTGTTTGACGTGGATACTCTTTGAGTCCTTGCTCTCCGTCACAGTCACCACTGGATATCCCACTTTCTTGGTCCAGATATCCATGATCTTCTCCACAGGCTTACCACTCGCATCACTCAGCGCAGCCCACAGATCCTCGGTTTTGGTGTTACCGTATGCATGCTTCTTGATGTACCGCCGAATTCCCTCCATGAAGGTCTGTTCACCAAGATATTGGGATATCATGCGGATCACACAAGAGCCTTTCGAGTATGAGATCGCATCAAAGATTTGGTTCACCTCGTCTGCACGTTTTACTGGTACTTCGATAGGATGGCTACTCCGCAGGGAGTCAAGAGACAGTGCGCTCTGGAGATCACCAACGACATAACCTTGCCAGACTTTCCACTCGGGGTAGAATTTATTGCAAGAGTACCACGACATCCAGGTTGCAAACCCTTCGTTGAGCCAAAGTCCATCCCAGAAATCCATAGTGACAAGATTACCAAACCATTGATGGGCAAGTTCGTGCTGGACAACCTCTGCGATCCTCTCCTTGGTCGAAGCACCACTCTTCTGCTCGTCATACAGCAGGTCGACGACCCTGTACGTGATAAGTCCCCAGTTCTCCATGGCTCCGGCACTGAAATCAGGGACTGCCACCATGTCCATCTTTGTTAATGGGAACTCATTATCGAATTCTTTTTCATAGAAGGCCAAAGTTTTTGCCGCGAGGTCCAGAGAAAATCGGCCGTGCTCTATATCTTTGTCCGGTGTTGCGTATACTCGAATGGGTACTCTGAAGGCCTTGGTCTCAACGTAATTTAGCTCTCCAACAATGAACGCCAAAAGATAGGTTGACATCAGAGGAGTCTTGTTGAAAGTCACGGCCTTCTTCTTGCCTCCACTGATTTTCGACTCCACCTCCTTCTCGGATGCCACATCCATATTGCTCAAGCATGTGAGGTTCTTTTCCGCCACGAGAGTGATGGTGTACTGCGCTTTTAAAGCAGGCTCATCAAAGCATGGAAAAGCTCTTCGAGCATCTGTAGGCTCCATCTGCGTGCTTGCAATGTACTGTGTCTTGCCCTCCTCGTCCTTGTACGATGACCTGTAGAACCCAGCCATCTTATCATTCAAATAGCCAGTAAAGGTATGCGTTAGCTGAGCTTTCGAGCCTGCAGGTATCGACTTGTCAAACGATATTGTGGTCATCTGATTGTCTTCGTTGTAGGCGAGCTTTGGGGACGAGGTGACCTCGCTGCCACCAGCCGAGATCTTTGTTGAATGAATGTCTATCTCCAACGTGTTGAGGGAGATGGACTTCGTGTCTTCTTTGACATCAAGACTAGGAAGTCACTCGGTTAGCCAGAAGCCCTGGGGCACGTTGACCAGAGAAGAGGAAAGTCGGACAACCTGCATTGTCTTCACCGTACATACTCAATCACCACTGTTCCCTCATAGCTGAACTTGTCAAAGTTCGGTTCCAAGGTCAAATCATAGTGCAAGGGCTTCACGTGGGTTGGCAGCACCTCTCGATTAGACTCGACATGGACGCTTCCACCGGGGATATCTGCATTCTTTCTGCACATGGCTCTTCGATGTGAGCAATGTCTGACTGTCTGACTGGCTGGGAATCTCTGCTGAACGAGGTTGCGTTTCTCGAGACCTGGAAATTTTACAGTTGCACAGAAGAGACGAGAAGTCGCAGGTGAAGATGGTGGTATGTTATGGACAGAGATTCTAGAGAAGGGCGGAGTTACAACATGAGCTGCTAGTCTGCGTGCTTTTGTAGTTGTTCGAATCATCGACCCCGCTCGTAGGCAGCTATCAATTACGAAGAGGTGGGAAGGACTGCAGTTGCAAATCTATAATAGGAAGGTTGACGCAAATGTATGCAGGGACGAGTCACGTGTACCCCAATTTACGGAATACTCGTATTCTCCAGCACAGGATGGAGAAGAGTATGCAAAATGACTTGCACTTTCAAACAGAACTAAACATTTGCCCATGTACCACCACTTAGTTCTCTCAAGCTCAAGACGAGCTTAAGCAACAGTTGATTAGAAATGTTCCCAGATCTATCCTACCTAGTTATACACCACATTCTTTTTACCGAGCATGACCAGCCCATCTTCTTTTCACGCCAGAGCGCCAGACTGATACCGCTAGACAATGCTGACCCCTTGGCCTCGTTCGTAAATATCTTCTTCTGTTATGTCACCCTCCTCTCCTTCACTGTCATCGCTGTCCTCTTCATCCTGATCGTCGTCTCCGCCTTCGCCGAGTAAAGCGCGATCGAGATCGTCAAGATCATCGTCAGGCTTTTCTTCGTCGCGGCTTCCGTCTGCCCTCATCCCCGGGCTACTACCGTCCCTCCTCCGTTTCCTTGAACGGCTGTCTTTTTCTTCATCGTCAGCATAACCCCGTGACTTCCTCTTCCGCTTTCGATATCCCTCCATCAAACCACCCAAAGCTCCCCTATTCTCTTCTCTGTACAGTCTCCTGACTGCCCTATCGATGGCCTTCTTGTAAGCCAGCGCTTCCTCACCAAAGTCTTCAGCTTCGGTGGGATTTGGCATTATGCCTCCAGGTCCCCATGAACATTCGTCGTCAGTATCATACATGTCCGGTAGATTCCTGACACGCTTCATGACCATCATCCCAAAGGAGCTGTTGACCCTTCTCTTTTCCCGCCGAGCCTCGTCATGCTCCGCTAATATTTGCTTATGTAAGATGTGATCGATCCGCATCTTTCTGTTGATATTGACCGCCTTTTGATGAGAGGTTTCTGGGCGTGGACGTCGTGAACTCATCCCATTAGAAGCTGCACTATACAAAATTGGGTGACCAGAACCAGGAGGAACAGGAGACGACGAATGAGGGTCCATCCGCGTTTTGAGGACCAGACGCTGTGGATCTGACCTATTTGGAGGTGGAAATCGGCCAAATAAGGGGACCCCTGCTTCTCCATTCATGTCTACGCTAGGGCCGTCGTAGGCCATGGCAAGCGGCTTGTATTGTAAAGCTGAGGTGGGAGACGGCGTGCGGGTGGGGTCGTTATCCGAGATTGCAATGACACCCAGTTCGTCAGTCGTTGGATCTAATAGTCGTTAGCTAGGCATTTAGGCACTCAAGCGCCTCGTGGTGACGACTCCATCGTCTTTTAGGGCTTACTTTTCTTGGCCTTTTTCATGGGAGGACCCACCGTCTCATCCTCCTGTAAGATGCGGATCCTTTCCTGCCTCTTCACCTCCCCATAGGTCTTTTCATCTTCGGTGTCAACGTTTTCCGCCTCCGCTTGGGCCTCCGTCAAGTGCTCGAATGGAGGAACTTTGAGCGGCAAGCCACCCGTCTCGGGTCCGTGCTGCCCTGGCCCAAATGGATTCTTCAGAGCCGCCTCTTCGGAAAAATCGCTCTCGAGGTAGAACCAAATAAGCCATAGAAAACACCTTGCTCTGCTCTTGCTGCTCAGCGTGGATCGCATGACGAGGTCGAAAAAATCTCTCGGCGGATGGAAATGGATTTCTGATATTTTAGGAGCATATTGAGAGAGGACGAAGATGAGGTTCACAGGATTAGTACGAGGGATGGGAAGCGCTTTGATCTTGTCAATTGTACCCGGCTGGTTCGCGTCTTCGGAAGCGCCCTTGAGGATTGATTTGAGGCGGGGAGCATCTTGAAGCTGTTTGTATGCATTGGGATCTTGATTAGCTTGAAGTGAAGGTATCGAGTGGTATGTCCGCAATTGAGCGCGCATTTCGGGAAAGACTTGCATCCTTGTAAGCATTCGTTCAATGAGTAAATTTATAGACCACATACAATTCAGCGTCGTATTCATTCTGCCCACGTTGACTAACAAGCAAACCATAGCCATGTGCATAGCAGCTCCACGATCAGCCAGCAGCTTCTCTTTGAGTATCTTGCTTGTTTTGCTACTTCGTGCCATAGCATCAACGTAGATGTCGGCGAATGTATGCCCCGTCGTTCCATCGTAAGCTTTGGTAAAGACCAGAGTGTTATCTTCGAAAACACATTCGAGAAAATTCAATTGTATATCTTTCCGCCAAAGAGGTATGCCATCTTCTTTCTTTAAATGCCGTATCTTGTTTCCCGAATACACAGAGCCGATGGTGCCATTGGCATTTCGTCGAGTATGGGCGACGGTCATGGTGTGTGACGGGTTGAATTCGGCTGCGCGAGTGTAAGAGTCGTTCTGAACACTCGCTGGCTCGTCTTTGTCCCTTTCATCGACTTGTCCTGAATCTCCATCAATCCATATGATTGGCTGTTTCGAGGGGGTCTCAGGCTTCACAGGCTCGCTAGGAGTCAGCTGATCATCGGGCCTATGTTTGGTCTTGACGAGAGGCTCTGACGAAGTAAGAATGTGCTGTAAGCTCTGCTTGGGATCGGACTTGTTCGCTCGTGGTGATAGAGTAGAACGAGCACCGGGCTGGTTTTCGGGCTCCGCTTCCATCTTTTCACGACTTTATTGATTCTGCTCGAGCGAGACCTATCTTGACACCTATTTCCCCTTCAGGAGCTCGGAAGCGAGCACTTGCGGCTATGCATCCCCTATCGATAGCGGGGGATTTAGGTCGTTCCCCTACCTGTCAATTCGATACAGAAGCGGTGATTGACTGCTCATGACCAGTAACGTTGGTAGCCCGTGAGTAGAAGATGGTGTGGGGAGTGGTGGACGTACTGGGCCTACGACCGATGCAAGCTTTATTGAAGCAATTCGGCCTCACGGCCTGTGTGGCGGCTTACTTCCGCGGTATCCCCGAGGATCAGCCATCTAGATTCTCTAAATTGGCCCAATTGAATCCAAGTTCTCATTCAACCGAAGCAGCGTCTACCTTACATGTCAATTCAATGGTAAGTCTATGGATTACTGGAGGCAAGTATGCAATTGGTTCTTATCTGAAGCTGGAGACTGTTTTTTTTGGTCTTAGAGACCAACGCTTAGGTCATCGGATCCTGTGATCCTGTCTTTGAGGTATGAGACCTGGAGACAAAGCTCAGAGGTCCCAAGTATCGCTCAATGCAACGTCCGAAGGCTATCTCCAGCGCACTAAGCACAACAGCCCACCCAATGTGAGCATTGCGGCCTATGCGCCTGAACAACGCCCTTTGCATTCAGATGCTGTCTATCACTGACACGTTATGAACACCGAGCTTGCCGTGAGGGAAGTGTGTATGTTACGGCCAATGCAAGGTCCGGATCGATGAAAATTGGTCGGTATTTGCTTTTGTAAAGAAATGGAGCACACATTAATTCGAGTGAAACAGCTGAGGTGGAAGAGATCTATCGTGTCGTCGGGATGCCAGGAGCCTACTGGGCTAGCATAAACGCAGCAAGATTCGTAAGATCAACGCCCATGAAGACCGCGCATTTCCTGCGTAAGCCGTCAGGCTCCAGGCCTGCGCAGGGTATCGAGGCCAATCGGTCTGAATGGGTATAAGCCAACGCTATCTATGATACGTGCTGATGGACAGTTGCAACGTCGCCCCGTGGTGGACGTCGGCATCGCTTTGCTGCGCCAGTCCTAGCATGTCGAAGAGTGAGTAGGAAAAAATGTCGGCACCGAAAGAGGCTCCGTGAAGAATCGAAGATCTAAATGCTGTTGCAAGAAATTTAGGGAATTATCGTGATGTGATCGAGCACTGCAGCCAGGCGCCAGGACTGGGTCGTGCAAGAACAGTCTTCCCCTGTATTATTTGGAGAAGAGGCGCCGATGGGTGCGGTAGTGGCATCTACCACCAGGAAGACTGCCCTCCAGGTCCAGAGGGATTCCCGTAACCGCCACCTCCGTAACCGCCGCCATAGCCGCCGCCGCCGCCTCCATATGACGGTGCACCACCACCGTATCCTGCAGTTGTATCAGCATCAATGGTTTGGCTTATCAGAAGGAGAGCTCACCACCAAATCCACCAGCTGGTGGGCCGCCGCCGCTGCCACCGCCAACACCGCCGCCGTAGGCATTCTGTTGGGCAAATCGGTCGCCGCCTTTACGGAAGTCACGGGTGGCCGCTCCACCACGTCCGCGGCCACCTGAGCGACCACCACGGCCACCCCCTCCACCGAAGCCAGCGCCTTCGCGGGCAACATTTTCCAGGAACGCAGGGACTTCTTGATGGGCCTCTTTCAGGAGCTCAATCATGTCTCTGACAATGCCGCGATTGCCTCGATTAAAGAATGCGGTTGACTTTCCGGTATTACCAGCACGACCGGTACGACCAATACGATGAACATAGTCATCGATATCAGTTGGTAGATCATAATTGACAACGTGTGTAACGTTAGGAATATCGAGACCACGGGCAGCGACTGCGGTAGCAACCAGGATTGGGCAGCGTCCGTTACGGAACATCTCTAGAGCACGCTCACGCTCACGCTGCGTTCGGTCTCCATGGATGGATGTGGCCGGGAAATTTTGGTTGATTAAGAAATCTGACAGAGAGTCTGCCATACGCTTGGTCTCCACGAAGATCAGGGTAAGACCAGCACCATGGGTGTGAAGGATATCCAGAAGTACAGAGCGCTTATCTGGGTCCTCAACATATTCGACACTCTGCGTGATGTTCTCCGAGGTTGATCCAACACGACCAACAGAGAGAAACACATATTCCTTCAGAAAATCCCTAGCAAGCATTTGGATGTCTCGGGGAAATGTTGCTGAAAACATGAGCGTCTGGCGTCTGTCAACTCCAGGCATGTCTTCACCTTCGACGATACGACGAATCTGAGGTTCGAAACCCATGTCCAACATACGATCCGCCTCATCCAGGACCAAATACTTGATGTTAAGCAAAGAAATACGTCCACGCTCAATCAAGTCAACAAGACGACCAGGTGTGGCAACAAGCAGATCGCACCCTCGCTCCATGGAGCGTAGCTGGGTGCCGATATCGGCTCCTCCGTACACCACGCACGGACGAACCCAAGAACGGTAGGCGAATTTTCGAGATTCTTCATAAATTTGAGACACCAGCTCTCTGGTAGGAGCTAGAATCAAAGAGGTAGGCAATGCTTTTCGCGAGCGGTAGCCCATACCACCACCTTGAGGAGGTGCAGCAGCAGATGGACCATGGATGAATGCTTGTGATAGGATCGGGAAAAGGAAACCGCCGGTCTTTCCCGAGCCAGTCTGAGCACAAGCCATCAGGTCTCGACCACCCATGACGATGGGGATAGAATACTTTTGCACGGGCGTGGGAGTCTTGTAGCTTGCAAGCTTGATGTTGGAAAGTAGGTGGTCGTCCAAAGGAGGGTTTGTGAACTGCAGGCAAGGCTCTGGAACATTTTGGCCGGATGCTTCAACAGGGATATCATCGTAATTAGAAAAATTAATACCGGTCTGCAACTTGGAAGGGTCATTGGGAACACCAAAGAGTTCACGCTCCACACGTTGATTGACAGGTCCAGGGATGTGTTTGCCATCTTTCCACTGCCCATCGCCTGATCCGCGGGCAGAACCACCTCCTCCGCCTCCGCCGTATGATGAACCTCCTCCTCCTCCTCCAGGTTTTCCGTAAGCGCCCTCGTCAAATGCACGGGCAGCATGGTTATCCCAAGTAGAAGGGGGAGGAGCAACGCCGTTCGTAGGAGGGCCTCCATAGCTTCTTGGGGTAAAGTTTGGAGCATTTGCCCAGTTCGGGGCGGCGTGGGGGTCATTCCTCACATCTCTAATACATGAAGATTAGCTCGTCCTGGTTGGAGGTTTGACGACTGTTCGAGCTTACTTTGATGGTTCGTTCCAAGCACTCCCATTGGCTGGGCCGTTCATAGGAGGCGGTGGTCCGTCCATTTGTGGTGGGGGCATACCGCGCATGTGGGGCGGGATGTAAGCTGAGCGTCCTTGTCCATGCTGGGAATCCAAGGACAATCCGTTCATATTGAGTTGATCAGCCATACTGCGGCGGCAATTCAATATTGTGTTGTGTTACTGTCTGGTCTTAGTGATTGATTTAGCAATGCGTCAGGCTGAGCTGATAAGAGAATCATATCGACGTCTGCTGGTGAGCCTGGGAGCAGAGCTGACTTACATTTGTAAGATAAGTCTCTGGAGAGGTACCTAAGGCTTGGACGACGTGTAAAATACAGAGAGTTCGTAGGAGTCTGGGCCGTAATGTGAGATGAAAGAAGTGAAGAAGTTGAGACTTCTGAAGCTCCTGTAAATCTCTCGGTCGTGGATGAGAGTTGACAGAAACGGAAGGAAACACTCTCCACAGAAAGGACAGTGCTATATGTTAAGTGGATCTGGGGGTAAAATCTCTCATGTGGGTTGTGAGAAAGATGCAGGAAGATTTCCAGCAGGCAAAAAAGTTTGATAATTTAGTGATTTCTGTTCGGCCCTGCAAACCGGCCTTGGCGCTCGACACTAGCGCCGGTTGAATTGGTTTCTAGACCTCAGAGGAGCGTTCCGAACCTGCGTTTTCTCATGCAAGTCTGCATTGCTCGAAAGTAACGCCAATTTTGTGGTGAAGATCCTTCTCTTATATTGCTATGGCTACGGTATCAGGCGAAACTTTTCTCTACCATAGGCTTGCGAGTCCTGAGGAAGCTCAACACAACACCAACGATCACGCCAAAGAAAATCAACTTTGTCAAGATGCTCAAACCGTGACTTTCCGTTGGAGGAATCACATCAGATTCCGTAGTTTCTAGCTGTTGCTTGGGTTCATCCCCCAATGTCACGTCCAACTCGTCGCCTGGCACCGCAGGAAGAGCCGATCCGATGAGTTCTTTACCGACACATATCAGCCATTTCAGAGCATCACGAGTGACAAGAGATGAAGAAGCGTCTAAAGCTCCGCGTGGGTACCTTCTTCTGGCACCGGCAACTCCCCCGCCTTTGCGATCTTGACGGTCTTGGCAGGCTTGTCTCCAGCGCCCTTTGGCACGTTTTCCACCTTCTCCACGACATCGTAGCCTTCCAAGACTTCTCCAAAGACTACATGCTTTCCATCCAGCCATCTGATGTAGCATTAGCATAGGCCCCGGATTGGGAGTTAGGATAGCTGACTTACGAAGTAATAGCTGTGGTTATGAAGAATTGGGAACCGTTGGTGTCTTTTCCGGAGTTGGCCATGCTGAGCATGCCAGTCTTGGTGTGCTTCAACTTGAAGTTCTCATCAGGGAACTTGTTCCCATAGATGGATTTTCCGCCAGTGCCTGATGTGAATGTCAACACCCCATCTGTTGTGCTATCTTTCGTACTTTGTCCATACCATCGCCATTGGTGAAGTCACCACCCTGGATCATGAACTGCTTAATGACTCTGTGGAAAGCCGATCCCTCATAACCAAAGCCCTTTTCCCCTGTGCACAAAGCACGGAAGTTCTCAGCAGTCTTGGGGACTGTCTTCCCATAGAGACCAATGACGACTCTGCCCAATTCCTCATCCCCATGTGTAATATCGAAATAGACCTAACAGCAGCTGTCAATTGACCTGCTACAGCAGGTGGGGATGTATGGAACGCTACCTTGTTGGTAATCTTTGGTCCTTTGGCCGCAGACGAAGTTTGTGCGAGGAAAAGGAACGATGCTGTCAGAATGAGCAGCAATGAGATAACGACTCGCTGTAGATTGGCCATGTCGTATATCATCAACTATGTTGAAAGTTTTGATGTTTGGACGATAGATCGCAGCAGCGGAAGAACACCTGTTGGAAAGCGTCTCCAATCAAATCGACGCTAGTGTCATCGCCGAAGATTTGCCCTAATTTCCCAATTCGAGCGCGCTCAAAGTCTCAAATCTTGACCCCTCGGACGTCGACTTGGAGCAGCAACCCGAAAATATCTATCGTTCGTAAGAATGGTATGTCTGCTTTCGATTCTACTCCCCAAGGAAACTCAATTGACACGATCCAGGTCTTCATCCTCGGCAACAACTTCTCCGAACAACGCCTTGTCCTCGTACTTGCCCCATACCCTCCTCCTCCATTCCTCTGACACTTATCCCAGAAAACGCTCCAAGGCTTCTACGGCATCGGACCCCAGATATCCCGGCACCTGCTCGCCCGCCTGCACATCCACCCCACCGCGCGGCTGAGCTCCCTCAACTCACAGACCGTGCTGGACATCAACGCCGAGCTCGCAAGCATGAAGATCGAAAACGATCTGAGGAGAGAGCTGAGGGAGAACATTACGAGGTTGCGGGATATGGGCACGTATAGGGGGAGGAGACACGCGATGGGGATGCCGGTGAGGGGACAGAGGACGAGGACGCAAACGGCGACGGCGTCGAAGTTCAACAGGGTTGAACGGTTGGGCTGAGGGGAGGGAGGGGTCGGGGAGAGAAAGGATTAGAAGCATAGCTCAGGCGTTGTTGCGTGGGGTGGATATCCACGTCAAGAGTCAGGATATCATACCATTGGGGCACCAGCATCAAAAGACGGAGTGAGACAAATTGGCACTGGGTATCCATCCCTCCCAAACTATATCCTCTACGCCGCTTTCTCCGATATAACTCCCTTTCCTCTATTCACCTGAACCCTCTTGTCCTCCCCCCCACTCACAATCCCCACACCCTTATCCCAAGCCACGCCAAAAACCTTCACGCCTTCTCCACCAACCTTTTTCCCCTCTCCCTTCAAACTTTCCCTTTCAACAACATACAAGCTCTCACCCACCCTGCCCTCCTTCTCGCTCCTCGAGCTCCTCACGTCCCACACCCTACACGTCCCATCGTGACTCCCGCTCACAAGCCCATAATTACTTTCTGGATCTGCTGCCAGGCTAACCACCGCGTTAGTATGGCCGCGCAATGTCATGGCTGAGACGGTAGTCGCGGAGGCGCGGGGGTCAATGAGGGTGATATGGCGTGCTGACGTGCCAGCTACGAGGAGGCTAAGAGAAGAAAGAGCGGTGAGAGAGAGGAGAGAGTGCGACGTTGAGCGCGTGTCCACACAGGTCGAGGTGGGGAGGTCCCAGGTTTTGAGAGAGTGATCCCAGGACGTGGAGTAGGCTACTGTGTGGTCGTTCGGAGCGAAGATGGTATCGGAGACGGGGGCGGTGTGAGATTTGAGGACAGAAAGGGGGCCTCGTTGGGGGGTGGATGTTGAGGTGCCCGTTTTCCTGCGCTTAGAACTTCGAGAGGTAGCTGAGGGAAGAAGAGATGTTGGAGCTGCAGGTGCATCGAATTTCCTAGTCGACCAAAGACCAAGCGAGTGGTCCGCAGAGGCGGAGAGGATGCGGGACGAGGGTTGATGAACGGCGAGAGAGTCGATGCTGGCCTTGTGACCGTAAAGCTCGATTTGAGGCGATAGGGATGCGTTGGATGCTTCAGAATCCTCAGAGTATTTCCATAGACGTATTGTGCGGTCTAGACCAGCAGAAGCGACGTGCGACGGGGATATGTATTTTGCTGCTTTGATCGAGGACGTGTGTCCTCCACTGCCTGCTGATGGTGATGTCACCAGTACCTCAGAGGACATGCTCCATACTCTCAAAAGACCGTCGTAGCTCCCAGATAATATTCTTTCTTGTCCAAGCATTCTTGCTCCTGCGCTGCCTGCCCATTTGCCTGCTGGAGAGGTCTCCGAGAGAACGTCCACAGCGCTGACCCAGTCATCGTGTTCGAAGGAGGCAAGATAGAGTGGCGGTATAATCGCACGTACATATTCGACTGCGAGAGTGGTTTCGGCAGATATGCCATTCGCTGTGAGGTACTCGTCTAAAGATGTTCGAAGAAACGTGCCATTGATGAGGAACTCGAATGGTATGGGCTTCTCGGACTGCAATAGAGTATTAACGAGCGTGGAAAGGGCATACCGCCGGAGGTCTAGCGAGGTTGTCAGTAGGAATAGAATTCAAGAGCTCTACTATCACATTACTAGTATTGACCAGGATTGGGCCGGGATTCTCTGGCAGTGAGATGTCAGGATGGCGTGTTGATAGCTGTACTCTGACTTGCGAAGGTGGATCAGGGGTAGCCATTCCGTTGGCACTTGCTATTATTGTCTCCGTAGCCATGACGCTTGATTGATGTTGAATCTCTACTGCCGCCAAAGATAAAATTGTTTGTTACAGTGAATGCGCTATCCCCGCGTTTTATCTCCGTCGCTCCCAATTCGGACGGTAACGATTATTCTTCACAAGGCATATGAAACTCTTAAACAAGTATGCAAAAACATTACTGACACGACCTGGTATCTAGATGCAACGCTATGCTTCGCTATGCAGCAAAAAGAACCCAAAATCCTGTAAAACAGGAGAGAATTACCCAAGCCAGCGCGGCTTTCCCAAATTTCACTCGTCACAGTAGCCCGGAGGTTTGCTACTCGATCCGTTGGCCCAACTCTTGACCGTTAGTGTGGTAGTGTATACCATTACCGCGCACCCAAAAACGCACAAAGTGACATCAGCAATCCGCTGCTTTTTCGAATTTGCGACAGCTTTGAAATGAAGCATAGCCTGAGGTGACGTTAGCCTTTATGAGACCGAAGCAGAGGATAGTACGCACTGGATACACGTAGACCAGGGGTACACAGGCGAAGCTGCCAACAAGAGCAACAAATTTGTCCAGATCGCCTGCTCCACCCCAGGCAATGAGCGCACACATCACAACAAGAAAGAACCGAAAGACGTTCTTCTTCCACTTAATGTAGAGATTGTTTTTCCCACTGCGCGAGAAAATCTCATTCTCCATGATCCGGATCGCTGGAAATAGCTGAAGCGGCGTGGACAGAAGGATAGCCAATGAGTAGAGGAGTTGTATTGCATTGACGAATTTGCTGTCCTGAGGCAGGTTCAAAAGTACAACGGTTTTTGTGGCCGATCCAAATGCTGCATAAGACAAGGCGCCCATGAGGATGAAGAGAATTGTAATGAAAATCATCACACCTGCGAGGACCGGGGGAAATTTGGAAGGATTCTTCATCGACTCTTGTATTGGTATGATCAGACCGACTCCCTCGAAGGTAAAGATCGCTGTGCCGATGAACAAAGTCCAATCTCGAGGATTGAAGTTGGTGATATCGGCTACGCCGTACTTCGCCATTGTGTGAATATCGAAGTATCCGAGGTACAAAAGGCCAAGGGCGATGAAGACATCGGCAATGATGGCAGTCAAGCTCAGCTTGCTGATATCTCTGATTAGAGACAGCGGAAGGAAGATAACGAGCTGCATGAGAACCATGAACTTGATGTCGATCCATGTCCGACACTTCGACACCGCCAGAACGAATGCTTGCAGGCTCTCGGCAGTGAAGACGATATAGGCGGACACAAAACCAATCTGGCTGAGTGCAACAGAGGTTAAGATCAGGGCACGCATCCACTTCCCATAGAGTATTCCACCCATGTCACCAAAAGAGCCCTCAATCTTAAGCCTAGTGTTGACAAGGAGGATGAAGCAGTAGTAGCTTAACGATGCAACCCCCAAAAGGACGACGTTACAAAACATCATTCCTCCATTAAGATAGGCCTTGGGAAGGAAGAGGACGCCGGTTCCAATGAAAGACTTGAGTAGTAGAAGCGCTGCACCGGTGGGAGTGTTCTCACTCTTTACACCTCGGTCCTTAACCTTGCGTTTCCGCATCCCAGGAGTACCAGGCGTCAAAAGTGCACTTCCTTCCCCGGGCTCACCCTCCCTTTCTTCGCCTTCCATTTCATCGACGTATGGCTCATAGTTGAAGTACTCTTCCTCATCGTCTTCTTTGAGCTCCTCTCCTGCAAAGTGACCATAGATGGTAAGGAACTCGTAGAAGCTGTTGGTTATGATCTTCATAGGTCGCCCAGTCTGTGGAGAGTCCTCTTGCGATTCCAGGCCATTTGGCCCTCTGCTCCTTCCCGAAATTTGGTCGGGGGCTTGTCGTCTCAAGTAGTTCCTCCGAAAGCCACCAGGCTGCTTTATGGCACTCGCTTTGAGTTCCTCGTCTTCGGGCTCAAGACGAGAAATATGCCAGCTCTTGCTACGTTTTGCCCGGCCAGGTGCCTCGGCGTTTTCAGCCCATCGATAAATTGTGCGAGTCATGTCTCCTCCCTGAAGACGCAGGCTGGAGAACTCGTCATCACCTATACCCGTTGCAGCGTTGCCGCCATTGCCATTACCAACGTTCACCGATGATGCTCTATCGCTGAGGGTAGAACTACCCTCGCCATTGTCGTTAACACCGTCCAGATTCGGCGGCTGCACAAGATGTCGCTTCACCACTTTCGGATCTTCATTAGGAGCGCCTGATATACGCCTTTGACCACCCTGCCCGGACCGGCTATCGAAAGAGCCATATGTTGTCTGAGGCCCGCTCCCTTGCAGTGCAGCACCCGCAGTACTAGGGGATACGGGTCGTAACGGCGGCGTTCCAAACCTCGGTGGACTTCTCCCAAACGAGCCCTGCAATGCGGCAGCAAGGGCAGAATGACCTGACCCTGGTATCGACTCAGATGTTCCGGTCCCGGCGAGAGGTGTATGGCTTTCGCTGTTGAGTTGGCTCGGAGCAGGAATTTGACGGATGGATGGAGAGCCTTGAGCGCCGAAGGAGGCAATTGGAGACCCAAGTCTGGCGGTTGAGGTTGCTCGAGGAGTAGACTCCGCTGCGGGCGACCGGCCTCGTGAGGTGCCAGGAGAGGTTGAGCTTGGTACAGGCCTGGGCCTTGAAGGAGACGATGTGTTCCTTTGGCTGGACATCGAGCCAGACACAGGGCGTTACCGGGGCATATCTTGTTCAATTTTGGCAAAGGTCGGATGGGGCTTTCATCAAATTGTGTATGGGGAGCCCGAGTGATAGGTGTCGATATTTGTTGGTACTGAAGGGATTTAGGTTGCCTTGGAGTACTGGATCACGCGGGCACTGTATAATAAATGTGCGTGACACGGTCCGGCGATGAGACTGTGCGGAAAAACGGGTATGCTTAGATTCGTCACCAAAGGCGATAAATCGTTACAATCATAAAGTCAATGCTGTTGTATCAGATAAGTGTGACGCAGTAAAAAAGCAATGGTTAGAAGAACACTGGTCAACAGAAAACGGCTCTGACGTGGGATGGCAGGGCTGAGGTAACCATGAACCGTGGGGGCTTCATTCCCCTTCCTTCCTTCAGCACATGCCAGAAAAATCTGGCCTGTTGGCTGGACGTATAATACTCTTGAATGACCTCGCCAGTTCCCCAATGCTATGCATTTGAGCGTCGTCAAGTCCCATTTTCAAGATTACTCTACTTGACACGGCCGTAGGAAAGCCCCGAAAGAAAATGACGCTTTTTGCGGAGATTTACCCCGAAGCCAGTCCTCATACCATGGCATCTCCCCAGGATTATTTGTGCTCTTTCCGACACGAAGGTGTCGTTCAGACAGCTTAAGCCAATATCTTGACGGTCAGTGCGAGGTTTGACAGCAGAAAAGTATAAAAATGCTAGTCATGGATCACTGTTCTTTCGAGCAATGCCCCTTCGCACAAGATTATGTGTCTGGACAGAGACCGCTGCGGACGAAGCTACGTGGCTTGATTGATGATACTTTGCTGTGCCAATGACTGCTCAAGTGCGATAGGCTTGATCAATGACCAGGCCAGTACGTCTATATCACGACGAAAAAGGTGGTGGCCTTGGCCTCTCGATAACGGTTTCCAACATCCCAGTCGCGCCGCCCAAAGACTCTCCATCTATTCATACTCATACGTGCCCGGCTACAGCTTCTTCCCCCAAAAGCACACCACTCAGCTTCCATTGTTTCCTCTGCCGCGCGCTGTATATCATACCAGATGAGCTGACGCAACAGCATAGTAAAGACCAGCCTTGTTAATTACGACTCTTCCGAGCCCCAAAGAGGGCACGTGCGAGAATGAAAAGAAGTGTGTGGGCTATCTCAGCGATTTGAAGGTGCTGACTGAAGTTATCGCTAGTGCTAGTAGTAGATGGTCATATTCGTTGATGGCGACAATGAATCTGTGAACCATGGTGCCTCGATATTGGGACGTGGTTCAAGCTGAAACTTGAAGAAGCAACCGCACTATTAGGCCGGATCTACCGTGTTCATGGAAATCTTTGGCGGTCATGATAGGCAAGCAACTTCGAATGCATGCAGGATGCTGTCGGTATCCCAAAGGGGAATCATCCTAATCCAATGATTCAACCGCAGAATACACCCTTAACTTCAGGGCATGCATGGCAGCCGCAAAATTCGAGTGTTCCTCGACTTCTTGGCGTGCGAGCTGAGGTCTTATCCCAGGTCGACAGACTCCCAGCCTAATTTTTTATGCCATTGCAAGACCTAGGCGAGTATATGCTCATTCACTTCGCTGTACTCTTTCTTCGAAATCAGAGAAGTTCCGTCGGACTAGCACAGATAAGCGAAATTTCTCCTCCAGTCTTTCGATGCCCGGGTACATATCGAAACAATTGCACCGTCTTGAAGCCACAGGACTGTGGCCATTCCAGCTCCCAAAGCGGAAACAACCTTCTTCAAGTCAAGAGTCTGTTGCTTCGGGTTCTTCTATCCATTCCAGTCGCTTACCTTTCCCCCATGCAACCAGGCGTTCATGGCTGCATACATGGCCACTGAGAGCACATGCCAATCAATTATATCGCTCATGGAGTCGGCAAAGACGGCTCATTACAAGGCTGAGAATTCCTGTCAACCAACAGTAAAGAATATGCCTTCATCTCAATGCCCTTGGTTTCTACTGCTAGCTTTGTAACCGCTGGAGTTCGCCACGGCCTTCGGTCGCCCAGTATGTTGCTCGTTGTTGTACTTTTGTTTGGAGTGAGCCTGGCTCAGCGCCCGAGCAATGCTTCAACATGTGACTACTATGCTCAGAACCTTTACGGTGCGAACAACAGCCAAACCCAAAACCAGCTCGTGCAACACATCGTTGCGCTCGCTTTTGGTGGAGCGCCGTTGAGTAACACCAATATCTCATCCGATATAACAGGGATCCTCAATCCTGGCACCTTCCAAGATCTAAGCGTAGATCTTGCTCCTTGGTTCAATGGTGTAATTGACTCTACCAATCTCAACGATCAGGCAGTGGGCATCAATTGGCTAGATGACGGGGGACTTGACCCATTACATAGCTACCTCAACGGCTCAACATCCAATGTCATGTTGACAAATACGACCAATCAGTAGTATGCTGTGTCTTCCGCCCACACCTATCTATGCTAACAACGGTCCACGCAGTCGCCTTTTTGCACATTTCTTCCAGGCCTTCAGTCACATTTTCGGCTGCTCAGATCCGCCAGCCCCACCTCCCTCCAGCAGTGGCAGCAGTGGTCCCCTCAGTCTTGCGTACGTCCATAAATACATGAACCTCAATTACACCGACCTCGGCCACTTCATCAATCAGCTTAGCATGGCTACTACAAACTACGGCTTCTCAGACCAAGACAGCCAGACTTTAAATACAGACCTGAACGGCATGTACAATGTCCGCTGTGCACCGCCAGTCACAGAGAATCCAGCTCAAGGACCTCAATTACTCTCATTGTGTCAAGCTGATACCTGCCCATTAGCTGTACCTAATGCGGATTGTGCTGCTTATGTCAACCTTACAGCCAACGGCATTGCAGCCGGTGTCTCATCTTCGCAGGATTCTTCTGCGGCCACACCCACGCCCTTTATCCCTACCACAATATCATCCACATCCTCTCCAACATCCTCAGCGAGCAAAGAGCCAACATTAACGGCTAGCAATCCATCCACGACCGCATCTAAGGCGACACTAAGTCCAGGCGCCATTGCGGGTATCGCTATTGGCGGAGCTGCGGTGCTTCTCGCTGCAGTCGTAGCAGTTGTCCTCTTGCTCAGAAGGCGCAGACCGGTGCAACAGACGCCGTATCCTACCACGCCCATGTCCCTTGCGTCTCCGCCCGGCGAGCAGAAGTTTCCTTCATTCACGTCTCAGATGCACAGTCCGCCGCTGGACCAACGTTTTGCTTCGTTCACTTCACCAACGCTGAGTCCGACTATAGCTGAGATGGATAGCACACACGGGGGACTTGGCGAAGGCTGGCATTGAATGAGTGCGGCTTAACAGACGGTGTTCTTTTGTCAGGATAGTTCGACGGGGTCATGAACATGGGCTCATTTTCCATATTGCCCAAATCTGCTTGAGACTACCACCGTTGGAGGTTTCGATCCTTCGGTCTTTGCTAGGTTCGGAGTATGCAATGTCTGTATATGTATTGGCATTACTGATCATTAGAGAGTAACATTCCAATAAGGCAACCGCTACTCACGCAAGTTGTGACCTTTTGACGCTCCAACGGTTTTGCAGGACTGATGTTTGAGCTCGTCAAGGCTGAGCCAGTCGAGCCTGGTCTTCTGGTTCCATCTGGTCAGAAAGTGATGTCGCAGCAGTTGATGCAGCATCGCTTGGCCATTTTACAGTAGACCTTTAATGCGGGCTCACGAGCCCTCAGCCACTTGGCAGAGAGAGTCAAACGGCGAAGTATAGCAGGCTCTCTACAACAATCTCATCTGCGCTGGGGATCATTCATCAATGCGTCAAAGAATACGACAGCATCTATACAATAACAACATCGCTGCAATAGGCGGTCTAGGGTCCATCGTGTTCCAGGTTCCTGAGGAAAGCAGACTTGCGCTTGCAGGCCTTTTTGACAGTTTCCGGTAGGTTCGCAGCATCCGCGCTCTGCTTCTTCCGAGTCCACGCTTGCACGGCTCGATTGACACCGTCCGCATCCCGCGGCATTTCACCGTTCGAGTACCGCAATCCCCTTCGCCATCGTCTCTCACCGTCATGGAACCAAGCACTCGAGGCGTCAATGACTGGTTTCCAGATAGCCGGTATGGACTTTCTGTCTGAAGAGTCTACTTTTGGGTTCTCCGAGACGGATTCGCCCTCACTACCGACGTCTGCCGTTGATGGCACGGTAGGCTTCGCAATGTGCAATTGACGGATGTTTGGGTTGTGCGGTCGCGGATGTTGCGTGCCCGTGATTGTTTGTCTGAGAATGGGAGTGATGTTGGGCCTGAGGCGGTGCGAGGGAGGTTGGGCAATCTGAGTTTCCAATCCGTCTTCAGGAGGCTGAGAAGCGCTATGCGGCAGAGGTCGAAAAGCCACGGCTGCCAATGAAAGTATTGGAGGAATCCGGATCTTTTCCCTTCGGTTCAGACACGACCTTAGGGGGTCTCGAAACCGCGAAAGTCTGGTAAATCCTGCACGTTTTCGTACTCGCATGTTTCAACCGATTCAATCTCTTCCCCAGCCCTGTGCCATCTCGCCAGCCTTTTCCCCTCAACTCGAGCTCAGCCATCACATGAAACCCTAGAATCAAAAGGAGGATAATTGACAAGCGCTTGCTTTTGGCCCCATGGACTCAGACAAGACGTTCAGGCGCCAAACCTACAAAATTGTGGCCGTACGCCGCAGCATTGTTTCGTTTCATTTTAAACACTTCAGTCTCTTCTTACCCGGCTGTGCTGTCTCGGATTTCCTGGCGGTTAGACTTATGAGTATAAGAGAGGAGGGATGTCCCTCCTCTTTGGTGTTTTCTTTCATATCCTTCAGCAAGCACAGACAGACAGCATAAGACTCTTCGCATACCTGCACACACACCAGCATCCACACACCGCACGAATATCTGCGCAAGCAGATCATCCATCACCCGCAATACCAGCCACCGAAAACCAAGCACGATGAGCTCTGCTAAACCTCGCGCTGGTGGTGCTCAACCGGTTGCACATGATTGCGACGAAGATCGTAAATATCCCCACGGCGGCTACATTGTTGGTACCGATTGTGAGAACATTAAGCGGGAGGCCACAGTGACAAACCGAGATCCAATTGGAAGTCCTTACCTTTGGTCCTTCCTGGTTACAGCATCCGATGGCCTCCCTTTTCCTCTCGAGCATGTGGGAAATACAATGTTCATAAAGTTCGCACCACCAAATCCCCGCCCTCCGCTAGGTAAAATTTATACGGTGATCTTCACACGTCGTCTCAATGCGCCAGACCATGAACCCTATACGTTTGTGGCGGCGATAGAGGGGCAACATGCCTAAGAATAGAGGGGTTTTGGAGGCGTCGGCGGTGAGGGTGGACTGCGGAAAGGAGTTCGCAGGGCCGTTTTCCCCGGCAGCGCCGAGGATCAGGGTCATCAGGTCTCATTCAGACGCAGGCGGCATGACCTATCGGACAACGGTGGACTGTTCCGGTGCTCTGCTTTGGTTGACGTGATTTGGTTTGGCTTTTGGAAATTCATGTGTTGCTATTCTTGCGGTTTTTGTTTGACCCCCATGTTCCTAGCACGGTAGCACCCTTGTTTTGTTAACCACTTTAGAGCACAAGACACAGCACCTAATTCCAAATGAAAATACTCGTAACCTAATCCGAGACTCTCCGTCTTTGATCGGAAGAGATGCAAGGGTCTGTGCATGGTTTTTCTTTGGTCTGAGATCAAATGAATGATGCGTAGGTAACCCTATTTTGCCATGCCTCACGCTCACAACACTGCAGCCCAGCGATGTATGAAGCAATAGAGACTAATTTGCAATGCCAAGGCACAAGCTTTATTCCTTGGCTAACATGGGTGAACAACAGAAGTCTAAAACATATGAGAAAGACATCTTCGAAAGCTCATAGGGCTCGACCCCTCAGATCGTCGAGCTACCCATAAACACTCTTGAGCAGAACAACCGGGAAAGGTTTTGGACACGGAGCCATCGCCATACGTCGTGGAAGACAATCACATATGGATGCCACTTCTCCCTGATGCCTCGATCGTAAGCCAGACCTGATCACTCGAGACGTTGATCGACTCCGCCCCACTCATGAATCAAGTAAGTACTTTATGATTTAATTCTTGCCTCGTCCGGCGACCTCCCCGTGAAGCGCGGCTAATGTAGCCGGCGGAAGCTAACAGGCGCTATACAGGGGTACCCTAAGGCAAGGGTTCTTGTCACTGACGTAGTAGAAGAATGTTCGTTGAACCAAAATAATTTTATCCCTCAACAAGACTCCATCAAATCGTAGGGAAAGAGGCCGAAAAGCTTGTGGAAACTGAAGCACATTCACGATCTCAACTTCCTATCCGCATCGTCCCGAACACACGCAATGGCCACAATCATCCGCCGGCACCCTCGAAAGCTCGTCGCCGGTATTGTTCTTGTCGGTATGCTCAAAATTCTCCGTCGTTTGAGAAGTTAGTTTCTCACACATCATGGCTACAGGTGTCGGATACGGCGTCGCTGAGGGTATACTCCCAAACCCACTTCAGACTTCCGGTGTACAGAATATCGAGCAGCGCTATTCGTCCGGCGGCGGCTCTAAGAATCATTTGCCAGGCGCTGCTACAAAGAGAGGGCATCCTGATTCGGTAGAGGGGAATACGGAGACGGCGAAGGGGATTGGAAGCCCACATCACGAGGCAAACTATCAGGAGCAGAAACCAGATGTGAGTACACACCGTAGTTTTTGGAGCGTTGGGAAATTCATGGGCAGAGAATTGTTTGAGGATCACTTTTGACCTTGAGCGGTGCGCAAGATTTGTCTACATATGCTGATTATTTGTTGGGACTACCAGCCGAGTGGATTCGACAAGACATGGAACAGAGCCCATTACAATTCTGAAAAGGGAAAGTAGGGTATCATCCGCTCACTGGCGGACTCACGTTGCATTGCTAAGGCGAATCCGGTGTGAAATGGCTTTCTCATTTTCTAAAATACGGGCACAAGGCATAAACATTCAGCTCTGGGCGTAGGAGCTTCAGACAGGATCAGAAGTGGCATGGGTTACGCTTCAGCATGTCAGTTGGATCCGGAAATTTCGCGTGATGCATCCATATTCGTGGTGTAGAGCGGGCCATGGCTTTTATTCCAATACACGCTTCATAGACCTACCGTCTAATGATGCAGGCCGCTTTCGACGAAAAGAATATTTCACAAACGCAGCAAGGAGAAGGAGAGGCCAAAGGTGTCACGCAGCAAATCATCAATAATGGTTAAGCGGCAGTTCACCCAAGTGAAGCCTCCATTGTGAAATTGAATGATTTGCATTGTAGCTTTTTGAACAGTTGTACTGGGATACTAGCTCAGGCGACCCTCAAGCTTTACTCCACTACGTAAGCACCTGGTATCGTTGCATGCCAATCACCTAGGTACTGCGATCTCCTCTCACGATACCCTCGAATCGATTCTTGAACCACTTGACTGTCTCTTGCTGGTTGATGCGGTGGCTAGCACCAACTTTGCTTTGCGCACGCCTTCGCTTGGCTACTCGCTCGCCAGGTCGTGTCCTGTAAAATAACCAATCAGCATCTCATCCGAACTCTGCAAGGGTCCCAACACATCTTCCCAACGGAGAAGACTCACATGCAGCAGTAAAAGTCCATGCCATAGATACCAATTGCCGGATCATACTTGATGCCCAAATCGATATGCTCGCTAATACCGAATCCGAAGTTGCCCGTCTGGGAAAAGTTCTTCTTTCGCAATTCGTATTCCTTCACCTTAAGCCCGCGCTCAAGGATTTCTTCGGCCTTGGGACCGCGGACAGTGACATGGACAGCGATCTTTTCGTTACGTCGGATACCGAACGTTCGGACTGTGTACCGGGCTTTGCCTGAAAGAGGGCAGATAATGTTAGACAACGCTGCGGGAGAGTGACGACCACTCCAGAAACGAGTACGGAAAACGAATGCGTACTGTAGACAGGCGTTTGACCAGATAACTGTTCGAGCACTTTGGCAGCGCGGGTAAGTCTATCACCGGATTCGCCGACAGAGATGTTGAGGACCAGTTTCTCGATGCGTAGTTCGCGCATGGGGTTTGCGCTCTTGTCTTTTTGGGATTCCGCCTGGTGACCGCAAATTAGCATTGTGGTGAGCAGTAAAGCCCATGCACCTGCAGTCACTTGCCATGATCGAGAATGCGTTGGAAAAAGATGTTGCGAAGATGCTAATGCTGTCGCTGCCGTTGATAGTTGAGGCCCTGTGTGGGCGATTAGCGAAAGTATAGCGCGCTTGGCGTGTAATTTATAACTAGCGCAAGTCAAGTCGTTTTGAGAACCTCCAACCGCAAGAATCTAAAGCTTCATACACCATACTGCGCGCTTGACATTCGAAAGAGTGGAGAGCCCAAGAAAGCTTGGAGCTTCCTTACAATCTTTGGACAAGACAAGTCGCGTGAGCGACCACAGTCAATCATTATGGCGAACAAACAGGGGAAGATGGTAAGTCTCGGTCTCGAAAATCGGCCTTTTATTTCATGTCAGGCTTTGTCAATACTCTTGCTGATCGATTCACGTGGTAGCAAAACCTCGTAAGCTCCCGAGCTCCCTCCCGACCAGCTCTCAAATCCCTTCCGAGACGCCAGAATTGCATACAGAAGTACTAATACTGGTCCAGATCAATTACCGAATGAGAATTACACTGAATGATGGGCGACAAATGACTGGGCAAATGCTAGCATTCGATAAGGTTAGTCCATATCAAGATGAGAGTCTGCTTCTGCTAACTTTGACGCAGCACATGAACCTCGTCCTTGCAGACACAGAAGAATTCCGCCGAGTAAAGCGCAAGCCCACCAAAGGCGCACAATCTGCTCCTGGCAGCTCTACACCCGCACTCGTCGAATCGGAAGAAAAGCGCACTCTCGGTCTTACCATTGTTCGCGGCACTCATATCGTCTCCTGCTCAGTCGACGGCCCTCCTCCCGCAGACCCATCGGCAAGGTTAGGAGCAAGCGCACCAGGAGGTGCTGGAGGTGCACCACCTACGTTAGCTGCTGGACCGGGCATAAGTAGACCAGCTGGAAGAGGATTGCCTGTTGGACTAGGTGGACCGGCTGCGGGAGTAGGAGGACCAGCGCCGCCAGGAGGGTTTCCTGGATTTCCACCTGGTGGATTCCCTGGTGGTGCACCACCAGGGTTTGCGGGTCGTGGAGGACCCCCAGGAGGAGGACCGCGTAAGCTCATTCAAGAACAACGAGCCAAAGCACAACGCTAATTATTGGTTTCTAGCTGGATTCGCACCACCGCCTGGATTTCCCGGAGGACCACGTAGGCTCTACCCCATGTCCCGACTCCTGATGTGATGGTGGCTGACGAAATTTCTAGCGCAAGGGTTTCAGCCGCCGCCAGGGTTCCAGCCTCCCCCAGGGGGCCGCGGTTTCCCACCGCCAGGATTCCAAGGGCGGTGATTTACGTGACAGTTGGCTGATTGGATCGATGTCAAAATACATGGAGACATTGAGCCCCCTGATTCGAGCATGAGAGCTCCATCTCGACCAAAGTGAAAGCAGGGACATGAGGAAAGTCCCAGCAGTGGTTCTGCAAATGACTAGTGCCAGCACTGGCGTTTGGGAGGATGGACTGCTAATATACCACAAAAGCGTCAGAATAGTCAGGACAAATCAAAAACTTCAGAAGTCACCACTTGCCGGACCTCAAGCTTCTCCCTTCTTTGTAGATGCAGACCAAATAGTAAATCAAAAGGCACGTGACAACCTTTCCGCCAACATCGTCAGCCCTATCGGCAATAACCCAAAACTCCTCAAATCCAAGACCTGCTCCTGCGCTGTAACTGAACGCATCTTCCTCCCCATTACCACTCGCACAATGGCAGCCGCAATATCAGCGCTCAATGCCAAGATCCGGTCCCAGCCGGTCTTGAACTATGTCTGCTCAACCCGTACGTCGGCCTGCGCCATCACGCCTCTACAGCTCCGAAACAAGACCGGATCACCGACTGACCTACTTCACTCTCTGCAGATTTCTGGGGCCCGGTCTCCAATTTCGGCATCCCCATCGCAGCCGTAATGGACACGCAGAAAGATCCCGACATGTACGCTCCCTCCCACTCTTCCCCCCCCCCTAGCTGCCATCTCCGGAGCGCACTTTTCCCAAATCACCGCGACTCGTCTGACGTGATTGGTAACATAGCATATCCGGCCGCATGACGGGCGCCCTGGTCCTTTACTCCGGCACCTTCATGCGCTACGCCTTGGCTGTTCAGCCGAAGAATTATCTGCTGTTCGGCTGCCACTTTGTCAATTTCGGAGCGCAGTTGACGCAGGGATATCGGTATCTAGAGTACTGGAAGTGAGTGGCATATTCTTCTCTTCTAAGAAAGGTTGGGGACTGGATGGTACCTTGGACGGAGAGTGTGGGTGTTGGAGGGTAAATGGGATATGAGATTGTGATATGGGAAATTGAGGGGACGTAGACCTGGGAACAGCTTCTTAGGCAGGAACGGAATGGCATTTTCGGAACGGATTGCTATGTTTTTGTGGGTAGTGGATACCTACTAACGTGTCGTTAGCTACGGCGGACGAGAAGCGTCACTAGAGGCGAAAGCGAAGACAGAGGCGAATCAGATTGCTCAAGATGGCAAATCAATAGCTGGGGACGCCAAGGCTGGTGCGGAGGGCATTGTCGGCGACGTGAAACTGAAGGCAGGAGAGCTGAAGCAGAAGGTGGTGAAATAGTATGGTGGAGGATGACGATCGGTCAAGAGACTTGGCGGGTATCTGTCTGTAAATACGTTTTCAACACCGCCTGTCTCTGGTCTATTTTCAAGGTACGTTTCTGAAATGAACATTGCTTTCGCAGGAATTGGGTGGGAGTCTTTACGCTGTATGAGTAAGCTGTGGCACTAGTAAGTTATGGAAGGCATGCCTTTGAACTGAATTGTTGTGATTGGACCTGTCACTCGAAACAATTAATCTATATGTTCAGGCTTTTGTTTCCCTCGCGGACCTTCTGAAAGGGGTTGATGACTGCGTAACGTGCTCGCAGGAAGGAATTTTTACCGTCTCTGCTGGAGGTCGACCTTGCCGCCTTTTTCGATGACTGTCATAAAACGGCGGCAATGTCGTGATCAGCATTCTGGAAAATTGTCGTCTTCCCCGTCTTCTTCCTCGTCCTCGTCCTCATCTTCGCCGTCTTGATCGTTCTCATCCTCATCTTTCCCCCCTCCTTCTAAACCATAGTCATCCTGGAAAAAATCCAGTGGCTTGACCTCAGCCTCAAATCCAATCCCTCTAAAACCCTGGACGATTTCCTTTTCCATGATCGGGGCGCAAGTGACGACTAAATTAGAGGTTCTGCCTTCAAAGATGGGGAGTAGAACATTCCTCATCAAGTCTCTGAAGTCCTCACTAGTTACGTTCCTGACACGTTCTAGTATGATGGTCGGCCAGTCCTTAGGCAATCCTCTCATGACTTGCCGTACAAAGCTAATCTCAGCTGCACTTGCCATGGTTGCTTCTGCATTAGCGAAGCCCAGCACAACTGAGCTGACGGCGCTTTCCAGATCGAGAGGATCGATTACTCTCTCGCCAAGGGCGAACGATCGCATGACCTCCTTGATGGCAACGAACGCTACAAAGGCGTTGGGAGAACGGGAGATGTCTAACGATACTTGGCCAGAGCCAACGTGGTGGCGGAAGCTGACGGTGTATGCAAGACCCCTACCACGAGCGGCTGCTGACACTGGTCCTTCGATGTTGTTGAGATAGGCAGTCGCAACCATGAGTGCTGGCACGAGATGGTCGTCGTAAGAGGACGGGCCTTTGCCAACCGCGATCGCAAATGACGAATCAAGCGATGGCATTGGGATGACATAGGCCGAATTACCTGGGCTTTTGCCCTGTTCACTGAGTCTTGAGAGGCGAGTGTCTAGGGGTTTGAGAGATTTGCCGTTGTCAAGTTTTGTGGTAAGAGTATTCCACGAGGCGACCGGGTGAGGGAGCTTCTCTACGTTGCCAACGACAAGAATACGCCAATTGTCTGGCTGGCAGAGTGCAGAGTTGATGTCTTTGAGTTGGTTGATGATGGCCTCGGGGTCCTTTTTGAGGAGATTTTTGACGCGTTTGAGGTAAACAGCACCCACAAGTGTATTACACGCCCTGGTGATAGACGAAGGTGCGGTGCCAACCATTAATTCAGCAGCTAATCTCATGTCATCCCCATCTCGCTTCTCATCCGGTATGTCTGCCAGGAGCCTTGATGTTATGGATTTGACTCTGTCGAGATCAAAAATAGAGGAATACATCAACTCTCTCAGCCAATGAATTGCCGTTTGATATTTTTCGACCTCGACCTGCATTCTGATTGTGACGACTTCAGGATTGCCAATAGGCTGACCTGAATCGACAGCATAGCCTACAGTGTCCCTTTCCAGCTCCATGATGACTTGTTCAAAGCCGATTGTCTTCCCGTCGCGCAGCATCGGTGTGCTAAAAAATCCCTCCATGTAGATGGTCAGTAGCGGTCTGAGGGAGACCGGAATCGCTTCAGTACCCAGCACAAGCGTCAAGTAAACAAAATTTGACTGCACATGTTCGAAATGTAAGAAAACGGGCAGATCGCTGTCCTTGTCAATAACTTGCTGTGCTGGATTTTGGAGGGAGCCCATATTTCGGGCCGCACCAGCTCGTGCAGTTGTCGTATTGATAAAGTGGATTGATGATGTATTTGGAACCTCAAATTGCTCGAGAACTTCTTTGGGGACCTCCTTATCATTCTCCGCCTTTGCGGCTGCAAGCCTTGCAGACAAGTCCTCAAGTCCTTCGACTCCCAGTCGCTCCTTTCGTGCCGCAATGCGAGCCTTTTCTCTGGACTCGATCTTATCAGGCAGAGCAGCCGAGGGTTTACCAATTACACTGATATGATGGGCTTCTGACATCCAGACCCTCAGCCAGTGTCTCCATTGGGAGTCTTCCCAAGTCTCCAAAGTATCGTACTCTCCCAAATTTTCGAGATCAGCCTTTAATGTTGATCCGTCACGTTTGCCGAACAGAAAGTCCTTGACAATTGGTTCAGTGAAGAATCCTCCTGAGCTCTCGGCGTAGAATTTCACTTGACGCTTTTCGCGCCGAGTGCAGTCTTTCATGTACTCGAGATCAATTGGCTTCGCAGCGGTCTCCCTAAGAAGCTCATGAAACCTAGCTTCGACTTGCTCCAATTCTTCTGTAGCAACGCCAGTCAAGGTAAATTGAATGACTGTCTTGGGTCGATATTCACATTCGTAGAACACCCCACTAGCAATTTGCTCCTTCTCTACAAGCGTGTTGTCCAAGACTGAGGCAGATGAGCCGGCAAGATACCTAAGGAGAACATTCATGGCACCACCTACAGAGCCATTATCAGCTACATTGACACGCGTATTGAACGAAGGCCGAACACTAACAAAGAAGGTTATCCGCCAAGTCAGGTCCGAAAAAGTTCATGAGTATTTCGCCTGAAGACTCGTCTGCTTCGGGGAATTCAACGTATTCGACGGTTGATTTTTCCAGCGGCAGCGTCTGCTTGGATTCTAACCAAGGCCGGCTAAAAGGTGCGCCAGGTTTGGGTATATCTTCCAATATGGTACCCTCAAAATGTTCCAGAACATCCAACAGGTTCACATGATCGACGGCGCCCACAATGACCAAACACAAGTTCTTCGGCTGGTACATATCATGTTGAAACTCGCGGATCCGGTGTGCACTTAATGCCCGCAGAGATTCCATCATTCCAAAAGTTTCATACCTGAAGCCTACCCCCTCAGGATACAATAGTCGTTTGGACTTTCTCCACATGAGCCCGCCTTTCTGATTTTCTTCCGCCTGCATCTCGGAGTACACTACACCAGCGTCATTTCCAGAGCCATCCACATGATGTATCTCTGTATAACAGCTGGCATCTGTTAATGTGGGCGCAACGATATGTTCCAAATAAACTGGAAGTATCTGCGCAAATCCTTCCCAGCCAGCAGTGCTTAGTTCGTAGGCAGTGTGATCGGTCGCTGTGTATGCATTGGTATAGGAATACGCTCTTGTGGCAAGCTTGTCCAGCATTCCTTTGTACTGATAGCTCTTAGACCCCATGAAACATAGATGCTCGAGAGTATGAGGTGCCCCTGAATCGTCATGAATCTCTGTTGCAAGAGTGAAAAGACCGTCAACTTTGGGACCCTCTTTATCAACTATCACAATCCTCATTCCCGTTCTTGTAGACTCATACTGCGTTATAGTAGTAGGCGAATACTCCGTGCTGAATTTCTGAATCTCTTTGAAGTGCGTTGCGTTTGCTTTGTGAGGCGTAGACGTTGGTGACATGATGATTTGCAGTGTTTTGGCTGTCTCTGAGGAGATGCTTGTATGGCTCAGAGAATATCGACCATGTATCAAAGCATACCAGACTGCTAGAAGACCAAGCAAAATTGATAGGACTGTTGAGCAATATGTTACGCTTACAAGAACTGTACGCATAACATGATGCTCCAGAAAATGTTCTCAAGGGATTTGACCGAGGTGAAAAGGATAGTTTACTTCGTAAAGCTTTCAAGGTGCTAGACCAAATGAAAATACAACGAAGCTGCTGCCAACAGGGGTAGCTACAAACAAATAGGTAAGCGATTCCTTTTGCTCAGAACCGTAAAAATATTGCTAGATTCAAGCAGGTCAGCTCTCCTATCTACATATTGAAACAGGGTTATGAACCTTTATGAATTGAGAAAAAGACACTGGATATAAGGATGACAGAATTGTATCATGGAATGAACGCTTTGTGAAGAGAAGTACGGCCGGGAGGATTCAGCAAAAATATGGTCGTTGCAGGCTGATCCAAACTATCTGTGCTTTCTATGGAAAAGTTGCCAAAGGAATGGTATGGAGGGTGCACCAGGAGGGAAGAAATGTCAAGATCAAACTTAACACACAGGATCTCAGCCCTACCACCGAGGCGTAACTTCGGCTTTACGACTTCCATGCGCCGTGATCACTGCTTCGACCATCTCCATGCCGTCGCGTATCACGCCTCAGCAGTATGGCCTGGCCGTGCTTGAACATGTGCAGACCGGCGCGTATCCCGAGTCTGAGGAGGTCGTCTCAGCGGATTTCCCTCCATCAGCGTTACCCGAAGTTTCGAAGCTCATAGAGCAAGCACGAGAAGATGTCAAGGTTTGGATTCACGGCTCGTTTACTAGCATTTGAGGATGATTGATAACCCTGGTCACAGGTCAGTATCAGGAAAGCCAGCCGGGACAGCGCCCCGGATATCGAAGGCTGGATTTCCCAAGCAAAGCAGCTACGTGTCGACATAGAGAAATCCCAGGAGATAGCCCGAGAGATTGTGGAACAAGCCCGGCAGGCTGAACTCTTGGAGGAGCAGGTCAACGATGCTACCAGCAAGGTAGGATTATTGAATGGCGAGGTGGCCTTCAACAAGAGCTTGGCGGCGACATTGGAGGCTCTACAGGCAACAAAAAGGACTTTGGATCTTGTCCAAAGAGCTATACTGGCTGGCCAACTACTGGAAGCTGTGGACCTTTCGAGACAGGTGGAAGGGGAACTCGACTCAATCCCTGTGCCTCAAAGCGCCAGAGTAGCTGGCGTCGTTGGTGCCAAGGCTGCCGATCTACGAAATGATGTGGTTGAGAGGTTGATAGAGTCTTGGAAGGCATACATTTGCGTTGATTCGGTTAGATCTTCAATCAAGATCTCACGTAGCCTTAATGGTAGGTCTCCTGCGTTTTCTTCTTCTGACCCTGGGCTCATTAACTTCCAGACTCTTCTACAGTGGATATTCAAACGTTGGTAGCCGCAATGACCAAGCTACAAGTATTCGACAACGTACTACTTCCGTTTTGCAGAGACTTCGAAATGCTTGTAGTAGCACCTCGTCTGCAGGTGGGAGCCGACGGTGAAGTCGGCTTCTTGGAGATTGACGGTGACGAGGTTAGCGTGTCTGGGCAATCGTCAGACTTGAGCGCTGAAGCTCTATTCTCGGACCTCGATTCAATTATTGCTTTCTTGCGCACAAGACTACCGTCGTCCGTGGTTGAACCCCTGGCTCAACATTTGATGCCACGTCTGATCTCAAGGTTGATCTCAACGTGGCTCGCCTCAGCGGTACCGGAAGACCTGGACGGAATGGATGATTTTCAAGAGACAATGTCCTTGGTCCAGAATTTCGGCAACTCTTTGGACTCATACAAATGGCCGGGCAAACGTGACTTGGGTGACTGGACTAGGAGCATACCCAATGTGTGGCTTCGAAAGCGTCAAGAGACTTCACTCAAGAAGATCCGAAATTTGCTTTCCCATGGGATTAGAACAATCGAGACGGTCGAGCGTGTGGAGACGCAAGTGCTCTCACGGCACGACCAAGTTTTCGCAAGCAACAGTGGTGGCGATGATTGGAATGCTGGATGGTCTGATGACGAGTCTGGGTCACCCACCAAAATGCACGCACCCAGTGCTAGCAACGCAGCACAAGGTGAGGATGAAGAGGATGTCAGCGCTTGGGGGCTTGATGACGAGAAAGAGAATGGGACCGATCAAGGCGACCAAGAAAATTCTGCTGCTGCTGCTGCTGATGTTGATGTTGATGTTGATGATGAAGATGCATGGGGATGGGGGGATGAGAACGAGGGTGAAGGAAGCAAGAAGGCACCCCAACCCTCGCAACCCAATATCAAAACGACCCAAAGAAACGGACTAGCCAGGGCACCCGAACAGGCTGCACGCGAAGTAACCCTGAAAGAGAGGTACAATATTACGTCTCTACCTAAGGAGATACTAGAAATGATTACCCAGATTGTCTCAGATGCTGAGAAACTTGAAACGTCCGATCTCGCCAACTCGCCCATCGCCTCTGCCGCTCCAGATCTGCTCTCTCTACCAGGTCTGTTGTTAGCCATGTATCGCGCCAGCGCCTCAGCCAGCTATGCCGCTCACTCGAGCGGCAGCATGTTCCTCTATAACGACAGTCTTTGGCTTGCGGAACGCCTTCAGCAGCTCGCTTCTCACCACATAACCCGGTCAGGAAAGCATATCCAAAGTCGAACGGCGCACAACCTCAACCTTGAAGCTCATGTTCTCGCCCTTGAAAGCTACGGTAAACGTGCGTACGCCAAAGAGATGGAATCTCAGCGCACCATCATCACCGACCTGCTCGACGGCGCCCAAGGCTTCGTCCACTGCACCGAACATCCCTTCAATCAGGAGTGCGACATTGCCATAGCTTCCACTGTCGACCGTCTCCGCGGCTTGCACAAGCAATGGAAAGACGTGCTTTCACACTCGGCTTTACTGCAGAGTCTGGGCTCACTGCTATCAACCGTCACGAACAAGATGGTAGTCGACATCGAAGACATGTCTGACATATCGGAGCCTGAATCTCAGCAACTGGCTGGCTACTGCAATCGAATAGCCGCTCTCGAAGCACTCTTCCTACCGATCCCCCCGCCACTCACAGATGCAACAGCTGCGGCTCAACCTCACAGCAACGAGCAAGATCCTGTTCCGCTGACGGCGCTTTACGCGCCTCACTGGCTCAAGTTCCAGTATCTGGCTAACATCTTGGAGAGCCCCCTGGTGGACATCAAGTATTTATGGACGGAGGGGGAACTCGGACTCGAATTTGATACCGAAGAATTGGTCGATCTTGTTGTGGCTTTGTTTGCGGACACCCCGCATCGGAGGGGCGCAGTGGCTGAGATCAGAGGTCGAAGGGGAGTGAGGTAGAGAACGATCGAAGGGACGAGAGCTTTTTGGGATAGTACCGAGGGACAAAATTAATATGACATGAAGGGCGGCCGGCTAAGCTTCCGATCCTAACACAAACGCAATCCTTTCGAAGTCTCCAAGTCCCAGTCCCTCAATGCCATACATTGCCTTCCCCTTCCCCTCCGCTCCCTCCAACCACCAAAACCCACACATCTTTCACAGCATATCCGCACCCCATGCTCCAGCTCCCCGAACAACCCCCCCCCCAGCTCCCTCTAACCCCCGACGAGCCGCCCCGCCCCGCCATCCTCTCATCCACCACTACATCCCACCACGCACGCACTCCAAACCCCGTGCCCGTCTCCCCCCCGCCCGTCTCCCCCCCCCGCCCATCGCCGCAGTCGGTGTTTCAGAGCCGGCGCCCGGATCGTACCGGCGTCGACGGCGCTCCGACTCCGGCCCTGCTACCGCCGGGTATCCCATCTACCGAGCAGCTCCCGTCCGAGTCTTTCCGAAGTGGGTGTCGAAGTCGGCGCGCGAGGCGGCTATTTCTACCAACGCCGGGGGGGGGTGTCGTTCGCGTTTGGTGCAGGGTCGACGTTACGTTGTGGCCGTGGTGTCGGAGAGGTTCGCGCGGTCGGTACCACTCACGGTGCGTTCCGTCGTGGACTTTGCTCGGGCGGCTTGGGCCTCGGGGTCGATTCGGCGTTGGCTTGGCTGTCCCGTTTGGGCGATGGCGCTTGGGCAGCATCTGAGATGGCGGGGTTGAGCTTTTTTTTTGGTAGGGGCTGGTCGGAAGTTACGATGGAGTAGCGTGCATCAGTGGTACAGGGCCTGTCGGTGGACGAGGGAGACCTTGGTGGTAGCCTGAGACAGATTCTTGATCCGTGGCAGGATGAGGAAGACTGTAGTTCTGGAGAAGTAGACAGGGTCTAAGATATTCAAGTAGGAAGAAAGCAGTGCTACAACCCTGACAAAGAAGGGTTTTACGCAGACAAGGGCGATCTGAGCGTTGGCTGGACTCGCGTAACCGGACACCTGTTACAAAGGGCAGTCTGGGATGATCACTTTGGATGACTTGATTGGTTGAGAGTCAAGTCGGCGGCATGTGGGGAAGACGGCCTCGACGCAGTGAGTGCAGGCACCGCATTAGCCACGGCAGAGACGTATCGCACCCACATACCTCCGCTTCCCCTGCACCAACCGCTCACAAGCCCAACTCCACGGCTCCTCTCAACTCCACCCCAACCGCGAACAACACCCTCACCCCGGCCCCCACCTGCACCACCTCGCCCGCTGGAAAAAACGCCGTCAATCCTTCCGTCGCCATCCGTCCTAACCTCTTCACCACCGCCGTCACAATCTCCTGACTCAGCACACCGACGACAGACTGCAGGTTCAGCGTCAGCTGTCCCGCGCGCAGGAGTATGCGCCGCCGGGGTTGCAGCTCGATGCCAAGGAGAGAGGCGGCGAGGAACTCGCAGAAGAAGTTCTGCATCCAGATGTTGAGTCTGGTTTTTTGGGACGTGAGGTGGTCGGAACTGATGACGTAGGTGAATTTGTAGAAGCGGAAGACGTAGGTTGAGGAAGGCTGGGCGCTGAAAGGGATGGTTCCTGGGGGCCGGCTTGGGACGCGCCGTTTGGAGAGGGTGTGGAATGTTTGCGGTTTCTCGACTAGAGAGTTGGCGATGGTGGTGGGAAGATCGAGATGGAAGCCGGGGGTTTGAAGTAGCTGCTTGACGTTCTGATGGTCGAGGACAGAGCTCTGGGAGGAAAGTGGGTTTGCTGAGCAGGTCTGGATAGTGTATGATAAAAGTAGAAGCAGACAGACCTGTAACGGCAACAGCAAGCGTAGGGAAGAGCGCATCGTTTAACAACGTTGTTGAAGTTGAGCCAGATAGCAAAATAGAAACCTGAGGCGAGGTGAACGAGAGCAAAACTTGGTAAGAATGGATACCGACGAGAAGACGGTAACGACAAAGAAAGATAAATCACAATTGCAGCAATCAATCGATGCATTGACGCGCATGCTAGGCGTGGTTTTGCAGCATCTCACAATAATTTCGCGCAAATCTCCATTAACACTGTGTCATGCAGTCATGGAATGTAACATCTAGTGCATTAAGAGTCCCCTTAAATGAAGAACCGCGAGTATCGGGAATATCACCATTGCCCTCCAGCGACGCCCATCCGGGGTAGGCATTTCCGATAGCCGCATCCTTGCCTACTGCACGAATGTTAAGGCCTTCTCAAAAGGGTGATCAACAAACTGTGGCAGAATGGCATCCTAGAATTAGTCGTTCCGCAATCTCCAAAACGTCGTAATACATTCATCATCCTCTCCGCGGCGCCTCTTACGGCCGCTACTCTCTTGGGAGCTTTCATCCCGTCCCCTCTTCCGACTCGGCTTCGATTCCGGAGAGCTTGGAAGTGGAGTCGGGTACGCTGTATTCTCGAGGTGTAGCTGTGGCGAGGCATCCCTCACTAAGAAAGCCTCGTCACGCAGCTGTTCGTGTGAATTCGGAATGGTGATTTGCTTTCCGAGCAGAGGCTGGGCCTCAATTTCAGACACGCTGGCGAGGAATTTTGGGGGCGAGTTGGTCGATTGGACATGTTGTAAGCTGGCTTGTATGAGCTTTCCAAGGTCCGCAGTCCCAAACTCGTCCTTCTCCTGGGTATTCGTTGATTGGTGTAGTAGATCTGTGGAAGCGCTTTGTGTTGGAGAAAGCTTGCGGCGGCATGGGGTACCGGCACAATCACAGGGGCACGACGGTCCAGGAGAAGTTGCCGTAACGCGAAAGTGTTCCGCGAGGCTTTTGGTTGGTGACCGTGGGAACTCTTCGCTGGGCCCGTGAGACATTCCAGTACGAGACGATGGTGTCAATCCTTCGAATTCATGAAGCCGACTCAAGAACCTTGGGGGTGACATGGTCTCCCTCAGCCGTTGTAGGCTTGTAGCCAAGTCAAGCAGCGTATGCTCTAGTTCAATCTTCTGCCTCTCTTCGTAACCCTGACGATCGTCCAGGAGGAAGATCCCACTTTCATTGGTGTAATAGAAAGGGGAGGCAGGAGGAGTCCAGCTTCTGCACGAATTCTTAGGACCTCCGCATAAGTCGGGGCACTCTTCGCCAGTGAAGGAGCATGGGGAATCAGAGCCATCGTCCAAGCACTCACTATCGGTGTCGGATGAGGTTGGTGAGGCGGGTCTTGGAGGTGTGATTGTGAGTGTCCGTGGTGACACACGAATGGAGCCGCGGGTTGTTGTCATTATGTCGACCCTATGGTCTCTGTTGAGCATAGCGATGTTGTCTGATTCCAGTGGAGGAGTAGACTTGACGGTATCAGGCGTCTTTCCAGGAGCTGTAAGGGCCTGAGATTGGTAAGGGTAGTTGTATAGACGGCTAGTAAATCGATTATCGTACATTTCGTGATCGGCCAGTGGCGACGGGTGCTATGGCCTATCATTCGACAAGGCTTACGTATAAGGCTGGCGTGAAGGTGACTCAAGGCTCGAGGAAGCTATGGTTCGGATAGGTGAAGGAGAAGGAGAGGAGTTGGGCAAGAAGAAGAAGAAGAAGTAGTGAATGAGAGACTGAATTGAAGGATGCATGAAGATGATGATAGAAGTACAAAAGATGGAGGAAGGCAAACAGCTGATGGTAAGCGCCAGAAAAGGAATGCAATGTAAAGGCGTGGCATGGTTTGGTTCAGTACCTTATGATTTGGTTTGATCCCCCTCGTCCGTTGAGACTACTCTACTCCTGAACGAGCTGACGAAACGGGGCTGTGTTGAGGTTGTACAATATACAAAGCACTAAGAAAGGCTAGCAAATGTTTCAAAGAGAAGGGACAAACACATTTTCTGACTCTCGCATATAACAGGTTGGGCTATGATTACTATACCGGCCAGGAGAGACTGACTTTTGAACATTTTGAAGCGACTAGTTGCGAATATGAACTTTGTGTGATGCTATAAGATTTTGAAAGAGGAAGAGGTAAATGAGGAAGAGGATGAGGATGGGGGTGTCTACGAATGGCGGTACTGTAGAGTACTGTTAGATCATGCCTAATTTCCACCTGCAGCTGCAGAAATGCAGGGAGCCATCACCCGGCAAAGCACATGGTGACAGTGAAAAGCCCAGTGTCTCGTGCAGCCCTCGTGCATCATTTATTTATTCATTTATTTAATCATGCGCAATCCACGTCAAATTCTATGATGAAGTGACCCGTCTGGCTGGAATTGTTACTTTAACCTTCCTTTTGTTGCATGTTTGCCCCCCCCCTGCTGCTGATCATACTCTACCTTAGGGACCTACGTCTAGGGCGTCTTAGGCCCAGTCCAGTTGCACTAAGGAAGGGATTGATTTGTCTACCGCGCACCACACCATCAACGCTCTTGCATCCACACTGCGGAATACATGATGCATTGTGGACAAGGCAGAAAGAGGACTGCAATTTCTTTCTCATTTTTGACCTATTCATGTATCAAAAGCCATCACACCTTTGGCACCCCAGCTTACAATTCGCAAGCAGTTACCCATTCATCCTAGCATCAGCCAATACAAGCAAGCCTGAAAAACATACGAGTCCACTCGTCGAACGCCTGGTACCTGATCCATGCTAATCCATACCAATCCGTAACATTGAGCATCTTCTCGCTTAAGCCATCATCAAGCTCCCGATGTTCCCACGTCTTCACTCCTGACTCAATGCCCTCTCTCCCTTCTCATTTCCCACTGCCTTTAGTCCAATTCTGCCACATGCCACCGAGGAATCCGGGTGCCTTGTTCTGCTCCGCGAAACTCGCCTTGCGGGCTGCAGCTGATGCGTCCTGCGAGTTACGCTTTTGGCTGTTGAGGCCTGCGAATTTGGTCACGGAGGACTGTGGTGCGTACAGATGTCAGCATTGCTATCTAATTTCTTAGAGGCCTTGTGAATGATCATTGAAAGTAACCAAGGGCGGAGTAGAGTTGCATGGGTAGTGGAGGTCGATATTGAAGACGGGACTCCTGGGGTAAGGAGCGAGGAAGATTGACCGGGAAGTGGAACAGGAGAGCCGAGACGAAAAAAAAGGTTAGACGACTCACGCGTCTACGTTCAGCAGTATTACCACTACCAGCGTCACTGCCAGCATCACCGCTTTTACGCTTTGTGAATCCACCGACACTGCTGCCGATGTTGTTGCTGAAGACGCCCTTGTTGCCGGAGTTCGACATGGCTGCTTCGATGTGTATTTGAGGGAAAAAAGATCAGGTTGAGATTGATAGAGGGTAGACCAGCTTGGAATGCGGAGGTGTATTGATTTTGTAGTATGCAAGATTTTGATATAAGTAGAATTGATGGGGGGGTGGTTGCGGGAGGGATAGGAGGTGTGTATGAGGAACAAAATGTAAGGAAGAAGAAAGATTGTCCGGCTGCGCTTGCTCTTTCTCTACCTTACCTACCTTACTTACACGCTCGCACCACGCCGAGTAAGGGCAAATAGCTTCAATTGTTTGCCCAAGATTTGGTGCACTAGGTGTCCAGATAGTGAGGTCATGATAGCGCGTCGAGATCTGTGACTGGCCGGTGGCCTTCTAACAAACAACCCCACCAGCCCCCACCATCCCCCACCATTGGGGGTTTCTGCCCTAACAATCACCCCGCAATCGAACGATCACGAGATCACGAGAACAGGAGAACAGGCTCCCTCCCAGTCGTAGCTCTAAGAATGATATACTGAGACACTCCACTCTATTGATAGGAAAGATGTTCAAACAAAAAGGCCGTCTCAAGCAACACACAAGCAGCCTCCATTAAGTCATCCCGTCATACTCATCCCCTTTTTCACGATTTCACTATCTTGCACACAAGATCTTGCCCATCCACCGAGTCTCCCTCCTTCACCTTCAGCTCTGCAATCTTCCCGGAGTGTGGAGCACTGATGACCATTTCCTGTCCGTTTTGTTAGCGAGAGATTTTGGATAACTCAAGTGACAATAATTTGGGGCGACATACCATCTTCATAGCACTCAGAACAGCAACCGGATCTCCCTTCTTCACCTCTCCTCCATCATGCACCCGGACTTCAACCACCACACCAGACATGGGTGCCCCAACTTGACTGCTGTCGTTGCTGTCCGCCTTCGGCCTGCTCAGATTCTCTACCCCAGCCTTCTTGTCCTCGACAGTGACCTGTCTGACCTCTCCGTTCATCTCATAGAAGACCTCACGCTGACCAGTCTGCTCCGAAAGTGGGCCGATAGCCAGCAGCTTCAGGATGAGCACCTTACCCTTCTCCAGCTCTACGTGGAACTCCTCACCGACCTCGGGCTTGCTAAGGAAGAACCGAGTAGGCAGTACGCTCAAATCTCCGTACTTGCTAACAAACTTCCTGTACTCTTCGAATACCTTGGGATACATGGCGTAGCTTGCAACATCGCATTCAGAAGCACTGCCGAACTTGGAGTTGATGTCCTTCTTGATTTTTGCAAGGTCCATCGGTTCGAGGGTCAGTCCAGGCCGCTTGTCAAGCTTTTGTCGGCCGCGAAGAGCGTCGGACCGCAGAGGTTCTGGGAAGCCACCGTATGGCTGACCCATTAATCCTTCGAAGAACTCCAGTACCGACCCAGGAAAGTCGAGCTCTTTGGCCTTCCTCTTGACGTCTTCTTCGCCAAGCTTGTTGGACACCATGAATTGAGCCAGGTCACCAACGACCTTCGAAGTCGGCGTCACCTTGACAATGTCGCCGAGAAGGTCGTTGGCTTGCTCATAGGCCTTCTTCGTCTCGGCCCACTGTGCGCCAAGGCCCAGTTGAGAGGCTTGGAAAATCAAATTGGTCAGCTGGCCACCTGGTATCTCATGTTCGTAGACTTCTGGATCGGGTCCGGTCAGACCAGCCTCGAAGGGTGAGTAGAGCAAACGAAGCTGGGCCCAGTAGGTGTCTATCGCTCGGACGTGATGGCCGTTTAGCCCTGGCTCCAGTCCAGTCCCCTCAAGAGATGCAAGTAAGGCACCAACACTGGGCTGAGAAGTCATGCCCGACATGCTGTCAGTGGCTGTATCCACGGCGTCTGCACCAGCATTTGCACAGGCAACGTAGGTTGCTACTCCTGTACCCGCCGAGTCATGTGTGTGGACATGGATTGGGATATCCGGATACTTCTTCCTGATTGATCCAATAAGCATTGTCGCGGCTTTTGGCTTCAATACACCCGCCATGTCCTTGATGCCGATGATGTGAGTGCCAATCTTCACTATCTTTTCGATCAAGCCCATGTAGTACTCCAGATTGTACTTCTTGTGAGGATTGAGCATGTCACCGCTGTAGCAGACGGTGGCCTCCACCACGCCTCCAGCTTTCTGGACGGCCTTGATGCCTACCTCCAATTGATCGATGTCATTAAGAGCATCGAAGATTCGAAAGATATCCACACCGTATCGCTTCGCCTGCTCGCAGAAATGATAGATTGCGTTGTCTGGTAGCGATGAGTAAGCCACACCGTTAGCGCCTCGGAGCAGCATCTGGAAGGGGATGTTGGGAATAGCTCTCCTCATCTTCCGTAAACGATCCCAAGGGTCTTCGTAGAGGAAACGCATGGCCACGTCGAAAGTAGCTCCACCCCAGCATTCCAGACTGTATGCGTTGCTATAAGCATGACTTGTCTCCTTCGAGATGTTCAATAGATCCACTGTGCGGACCCTAGTAGCAAGCAGTGACTGATGCGCATCACGCCATGTCGTATCCATGACCAGGCATCCTTTGTTTTCCCGCACTGCTTTCGCATATGCAGCGGGACCTTCCTTGTCAATGATGTATTTCCAACCTTTGGTACAAGGTTCAGACATATCGATAAGTTTCCCATTATCGTCGTGGAGCTCGGGCATGATGATATCGCCCTTGAGCTTGGGCTCACCAATTTGGCCTTTGATGCTACTACCATTGACGGCCACATCTCCAAGGTAGCTCAGCAGCTTCTGTGCTCTGTTTTGACTTCCCACAAGTCTAAACAGCTCTGGTGTGTCGTCAATGAAGGTAGTCCAGCAAGTACCATCGATAAACGTTGGATGGGTAAGCAACGATCCGAGGAAAGGGATGTTGGTTTTTACTCCACGGATTCGGAATTCGACTAGAGCACGAAGCATCTTCCTCCGCACGATTTCATAGGTCGAGGCGAGGCATGTGCACTTGACCAACATAGAATCATAATGAGGGGTAATGATTGCACCAGCAAATCCATTGCCACCATCCAGACGCACACCGTTGCCGCCAGCGGATCGATAGACCTCGATCTTACCAGTATCCGGAGAGAAACCATTTGCGGGATCCTCAGTAGTAATTCGGCACTGGATAGCAAACCCACGAGTTGAGATGCGATCCTGCGTCAGGCCCAGCTGTTCCAATGATGCACCTGCAGCTATCTGGATCTGTGCTGCAACAATATCGATGCCGGTGATCTCTTCTGTAATGGTGTGCTCGACTTGAATACGTGGATTGATTTCGATGAAGTAATACCTTTGCTGCTGGTCCACGAGAAACTCTGCAGTGCCTGCATTGCGGTAGTTGACTGACTTGGCCAACTTGACAGCGTCCGACAAGATCTTATCTCGGACCTCAGTAGGCAGATCCTTTGCCGGAGCCAGCTCTACGACTTTCTGGTGGCGTCTCTGGACACTGCAGTCTCTCTCGAACAGGTGCACCACGTTTCCTGTGTTGTCTCCCAGGAGCTGGACCTCGATGTGCTTCGGCCGGTCCAAGAATCTCTCCACGAACACCGTTCCGTTACCAAAAGCAGATTTTGCCTCGGAAGTAGCTCGCTCAAAAGAGTCTTTCAGGGATGCCTGCTCTCGTACGACTCTCATACCTCGTCCACCACCTCCAAATGCTGCCTTGATGATGATGGGAAACCCGTACTCGTCTGTGAAAGACTTAACGTCTTCGAATTTCTCAACAGGGCCATCGGTTCCGGGCACAACGGGTACATTGCATTTCATGGCGAGTGTTCGGGCAGAGACTTTGTCTCCCAAGGAGTCAATGGTCTCAGCGGTGGGCCCAACAAAGATCAAACCTGCCGCCTCGACAGCTCTTGCGAAACCCGCGTTCTCAGAGAGAAATCCGTAGCCAGGGTGGATCAAGTTAACCCCATGCTGCTTTGCAATCTTGATGATCTCGTCACCTGCCAAGTATGCGCCCACAGGAGTGTATTGCCCTCTTTTCCCAATTACGTAGGCTTCGTCGGCTTTCTGCCTATGCATGCTGAGACGGTCTTCATAGCTGAAGACAGCTACCGTCTGTAGCGAGAGCTCGTGGGCAGTTCGGAAAATCCGTATAGGGATTTCGCCCCTGTTGGCAACTACATCAATCACCCCACGTTAGCAAAGGTAGCATCCCACGGTGCGACAGACGCGGGATGCGGGGGTTCTGGACGCACCCAAGATCTTCTTCAATTCCATGATTGTCGAATTCGCTCGCAGCCTCTGATGCACGGTATGATCCTTGCCGGAGTGACCGGCATCGAAAAACTCAGCATACTTGTCGTTGTCGTTGTGTGCCATAATGAGAGGAAATGTAGAGGTCCCGCTGCAGAGCGGAGGAGCGGAAAGGTTGCAGGTGGGCCAATTGATGGCGTGGGCGAGGGATGGAAACGGGCGAAGCTGTAGGAGGTTTAGGAAAAGCAATGTTGTCAAGACGAAAGGTTCTCAGGTGATAAGAGGAGAGTGTGTTGGAGGATGGGAAATATGACGGATGGTTCGCCGAGAACGATTTGGCCGAAAACCGATAAGGACAGTGGTGACTGGCCAATTTACGGTTTGCTTTTTCCACTCCACCACTCTCCCCTGAAATGTCCGCCTACATATTTCGCACATTTTGACAGGCTTTACAAATTTCGCAAATCCGTCTGAAGAGCGAAAGCAGATAGACAGGGCAAAGACACGACACTGTTACTAAGCTTCTCCGACTGCTGGTCAAGGAAGAGCACAACAATACGGGTAACGGTACAGAATTTCGATGATTTTGCTCTGCTCATTTAAGTTCCTATCTATTAAGTACACGTTGGAAGCTTGCTAAAACTCTTGAACGCTTGCATAGAACACGTCCGAGCTGTCGTAGGTTCCTGCTAATCATCACCAATTGCTTTGTATGTTCACGTCGAAAAGCACCACCACGAGAATACGCCTCGACGACGGAGTAAGTGGTGCAACCCTGTTGAGAACTACTCGGCAACTTTTGTCAACTAAATCCCGTAACGCCGTCGAGGGATCTAGAAGGCTCGGTAGCCGGTGGGCTGAGGAGTTATGCCATTGGTCTGAGAGTAAGGTGCTGGCATGGGACTGCTTCCTTGCGTCAGCATTAGTCTCGATCCTCCCAGGATGGGCGTGCTGTCCTCTTCTTTCTGCTCTTTTGCTTCGCGAGCCTTGCGCTCTTCGTTATCTTTCTTGAGTCCCTCAATCGTAGATGCCTGCTGGCTCATGTAATTGATCATGAAAGGCATGCTGAAGTCTGTAAGACCGTGACGCCAGGACAGCTCCATCACGACGTTGAGGCGAATGAGATCGTAACAAGCGTAGAGCATGCCAACGTAGCATTCTCGGCTGCCAATATCAACAAACTATGTTGTGTCAGTAAGTGCCTTTAAAAAATACTTTTGGAGTCGGAGGACACTTACGTAACGAAGCAAGTCTTCCACGACATCACTCTTGCTAGAGAGCGCCGCCGTCTCAATCGCGTCCTTGTACAGTTTGTCTTGCTTGGATAAACCTATCGATTTCTCCCATCTCTTATTTTTGCGGTAGATGTTGGCAGCGATTTGCCGGAAGAAGACAAGTTCATGTTTCTCAAGCCGTGATGCAAGATCTGCCCAATCGTAATTGTCGTAGTTCTCAACTGAATCACGCAACGTCTTGTAATCTTCCTCTTCGATAAGCAGATCATTAATGGCATCATTGACAGTCCTCTTGTTTTGGCTTTGAACGTTAAGCAAGAACGGCTTGATGAGGGGGTGGTCATCGGTCTTCTTGAACATTTTCACCACCCGGTTGACTTCAATACGAGGAGTCAGGGCTTGAAGTAGGTCCGTAAGTAATGTTGGTTGCTGTTCACGGTAGAAATTGAGAGCGCGATAGTAGATCTCGAGGTTGGCGACTTTGGCGATGATGTCTTTGAAGGAATGGTGTTCCCAGGCATCGGAAGAGCGCTCTATCATCGCCAGGGCAGCATTGTCCCATTCGTCATCGTGACAATAGAGGAAGATCAGTTCAGGCCATAGGTGTGCTTCCTCACAAGCACGGATCATCCCAGGCATGTTAATACGGGCCCAGAACAGCTTGAGATGCTCCATCACCCGATCAGGATGATACTTGGACAGCACAACGCCAAGGCTCGTAAACATGGCCTTATGTGCACGTTCAAGACCCAGCCCGGCCTCGAGCAGCGATATGAGCTCGTCGAAATAGCCGTTGCGCTCATATTGTTTAATCAAGTTCGGAAGCTCTTCGGCATGAACAATCAAATTGAGACCACAGATCTGAGCCAGTCGGAACTCCTTCTTTGCGACGCAGGCCTCGTTGACCTGCTTCCAAACTTTGACGCTATTTGCCTTCCGCGCACATTCGACGGCTGCTTGATAGTCTTCCAGATGCACAAGCGTTGTTGCAAGTTTCGCCCAATTCGAGATACTAGTGAAGAAGATCTTCGCAGCCGGGTGGTAGCCTTCTTCGTAAGCCTTGTCGCCTGAAGCTTCGACATCCGCAACGTTGGAAGAGTGCAAGAAGTCCTCAAGCTCGCTTAGCTGGTCCAGTCGAGCGTAGCAGAAAGCAAGAGCGGTGTCGATCGCTGGCTCTCGCTGAGTCTTTCGTGCCATACGCAGATACTTGACCAATTCTTCGTCTTTTCCAGCGTGAGTAGCAATGTCAATCACTTCAATGTGATTGCTTGGATCCTCTGCACGGATGTAGGACTCAATCGCATCACCAATACGGAGACCATCTAGTTGAGCTTTGGCAACCTTGCTCCAGACTTCGGGTATTTCTACGCGCTCGGCATACTCTTGGGCACGGTCAATGCTGACAATATGTTCAACCAGCACGGTTGTTGCTGCGGCATGGTTCTCCCCCTTCTTGTAGATTTCGAATGCCTCCTCTAGCAGGCCAACCGATATGCACATGTTGGCTATCTCTTCTGCATTGTAAGCCGAGAGTTGATGTATGTACTCCATCAGACGGCCCTTGTCAGCTTTGGCGGCTGTGAGCATGAGCAGATTTTGAAGACTGCCGTTGTCGCTGAATGGAGACGGTTCAAGGATGATTTTCTCGAGAAGCTCAATAAGCTCGGCGGGTAGATCGGCATCCAGGAATGCTTTGACAGCTACAGAGACTTTCTCGGGTTCAGTAGACTCAGGGACTGCGGTCGAGATAACCTGATCAACCAGCGAACGTCGGTGGATGTTATTGCCGTTAAGAACGAAAGCCCAGATCTCGGGATCAGCTCGCTCGAGGAGATACCGAGCTTGTGCCTTGTACATCGAATTTTCGTTGGTAACGTTGATGAGTTCAAGGTCGTTCTGGCCTTTCCGGTATGCAATGTATGCGAGGTTGGGGTCTCGCTTCTCACAGTATTTACCAACAGTCAACGGGTCGTACATATCGTTCTCTTTGAGGAACTTCTCGGGGTTGTTGTTGCTGTCGATGTAAATCTTGGCCAGTGCGTTGTAGACAGCTTGCTGCTGGTTCCCACTGGCGAGTGTAGCTTCGAGGAATGGTAGAAGCAGCTTGAGGCGGTTCCGTGATTCGACTTCGGAAACGAGATCGTTAATAGGAATAGAAGCAGGATCGACGGATTGGAGAAGATTCTTGATAATTGATTCATCGCAATCAACATCAAGGAGTCCACCGATGACAAACGGTGTTCTTGCAGGATTGACGCGCTGAACGTAAACCTCGATCGACTTGAATTGCTGGTTCTGGTAGAGGTAAAGAACCAAGTCATGTATGAAGTTGAAGCGGTCGCAGACGATAATTAGTGGCAATTGCTCCGTCAATTTGGCTTCTTTCAGGAAATTCTTTACCTTTTCCGGGTTGTAAAAGTTGTTATCTCGGCAAATCCGCTCGACTTCTGTAGTCTGCTTCATCGCAGTGGCAGCCTCAATGTATTTGAAAACGACCTCCGGATCTTCGCTCAGGTTCACGATGCTACCGAGATAGTAATACAGGCCCTCAGCTGTTCGATACCTCTCGAACAGGTCGATCAAACGGTGTGGTCCCAACGAATCAGAGTACTTGGTCGCAATCTGGTAGACGGCATGGAGGTTCTGACGAATATTGGCCTTGAGCATTTCATTCAAGCAGTCCAGTGACTGATCAACAGACAATCGTCCAAAGTAGTCGACTAGCCACCCTTCGGGATTATTGAGCTTGTCGGTACGAACGATGTTCCTCTTGATCACGGCTGGATCTTCGGTATTCTCTAGGACTCGCTGGTAGAGCTGAGCATTCTCACAAAGCTGGGCAATCCGGGCCTTGTCATAGTAGGAGAACATTTGATTGCCCAGTATGGCGTCGGCAACTTGGGGTGCATTGATTAGATTCATCTCCAACAAGCGTGTCTGCAGTTGACCTTGCTCGGGCCGGTTGTCTTTGAGCGCATCTAGAAGGAATGCCGTAGCTGGCTGAACCAGGTTTTGAGATTGGAAGACATCAACAACTCGCTCGATATCTACCAGTGGTCCGTTCTCGTCATTTGCAAGCGCGATGGCAAATTCAGCACCTTTGTCAGGATTTGTTTGTACGATGTTTCGGATCAGCATAGCAAAATCCGGCTGATATCCAGTCTTCTTGACGAAGGGGAGGATCTGGTCAATTTGCCCTGTCATTGCGAGTGCTGCAATGACTTTGTGTGGCACGTTGGCCCGCGAGTAGATCTGCAACGCAAGCGCAGGGTCATATGGTTGGGCAGCATCTCCCAATTCTTCCGAGCACTCCAGTTTGTTTTCATTCAACCACTTCTCTATCAAGTGCTTTCGATTCTGTTGAAGCACAAGTCGACCGAGCTCAAGACTCTCTGCTCTATTGAGTGGTCCCTTGTCCAGTAAAGTACCAAAGTATTGTAGATGAGGAGTCAATCCACCCCCCTGAGAAGGTAAGCCTTGAAACCTCGCGGTCGTTTGGGGCGTCCTCAAGAATCCCCGAGGAGAATTAGCAGCAATCTTGGCGGCATCCGTATATTGACCGGAAGCCATGAGGTTCTCGAACTGATGAGCGTACAGATTATCGGCTCCTGGTAGTCCAGCTCGTGAAGCAAGCTTAAGTGCGAGGGCGCCGTTTGCAGGATTTTGCAGTAGATATGGGATGATGGTATTCTCATCTACGCTAACGGAGAGGACTTGGCCTTTGCGGTTGACCCCCACAATGCCAGAAGAGTCAGAATCTGGGGCCGTCGTAAAGATCGTCTCGCTTGAGATACGGTTCATGAAGATGCAAGCGGCGGTCTCCAAGTCGTATAGGTGGATGAAGCCATATTTTGTCACCATATAGATGACGCTGTATTTCTGAGACACCTGCATGGCCACGGGAAAATCATTGACCGCTTCAGGAGGAAAGTACACGTCGACAGCTTTTTTCGCGAAAGGAGGGTTTGACGCCTGGTGGTCAATCTCCACAACGTGTAGCTTTGCTGACGCCGCAGATCGGACTGCGAAGGTGAAGACTCTTGTGTCTGCCGGGGCCCCTTCTAATCGAATGGTCCCGAAGGCTGCGGCATGAGCCTCAATTGCCTGGCTGATACCACGCTCTCTCGAGTATAATTGCATCTGACCAACAACACGACCTTGTTGTTGGGTGATTCCTACAACAGCCATCCATTTTTCGTCCTCGTTCACACGGTAGTTGATGATTTGACAGCCCTGTGAAATCAGTGTCAGGGGTGCCCTGTAGAAGATATAGTAGCACTCACAGAAAGATTTGCGTTCCGGTCGAACATTTTCTGTGGGGTAGAAGACGGTTGTTCGAAGACATTCCAGTGATACACCGAGTTCTCCGTTACTAGCCCCAAGCTATCCGGGCTGTACCATTTCCAGTATATCACGTCTTCCAGCATTGTGTTGGAATTGACTTTGATCTTCTGTCCGAGATCGAAGATCTGTAGGGTTCGCTGCTGCGCTTTGAGGGCAATGACCTGCTTGTACCAATGCATGATGGCACTGTCGGCCTTGATCGGCCTCTTGATGATTTCATTGTTATTTTTGAGGTTGACTATGATCACCTCAGGGTTGGCGCCTTCCGGAATGGCCTGGCGGACGCAGATGTAGTGGTCGGACTCTAGTGTCTGCTCACAGTCAGAGTCTACGACCACGCTTGCGAGGCTGTGGCACTCACACAAGAATTGAAGCCTATGGATTTTTGCTTTTCTAATGTCAGTATGACCTTGCGGAGGATGGAATATGAGTTATAGCTTCGACGGACGTACGTCAATCTCTGTATGCGTCAACTGTACAAAAGGACCTGTTAGCTGGTACCCCCCAATCTGCCCAGATATAGCCGGCCATGAGACTCACCTGAAGTAGCTCAGTGAAGCGTATAGGCAGGGCGTTGGCCGCCATGATTGAGGTGTGGCACAGTGCTCATCCACCAACTCCGCGCTTGCCGGAATCTGAGGAGCCAGGAAATAGCTGACTGGTAGGCTCAAAATGAATGACTAAACGTTGAAGAGCGCCCTCAATATGAGTGTGAAGAAAAGGAAGGGGAAGAAATTAGATGTGGTGATGTTGTTGACTTCCACGCCGGAAAGCTCCTGAATCTTTAGCTGCCTCGTGCCAAGATTTTTAAGGCTGGGACGCTGTATGTAAATCACCGATCCTTCAGAGTTTCCGCGCGCGCAGCCTCGAACTGTTTTCACCTCTGGAACACACATCAGGAACATCTGAGACCGGAGCCTGTATTGTTGATGTTACTGGCATTGGATTGCACTGGTACAGAATAGGTACTTGGAGAACGCACCAATATCTGGCACAAATATTGAACACGATTTAGAACTCCATATCAATCCATGGCGTCCTGTTTTCAATCTATCTTTACAAATTGCAGTTTCAGGAGTCTATACCGAGTACTTTCTATGAGATCTTTCGACCATACTCTCTCACATGACGATTATTGTCTTATCTACAACTAGTTTATCCCATACATAATCATGGCAGCATCTTGGCACAATCACTGTACAACGCCACTACTGCGGGCTTGCTGGGACGTGGATGTGCCAAAGACTTACATTGTGACCACCGAGGATGTAGCGCTGCCGGTAGAATGGCAAGATGCTATGATCGAATCTGTCCGGGAATGATACCTGGCTCCCTAGGGAGGTCACTGCAACATATCGCCAGTAGCCATGCACCATTTCGGAGAAGTAAATTTGACCTGCATCATTGATGGGCTTTTTGGCCTTTTGAAGAATATTCACCTAGAAGTATTCGTATTGTGGTGACTCCTCTGGCAGAGTTGTTGAGAGTTTTTGTCGTTCAAGGGACTTCAGGTGATGATTATATTAGCGATCTTTCAAAGTCTCCGTAAGACCATCCTTCTCAGGAGCGGGAGACTTGCGGTGTCTCACTTCCATGTCACAGTGAAGTAGTCGTAGCCCATCCGGAAATTTCTCCATTCGATGGACGGTATTGATAAAATACGGTACACTCGCACTAGTCACTAGCAGTAAAATGAAACTAACATGAATTTCTGCAGCCGAGCAACAGATCTTTTTTCTACATGAACAACGCAAAAATGAACATTCTTCATAAAAGCATTCCGATGAGACGGCTGCGTATGCGACCTCCATGAAATCAGGGAATCGTCAAATAGAATGGAGAACGAAAGCATAAGGGCCGGTCTTGGGTGCGGCGCTCTTTTCCCGCGCTTTGGGGAGGGCCGCAATGACTGGCTGTACATTCTCACGCATGTCCATATTCTCTTATCTACTTCACATTGTGGATGTAGTCGAGATGTCTATTGAGTGAAGTACACTTCTCAAGCGTGTCGAAGTTACGGATATAAGTGCTATGTCGAGACACTTGGTCTCCTACTACCAGCCAATCTCCTCCCAATATTCCCAAAACATACACTACTGCAAAAGAGCACGCTCGCAATCCAAATCCCAACACCAATGCTCTCGTTACTGATGAGACCGTCATAAGCCGCGCTATCGTGAGTCGTGTTCATTACACCTGCTCGTGGTGATGAAGCCGCTGGTGAGGGTACTATCTCCGGGTTGACTCCAAAAGCAATGGCTGTCCCCGCAAGGCCGACAAGCATGGAGAGAAGGAAGCCAGGTTTCGAACGGTCGACCAGGTACCAAAGTACGGGATTGACGAGTGCTAAGGTGAGAGATACCTGTGATGTCGACTGCCAGGGGAGCCTGCGCTGTATCATCTGTTAGCTTCATATTATACATTTAATGATTTGATGCCACTGCTTACAATTGCAAACGCAATTCCAATGAAGGCCCCTACGCTCCTAACAACAGGATTCCAGTCCGCCCCCAAGCCACTCCCCGACTTCGACCCAGGTCTCGGGTCCTGATCTTCACTAACATCTGCAGGCCTCGAATCTTGTGCTTCCGAAGCAAAGACTTCCTTGTCCCTCCCCAAGACCTCTTCCCAGAATACATCGATCCACGGCAGCAGTCCGCCGAGGAGAACGCCGACAACGCCCCAAGCCATCAAGTATGCCCATGATGATTGCTCAATACCTTCCAGCTGCACAGGTGCCACCTGCTGATGGTCGTGTAGATGTGATACTATGACTCCGTACGCCACGCCGAAAGAGAAAAGCAAGATTGTCCGTAAGCCTAAAGGTAGAATGTATTCCAAGAAGCTCTGATGGGGTTGATGAGAATGTGATCTTCGTGGTTGCGGACGCTTGTAGGCACCAATAACCGGTGGTTTTTGGTCGTCGATGCTATGCCGAGGTGTCTGGCTACCATTTCCCCATGGTTGATCACGACTTGTCTCGAAACCGGGGCCGGAAGGTGTGTATATACCGAAAAGAGTGGAGGAGGTGAGGTTGAGAATGGACCGGTTTCGATTGTTAGATATCTCCCTCTGCATTGATTCCGCCTCCATCCGAGAGGAATCACTGGTCTGCCGGGAATAATCTCGAGAGGGCGTCGTTGGAGAGGAAGGAGAGGAATTGGTGGAGGTGGGAGTGAGGTCGTAGTGCCTTCGCGGCTGAGGATGGAGCAAAGTTGTAACGTCTTCTGTCATGGTGGGTTATTTGGCCACAACAACCGAAATCCTTCTCAAATTGCTTCTTTCACTCTCCCGTCACGGCCCACATTGGCCCGAGAGAGATGGATTAAGTTGCTGATCCTGGCGGCATCCGGCTTTAACCAGCTCACGTTTGTATTTTGCAATCCTAACGAGATAGATGGTACATGTGATCTAGGCCAAGATATGTTTGATGGGTTTGAAATGGGCTATGTTGGAAAAGGAAGGAAATCACAAGTGGTGCAAGAGTGAATATCGCTGCAGCCTCGGTCCGAAGCTAAACACGAAAAGCGGGCCTTCGGGAGTGTAAATTATAGTCTTGCGCTAGAGTAAAACTTAATGTGATAGGGCTGTCCGCTGGATGTACACTTGCAGCGACCATTACCTTCAGCTTGGTTTTAGCAAGGCAACACAGTAGCCATCATGCTGTGTCTTCGTGCCATTCGATTCCTCGCCCGCTCAAACCTCCCCCGCGCCCAACCCTCCAAAAAACCAATGTCATCGCGCCGGTAACGCCCCATATATGTCACCATCGAAAACCCTTCTGACAGACTACCAGAGCCTTCAGCATACTCTCCTCAATCCGTCCTTGCATGCTCCGTCGAGACGCGTCAGCTCCATCGCCATCATCGTTACCGCAATCCGAGCCTACTCAGCCCGCCCTCGACCTCCTCCCCCGCATCTCCACTCATCCCTCCCTCGCCTCAGTACAGGTGCGCAATGGACCTCGAGATACATATAATCCAAGTCATAGGGTGCGGAAGAGGCGGGCTGGATTTCTGGCAAGACTTAAGACGAGGAAAGGAAGGATGGTGTTGAAGAGGAGGCAATTAAAGGGCAGGTGTACCCTGAGTCATTGAGATGGTGAGCAGGGGCACTTGAGAGGGCCAAGGCAAGACTAAAAGAGAAGATTCGAGCGGTTAGTCTCAGAATTCAGACTCTACATTTTAGGGGGGGGGCCGGATTATTATAATCCCGAGTCGATTCCGTCATACCCCCCCTGTAGAGTCTGAGTAGGAAACTACGGAATCGCTACATTGACCGTTATTTTGTATGGGATCCTCACCAAAATTGACCGAAATAGAAAATCAACAGTTTTTTTTATATATAACTTTTTACTACGTACTCTAATAAAAGAAAATTCCTATAAAATAACTATTTAAATATCGTAGAATTAGATTTTTTTCTCGATTTTTAATAAAATATCTTAATTAATTATTTTTAAAAGATTTAAATTAGAGTTTTAAAAACTATATCTTTAACCCCCCTCTTATTCTTTAACGTATATCATTAAAACCTTAAGGATAATCTTAAAATATTTATTATATTTATATATTTATTTTAGAATATTATTATAGAATATACCCGGCTAGATTTTTTAAAATATTACTTATTAAATTTTTATTAAAAATTTATTTATATAAGCTATTATCTTAAGTAATCTATTAAATAATATATAATTTTAAATTATTATTTAATAATTTATAAATATAAGTAAAGATATATAAAGTTTTATTAATATTATTTTTTAATTTATTTAATTATTTAGATATTTTAAGATTTTTAGAAAAAAAATTAAAAAGCTTAATAACTTTAGAGACTTCGAACTTTAAATTTAGAAAATTAATATATTATTATTATATATATTAAGAATATAAATATAAATTTTTATAAAAAGTGATGGTTCGGTTATCGAGTAATAATATATCGAAATTATAGATTATTAAGTTTCTTTAGAATAATTCCGGGGTAGCTTCGGGGTAGCTCGCTCCGGGTCAAAGCTACCCCGAAACCTACCAATGCTAATATATACCCAGAGGTGAATATCTCATATCAGCCAAACCACCAAAAAAATGAGGCTTGGCAGGGTTTCCTCCTCAGACCCACTGCGTGGGGCCTTTCTGAGACTACGAGCGGTCGCGTCCACGGAGTATGACGCACGAGTGATGACAGAGATAGCGGCTGGTGCCCGGAGAGGTCGGCCGAGGCGGAAAGGCATAGATGAAATGCAGACATTCATAGCATGGGAGCTCGATGTTACTTAGTGCGAACCTCTGACTGACGTACAATCGTGTTCTCATTCCTACTTTAGGCTAGTTACAATTCGGAGAAACGCACACGCTGTCCATCACATGTGTTGCCTTGCAACTGACATATCTAAGGTCGGGCTTCTCATAGGTAGCGCTTGCGCATGAACGACGAGACCTCAATCGCTTTTGAGTCAAGCTCTCAGTACATCTAGTAAGACGCATGCAATGCTCAAAGACACAAAACTCCATCACGATGATGAGAGAAAAAAGCTTTTCCCTGCCTCGTGTTTATACAGCAATTAGCTTCTATAACGGTCGTTGAAACCGCCTAGTCGAGACTCGGCTCTAGTGTCACGCCCCTGGATCCAGATGTCAGTGTCGCAAAATCCCGTGGATCCGAGGAAGAAGAGACTTACGCAACGATATTCGCCCACCCAATCAACCGCCAATGCTTGTCGATTCTCCTGCTCAGTGCTATTTTCTCTCCTATTTCTGTGCAAGCGGGACTCGTCAATTGAATCTTGGCGGCGTCTTTCTTGACGTTCATGATCTTGGCACCTGTGGCCGTTGATCCAATATTGACCATCAAAACCTCAGCCTTGGACAGCTTTTCCACCTTCGCCTGCTTGCCATCGGCAGTCTTGACCCCTAGTAAGCGGCGGAGCAGCACGAAGGAGACTTCGAGCTCCGTATATATCGATGGTAATTGACCTTTAAGACCGAGAACGAAACCAACGAGACGATCGGCACGGCACAGTGTGGGATCTACTCGAGTACCTACACCGATGAGACCGCCCGGAACGGCAAATTTCAGGTCATTGTGCTCGGCAAAGAGCGAAACAACTCTGCTGAAGATAGGTCGGCACTTGATCTTCCCTTGCTCGTCTTTCGTCACTAGACCGGGTCGAATCTCGATTTCATCGCCGAGCTTCAGGACACCGGTCAGGATACTGCCTCCTGCCACACCCCCTTTCAGTTCTTCTATCTCAGCTCCCGGTTTGTTGACGTCGAAGGACCTGATAATGATCATATGCGGTGCAGCGCCAAAGTCTCGGACGGGAACAGGGATTTTGTTGACTATTCTCTCATTGATGGCGTCAATATTGTACTTTAGCTGGGCGGATATCGGGATGATGGGTGATTTATCTGCTACTGTGCCCCGAACGAAATTTTCGATGGACTGGAAGTGTTGCTCCGCGCCTTCTGATCGCATCAAGTCGACCTTATTCTGGAGAATGATGATGTGGTCAAGCTTCATGATCTCGATAGCTGCTAAATGCTCAGAGGTCTGCGGTTGAGGGCATGATTCATTCCCAGCGATAAGAAGCAGGGCTGCGTCCATGACGGCTGCGCCTGACAACATGGTGCTCATGAGAATATCGTGACCAGGGCAATCCACAAATCTTCACGTTGATCAGCAAAGTTTCTGGATATGGGAAAGGCGCAACTCACGATACATGTCTAACCAATTTATATTGACCTTCACAGCCTGGCCTCTCACACGGTGGATCTACCTCCTTTTCACTCTTGTAGCTCTTATAGCACGTTGGCCTTGGGCACTTCTCGTTGTCACACTTATAGATCTTGGCATTCGCATAACCCAGCTTGATCGTGATGTTTCTTTCCAACTCGTTCTTGAACCTGACAGTCTGCACCCCAGATATTGCCTTCACCACCGTCGATTTACCGTGTGCCACGTGCCCTATTGTGCCAATATTGATCGTAGCTTGCCTTGCGATGATTTCAGGCGAAAGTGGCGTCAATAGCGAAGTATCGAGGTTTTCTGGATCTGGTTGCTCTGGGAGCTCGGGTCTCTTTATCTCAGGCAGTGGCTCTGATTTTTTGAGCACCGATTTTGGCTGATCGAGCGGCTCTTGATCTTCGACCTCGTGGTTTTCCTGGCCGTCGACGGGCTCCATTTGGGGAGACTCCGGTCCCGACTCCTCTTCCGAGGGCATATCGCCGTTTGTCGCCATGATTGCGGTGAATCAGTGCTTGTCCCTCCTCAAAATGAGGGTTCTGCTTGTCCCACTTCTAGATTTAGCTGTTCAATTCTTGCCCTGATCTTGTGATCAGATGAGTTCACTTGGGTATTCCTTAGAAAGAGGCTGTAAAGGTTTCCTGAAGCTTGAGACCGAGGTGAGCGTCTAATTGTAGAAATCTGAATCCGTCTTGAAAATGATTCCCAAAAAAGTCTGGCGGCTGTTTCTTGCCGCGGGCACAGCGCCGTGAGCGCTAAGCCAGAAGAAATGTGCCCCCGGCATCATTCCCTATCAGGCCTAGGGTGACCGCCGTCTTATCGTACACTCCGCATCTCGACTATGATTCAACTCTACGAACGTTGAAGACAAGTCTACTTAGATGACTATCCTATATCATGGCGCCAACAGCAATCCCAATGCTAAAGATATGGCGAACCATGCCAGCAAGCGCCAAAGTCTCGTATTACCCAAAAACAAAGATGAGGACAAACACGATCAATCTTAGTCATTCGCGACCAGCGGAGTCGAAGCCAAGAAAGTGGGGAGACGAGAAGAGAATCCAATAACAGCTCAAGCATCAATTCAAAGGCCAGCCCAAATCAACACAGAAATTGTCCTCTTCTTCCTCTCTATAGATCTCACACAAAATGCCGCAGGCCCGCTCACTCTTCCACGCCCGGCCTCGCAAGCCTGAATTCTTGCAGCACCACGCTGAGACCTTTCTCCTTAGCCCCTTTCCTCTCATCGCACACCTCATCCTCCCTAAACCACCTGAACCCACACTTCCTCAATACCCCCCGACTTCCCTCTCCACCCGGTCCCGTCACCGCCTTTAGATACGCCCTCTCACTCTCATGTAGCACAGGATGCCCATCTGGATACCTCTGCCAATACATGTGGATCCAAGCCTTCAAAGCTTCCGTAGCGTAGCCATGGCCCCAAGAGGAGGGGTGGAAGATGTAGCCGATCTCGGGGAGGGAGTGGGCGCCTGTCACGCCGATTATCTGAGGGCAACGATTGTCGGTAGAAGGGAGTAGCGAGACGGCATAAGTCATGCTCTTTTCACTTTCCAGCCTTATCCTGAGCCATTCGTCACTCTTCTCCAGCGTATCGGGTTCGGTCCAATAGAGTACCCTGGGTTCAGAGCGAATAGCAAAGACACCTTCTCTGTCTGTGGGAGAGAGAGCACGGAGAAGGAGGCGCTCGGTGGTGATTGTGTCGCTAGGACGGTGTATTGTTGGTGATGACATTGTGTAAGGTCAATCGGGTGCAAGAGAAATGTATTTTGTAATAAACATTGCGAGGAAAACGGCTAGACAAGAGGTGCAACAATGTGAGTCAGGAGCTAATGCATGGTCATTGCACAGTCTTTCGAAATACAATCGGTCATCGAGGCCTTAACAGTCAGTACAAAGCTTTGAGCTTATGCTTGGCAAAGCTCTTCTTGCAGGTCTTGAGAATTCAAGCAGATCGAAAATTCAAGTAGATATTTAAGTGGATCGAGTGTCGCTTTACTCCTGTGTTGCCTCTCAGTGCTCACTCGCTAAAGCGGCGGCTTGCTCTGCCAAGCCCGCCCTAAGGTCTCGCCGTACGAACCTGAAGTCAACAGTCCTTACATGCAACACTTACAATGGTCAAGAGGCAGGCGGAAGAGTCACTTGAAGATGTACTGACTGCTGACTCTCCCGCGTCGAAGAAAGCTCGAGTCGACGACCTTCCATACCTCCATCGACAGACCAATGGCTCGAGTCATGTACTAGGGAGATCCGTACTCGTGGATGGAGAGGTACGCGAAGAGGATGAGAGAAACGGCGACGATGTCTTGGCGGCAGCGGATCAGGAAGAGGAGGAGCTAGAAGAGGCAGCAGGCGAGCCTGTCGATCAAGACGAGAAGTCGGCATATTCAGTAACATCACGGCAGCAAGCCCCAACCGAGGGCTATTCCGACCTCTATCTGGACACCATAAATCGGTCGGTACTGGATTTTGACTTCGAGAAGCTCTGTTCAATCACTCTATCGAACATCAACGTCTACGCGTGCTTGGTGTGTGGAAAGTATTATCAAGGACGAGGCCCGAAGTCGCATGCCTACTTTCATGCTTTGGAGGTGGGTCACCATGTTTACGTCAATATGCAAACGAAAAGGGTTTATGTGTTGCCAGAAGGTTATGAGGTGAAGAGCAAGAGTTTGGATGACATCAAATTTGTGGTGGATCCTCAGCTCGCAAGGGAAGAAATCGTGCAATTGGACAGGGAGGCGAAGGACGCGTGGGATTTGGGTGGGAAGAAGTATAGACCAGGTACGAACATATCCATTTTTTATCGGATTTTTAGAGAGCTGGGCTGTAAGATCGAGATGTCATCCTGATTTTGAGCCAGTCTCAGTTTACAAAAGCCCTATGGCTAGAGCATTGGCCCACAGACATCAGAAGTCGTGTGTGTCTTTCATTGGTCATATTGCTTTGATGTGGTTTCAACTATGACGAGTTTTGCGTTCTCTGACTCGAAATCTTGCTGACCACCCAGTAGGCTTCGTAGGAATGAACAACATCAAAGAAAACGACTACTTCAACGTCATCATACAAGCCTTAGCGCACATCCCTCCCTTACGAAACTTCATCATGCTCGAAGACCTATCCCAAAGATCTGAGCTCGTCCAACGGTTCTCGGTCCTCGTCCGCAAAATATGGAATACGCGCGCCTTCAAAACCCACGTCTCCCCTCACGAGCTTCTCCAGCAAATCTCCCGACAATCTAACAAACGCTTCGACCTCCTTCACCAATCCGATCCCGTCGACTTTCTCAGTTGGTTTTTGAACAATATGCACCTCGCCCTCGGGGGCAGCAAAACGAAACCCGGAACTAGCATTATTCAACGGGTTTTCCAAGGAAAGCTGAAAATTGAATCGCAGCAGATCACCGCCAAAGCGGATGCTGGTGACCGTCTTCGCTTCGAAGAGGCTGCAGAAGTTCTGGTGGACACTACACCTTACTTGATGCTAACCCTTGACTTGCCGGCGGCGCCGCTCTTCCAGGACGAATTGGAGAAGAACATCATACCGCAGGTGCCACTAACCTCTATCTTATCGAAGTACGATGGATTGAAATCCCAAGAACATCTCAACACGCGGAAACGATACCGACTGTTACATCCATTACCACCTTACCTCCTCTTCCACATCAAACGGTTCTCCAAAAACAAATTCGTCGTGGAACATAATCCAACAATCGTCACTTTCCCCACCAGGTCCCTCGACATGTCACCATACGTGGAACCGAACCCTTCATTGCATTCACCCGGCGAGCCGATATGGTATGATCTTGTGGCCAACGTGACGCACGAAGCTGTTAGGACGCGGGATGATAGTGTAGAGGGAGAGGCGGAAAGGAAGGTCTGGAGGGTCCAGGTCCGCGATCGTGCGAGGGATGAATGGTTGGAAATACAGGATCTGTACGTTGAGAGGGTCGTTACCGAGACGTTGTTTACGAAGGAGAGTGTGTTGATGGTGTGGGAGAGGCGGAAAGAGGGGAAGGGGAAGGAGAAATGATGTACCAAGGAGGGCAAGAAAGCAGACATGTTTGAAATGGCTCTCTCTCAGCATTGTTGAGGAACACAAAACGTCCAGAAATCTGCCCCCCCATGGGAAGCTGACCTTTAGCATTGCACCGATCTTGCTCAAAGGCATTTTGACTGTACCCACGCTATTCTACCATAACGACATCCCCACCGCCTCCCCCCTCCGCACCCACCACATCCTCCGCACCCCCCCGCTCCCCAGCCACACCCAACTGCTCCATCTCCCCCAGCAAAAACTCAACCAGCCAGCTTTCCCCCCACAGTTCCTCGATCCTCCTGTAGTGCCTCTCCGTGTACACCCTCAACGCCTCCACCACCTCCCTCCCGCCCCTCCTCTTCCCCAGCCCGGCCAGCCTCTCGGCGCCGTAGCTCCGGACCACCACACCCAGCACCCTCTGCGCCACCGCGCAGGTGCGGGCGTTGGTGTTCCAGTCCCGGGCCCGGGCGAGGAGGGAGAGGAGTTGCTCGTCGCCGAGGGAGCCGAGGACCTGATCGACGGCGGTCGACCCGGATATCGACCCCGCTTCCCGCGGCTGCGTGTCCACCACGCCTTGCAGCAGGCTCAGCAACCTTGCCGGGTGATTCAACGCCAGCGCCAGGGTGATGGCTTCCCGGTAGTCCCCCCGGTGGATGTGGTTCTGCAGCTCCTGATCCTGCTCCACACGCTTCGTAGCCGCCGCAGAAGTCTTGGCCGCCGTCTCACTACTCGTGTCTTTCCAGAACGTAACAACGCTGTCGCCGCCACCGGACACCAGCATGCCGGTGTCTGGGTTGACGGTAAGCGCCCAGATGCGGTCGGTGTGGTTGTCTAACGTTGCTGCGACTTCGCCTGTTGATGCATCCCAGACTTTCAGGAGACCGTCGCCTCCAGCGGAAGCGATGAGAGGGGGACGTGTTGATGAGGCCGAAGCATTCAATGTGATTGATGAAGATGTGGTTGGAAGCCAGAGCACTTTGAGTACGCTGTTGGTATGGCCTTCTAGTGTGCGCAGACAGCTGTAATCATTCAGACTCCAGATCTTGACAGTCTTGTCCCCGCTGCCTGTTAGTACTAGTCCTCGATTGGAGCTTGCAGGTCCATTCTCCCCAGATATGGGGGGGGTGTCTTTAGGTGCGAAGACGACGGACCAAACGCCGCGACGGTGGCCGCGGAGGATGCCTTGGACTTCACCTTCTTCTGTTGACCAGATCTTGACGGTTCGATCTTGGGAGGCGGAGGCGAAAAGAGAGGAGGTCGAGGAGAGGGATATGGCGTTGATGTCTTTGTCGTGGGCTTTGCGAGTGTATAGCGCTCTGGAGGATGATGTTGACGTTTTGGGAACGTTCCAGCGTTTAATGGTGCGGTCTTGGGAACCTGTCAAAAGGAACGGTGGAGTATGCTCGAGAGGATTCGTACGTTCAGATGGGTTTTGAGGTGGTGCTGACGAGGGGAGAGATATTGCTCCGATTGATTCGGCATGGCCTGTAAATGTCGCGTATAGCTGGTACAAATTTGAGGCGTGGTCTATTCGCCATAGACGTGCTGTGTTATCTTTGGCACCTGTTGCGAGCCAGCAGCCAGACCAATCGACAGAGAGGCATATGATAATATCCTCATGGCCCTCGAGGAGGGCGACGTCAGCGCCGAAGTACCTCGCAGAAGTTGCTGATAGTGAATCTGATTTCGAGCTTGCCAAAGAGACAAGACGGATATCTTCAGAGTTGGTGGCTAAGGCCAACAGCGCCCGATCTGGCGTCACATAAGCTAGGTCTATGATCTCGTCATGCGTTCCAGATATCCGACGAATGATAGGCAGCGGTTCAATGAGGACGTCAGACGGTATTTTTGAGAGGGAAGCAGTCGAATGGAGTATCAATGATTGATCTGCATGTACAGAAAGTAGGAACCTCTGACTGAAACTTTGCAAAACGTGCACAATTCCATGTCCTTCTCCACCAGCTTCCTGCTCTTTTGTTACCTCTCTTCCAGTCTCGACATTCCATATTCTCAGTCTTCCGCGTTCGCCTCCAGCGTAAAGCAGGGTACCTTCCTCGAGTAGCCCTACGGCCTCAACGCTCTCAAGGATGGGCATGACTTTTCTCGATTTCCAAGTGCGGGCATCCCAAACAATGGCAGTCTTGTCTCTGCTGGCAGAAACAAAGGTATGCGAGTCTGCCGAATAATCGAGACTCCGAACGACAGAAACATGAGAATCTAACGTTGCCACTGATTTACGCTTTGCGAGGTCCCAGATCCTTATCTTGCCATCCTCGCTGCCGGACGCCAGGCGGAATGCTGCTCCCGAATCATGGCATTTAGACGTGTCTTCATCTCGTTGCAAATCACTCCTCGATCGTCGCTTCTTATTGGACTTCGTGTTCTTGTCATGCTCGGCAGCCGAGACTTCAAAGAAATGTAGAGCAGAGATGACACCAGCATGGCCACGGAAGGTATGCGTGACATATCCTCCCCTGATATCCCATACTTTGAGGACTCCGTCAGCGCCTCCTGTTGCCAGTAGGGTCCCGCTACTGTCTACTGCAGCCGTAATCACCGGGGTTGTGTGAGGCTTCAATGTTCTTAATAGTGATGCATTGACTAAGGGTGTGTCGTTCTCGGAGTGCTGTAATGCATACATCTTCATGGATAACGAACGAGAACATGCTATGAGATGCGACGCGCTTGGCGTGACTGAATGAAAGGGTTAGCCCGGCCACATGGATGTATCGAGAGGGGTAGTTACGTGAGAGCGTCGTTAGGACCTCGCCATCCTATCAAACCCTCAGCGTGATATGTTGACTGCCAGATCATCTCTACATACACCCTCTATGCGAGCCAGTAGCTCCCCAGTGCCCAAATCCGTGAGCAGAGCTTCTTCGCCCAAGCATGTTGCTAGGATCCGTCCCTCTCGGTCAAGGGCAACATCACCGCTGGTATAGATTGGCTGTATAGTCCGCTCAGGGTCATAGGTGGTCGTAAGCTTCTTTCTCACAGACATGCTCGCTGCCTTCAAGTGCAAGGAGAGACAAGTGATTCACTAATAAGGAAGATCAAACTCCCTCATAAATGGTGCGAAACATGGGCCATGTCCTCTACTGATCGTCGCATTTGTTGGGTTTGATGCCTTTTACAATTAAAGCAGTGAGAATGATCAACTGTAATATGGCTCAAGTGTAGAATGAAGCTGCTCCAAAATTTCTTTCACTTTCACGATAAAGTAAGGTTTAGGTTAGGTGGTGCGGCGGGAGATCAAAATGACATGCATGGAAATTAGCGGGAGATCGGAGACCCGGGAGATCTAAGCCCAACAGAGTTGATTGGTAAACATTCAATCCGGGTACGCGTTTCATCGAGCAAGTCCATAAAGTCGCAGAAGATAAGTTTGGTCTGTGGTGTACCCTTGAAACTTGTGTTACTCGCAGGTCTGTTATCTAATTGGTGCAAAGCTACTTCCGCTAATGACTTGTTCTAGGCGCATCCACCTTGCGCCGCCGCGCGTTGTGGACCCCTATCTCGTAATTGCAATTGATCGAGTGTGGGGTTCTATTGGAACAGCTATGAAGAGCAGCAGAGATAACGATCCTTTCAGGGTCTGGAAAGAAAGAAAGAAAAAAATAGAAATTCGCACTTAATATTATTACAGACTCGCTTTTGCCCTACCAGGAGACCGCCCACAATGGCTCAATGCAGCCCACTCTCCCCAGTTGCAGCCATGTACGTTTGACATTTGACCATCATTTCCACCTGCGCTGCCACCTCGCCCAGCTTTCCCAGCACTTGCTTATTACCCTCAACAAACCCAAAGATCTTATACTCAATGTTCGTATCCTCACAAAATTCTCTTACGAGCACTTGCAGTCTCCTCAAGTTGTGCCGAGGAACCCGAGGAAAGAGGTGATGCACGGCTTGAAACTGCAGACCACCATGGACAAAGTCAAACCAAGCAGGACAGTCAACGTCCATTGTTGTTCTCAACTGCCGTTGAGGGAAAGACTCTGCATCGCCGAGGTCGGCAGTTGGCATTGCCCAATGCGAAAGTGTGATCTGCACATGTAGCGGCATAGTGATAATGTGAGAAACGAGAACGAAAGCGACGCGTAGAGTCCAGGTTGGAATACTTCGCCATAACAAGCAATACCCGAACAGAAACCAATAGCCCAACATGAATGCTATCTCGGTAGGCCGAGTCCAGGCTGCGCAGCCAAGGTTTGTGGAGCGAGAAGAGAGGAGGTGCAGCCATGATAGGAGGTATAGGTTGAATCGGGCAATGCCCATGACTGGGTAGTAGGTGTAAGCCTGGTACTTGACCGCAATGTTGGCGAAGGCATCCCAGGTGTAGGTGAAGTCGTAATAGCTGGAATGGAGGGAGCGAAAGAAAGATGGACAAGTGGCGAACAAAGGTACGTTTTGAATATCAGGGTCATGTTCCTGTTCAGATTAGCAGATACTTTCCACTGAAGTCATATCACATACTGGGTGGTTGGTCACAAGGTGATGAACATTATGGCTGCTCTTCCACCAGCCTATCGACAGTCCGCAACAAAAGTCGGCAATGAAAATACCAATCATGGTATCAGCCACAAAATTGTGCGTGATGCCTCTATGGCCTGCGTCATGCGCCGTGAACATGATCTGATGCTATTGGCGGATCAGCAAATTGAGGACTGCTGAATGGAGTACATGAGCTTACCCAGAATAGACCGAGAAAGCATGCGGAAGTCAGATACCACTCCGCTCGAAGAAAAGTCAAAAAAAGAGAGAACAGGAGGAAGTATCGTATTATTTCCTTGCCGTATTCGATGTAATGACATTCATAGAAACCTTCGTCTTTGACTCGCTGATGCAATGTCTGATATTTCAAGGTGATCGCGCGTTGTGTCTCTGCATCTAATGAGGGATTGTCCCGGACATCGTTGTCGATGGCTTTCTGTACAGCAGAAGATGTGTAGTCCGTGGGCGACAAGGGTTGATGATCGTTCAGTTGGGCATTTGAAGAGTTATGTCTATGTTCCGTGCCTTGATCATGGTGTACAGATGAGGAGTACTGGTCAAGGCCCTTGTTGGAATGACTACTGATCATAGCCGAGTGGCTGGTATCCTCAGTTGTCATGGAATCAAGGCTTGTCGTACTGGAATTCAAAGACTCTAGGTTTGAGCTCCAGGAGCTGCCAGCGTCGTCGCCATCTTCGTCGTCAGGAATGTATTGAGCAGCTTCTGTGTTATCCCGGTAGATGCCTCCTCTTATTGGTGGTGTAAAGTTTACCCACGGCCCAGCTATCAGGCCTATGCGGTATTTGTTCATCATTTGCAATGCCTTGTGGGAGTGGTAGCTGTAGACACAAAGGAACCATGTCAGCCAAGTGTTGACTTGCAGTATGGACAAGGCAAAGCATCACGAACATGAGAGTCAGCCAGGCTAAGGAGCTTGGTCGACGATCGAATACTTACCGTCCTCGGAAAGGAAGGTTGCAGGAATTTGACCAAACAAGGTTGGGCAGGAGTGTTTACACATTAATCTCATCGGTAGCATCTCTTCCAATCATATGAAGTACGGCCAACCGTCCGCCAGGGTGTTTGTCTAGCCAGCCGTCAAGCTGCAGTACTCTCCCTTCTGTGATAACGATGACACGGCCAGCAGCGATGAGTGCTTCGATCCTTCGTCGAGAGAATATCTGGTTGTGGTCCATGGTGGCTGTAAGCCGGAGAAGCGTTGATATAGGTGTGTTGGTAGAGATGTAGAGGTATGCTGCATGGTGGTTCTGGAGGCAGATGTTGAGAGACAGGAGGTGCTGTGGGGGGAAGTGAAGAGAAGAGAAGAATGTTGGAACATGATCATGGTAGGGGCGGTGCTAAAAGACCAGAGTAGCGGAATAAGCCCAAAATCGCGAGTTGCGGGCTAAGGTACTCGCACTTGCTAATTGCTATGATTAAATACCTACCTTACTTTATTGTCCGGCTCGATCGATCGACAAAGACCCTTTGCACGCCACGTCCGTTTTCCATTGCGCGGCCTTCTGTGGAGCGCCAAATGTTATGTGTCCTTAACCTAATATTGGTAAGGAACACGTGTGGCCGAAAGCAGTGAAACTCAGGCTGATCGGATCGAAAAACTCGGTTCATTAGTCTGGACCCTGACCTGGACCCTGACGGCCGCTAACAATTGAAACTTTCAACTTTCAATTTGAAAGTGGGTCCAATTTCGTTCCCTGCTTTTTGATTCTCGGAACGAATCTTCTAGCGTCGAGTCCATGTCGGCGCCAATATGAACGATCTCTGTGGTAAGTATATTGTGATCCGGACTGTGAATAAAGTCAGTAAAATAATTAGATATGCCAGGTTGCAGACCGCGGTCTTGAGGGATGTATGAAGCGACGATGCCGGAAACCTCCCTCCCAAATATCTTCACAAACGACTCATCTCGATGGTGAGCATTGCTCAAAAACAGTCTCCCAGACTGATCCGAAGCTGTTCTCCATACATCCCTAGAGCTCACTTCTCATACTCTTTCTCTTATGAGTACGGGAACGTTCACTACACATATCTTCCAAACTTCCAGTGGTGTGGAGGTCGCCCTCCGTAGGCTTGAAACCCTCTCCTGCGCATAAGTGAACCCTCACAGAGTCCAATACAGATCGAGATTGGAAGTGGGATCCCTCTGTTGTCTTCGCCAACGGACTACTGCAACAATTAGAAAGGCTGCCGTTCTTATATTTGTATCCATCCGTGTTTCTTTTCGTATCTGCCATGTTAAGCACTGGAGGCAGGCAGAGAGATAAAGAAGGAGAGAAATAATGGAGTAACACTTGGTGAACCTTTGTATAAAGCCCAAGACAAGGTATTGCACAAGGGAAATGAAGCTGCTGTCACGCCTCACAGGCTGGCGACGATTCATTTCAGGATGCTCAACTGGCCTTCATGTTCTCATGCAGGGGCGAGATCCACCGCCATATACTCGGAGCACGCCCCACTAGATTGTCTTCGTATTAATCTTCACCATGCTTGCGTCTCATGTATCATATCGTTCGCAGTATGTAGTCGGAAGCTGGCGGAAGCTGCTCGAATGACGATTAGACCCAGGAGGTGGCGCAATCAAAAGTGGTCTGTGGACATAGACAATGGCACGTTGAAGGATATCTATACATGATTCTACATACGGTTAGCGCAGCAGGTAGGCATAATGATTAGACCACAAGAAAGACTGCAATACACCCACGCACTGCAACAATGCTTATGCAACAACCTCAACTTGCAGAACAGGCTCTATCTCAGCGCAACCAGACTCAATACCACCCAGAAGGCCAAAACAGGTAGACCTGCAGTCTGACCTCAAATGGGCCGTCAGGCCTACTTGACCCGCGTTTGTTTGGTGAGTACAAGTTTGCTAATTTTACTTCGTTGAGATTGTGTTCGATATCTTACCATTTCAACAAACTTGCCGGTCTTTCTTCACAAACATTTGATCATGGCTTCATCAAGAACGAAGTGTAACCTCTTGAGCAATCATGACTTGCGAGTATATAAGCAGCCAGCAAGTGGAACATAAGATCTAATGTAGCTTCGTCAGGGTCGATCTGCGTTCGAACCTCTGACAGGGACAGGCACCACAGGAAATGAAAATCAAGCTTTACAGAGCATTGCAGATAATCCAGGAGAAACCACTGAGCCAGCCACAAACACCATTCGCCAAGCTGACTCTGGGTCTTACCAACAGCAATATGATCGGAAAGGATACCCGGAGAATTTGGCCTCAAGGGCTCTGAGCAGGCAGTCTAGAAGGGCCATCAACGATGTTCTAACCACAGTGGGTGTGTGTGTTGGAGTAGATGCCGATGGCCAGATAAGGCCGGTCCATGATGGTAGCATAGTCGCTCTGGACAAGTCCAAGGTCACTGGCGTCATCAGAGAGAATGAGATCGGCATGCTCGTTGGCTTTACCGAGGCGGCTGTAGATAATTTGGCTGGCATGTGCACCACTGGCTTGAGATATAGATTACAGGTATGCGGATGAGAATGAAGCACGTGAAGGGTTGTTGACCGCAGACCTAGACATTTCGCTTTTACTCTGAAGTACCTCTGACGGCCATCATCAAATCGGAATGGTTGACACTCGGCTTTTTCAAGGGTCTGTTTGCGGGTAGTGCTGCAGATACGGTGTATATTTTTCTCAATGCCGGTCGAATTTTGGGTATGAATATGCTCATCGAGAGACTTGCTAGTCAGCTTGACATACCTTTTGATTCTTTCATCACACGAAAGATCACATGGTTCGTCTTGAAGAACGCACGGAGATTGTGGGTGTCACTCCACTGGATCCGACTGCTCTACGCTAACATCCGAGAAACCAGGTTCAACTTGACAACCCTTGGGCTTCTTACCCCCTTCAAAATCTTCTCAACATTACAGCATCAAGGTCTCCTTCCTGCATGGCCACTCTTACCGCATCCCAAGGCTTTCGTCCCGTTCTCTCCGTCATCACCTTTACGCCTACCTAATCTCCCAGATCGACTAGACGGCGCATCTTGCCTTCGATTTCTGGCGTCCCTCGCTGTCAGTCCGGTGGTCTTGCTATGTGTACGATCGTGGATGAAACCTCTAGTGGAACGCAAGGTTCAGAAATACACGCGCGCCGCTCTCCCCGCACCAGACTTCCCCGACATATACTCTATTCAGGCTGCCATTGAGGACGAGATTGATAGGGACAACATCCCTGGACTCGGTAATGCAGTCGACACTCCCGAGCTATGGGAGAGCAGAAGCGTAACGGAAGAGCTTGCAAAGGACTTGCAGTACGTCGGCAGGAATTTTCAGATCTTGTACGACCAATTCTGGGGTCTGTTCGCAGGCACGTCCAGAAAACCCAGCAGCTCACCAGCAACGGAACCACTACCACTTCCAACACCAACGCCTGCCCCCATGGACCCTCTTGAAGACGACGCCTCCTCATCCTCCTCCTCCTCTCGCACTTCGACTCCACGCCCTCAAATCGAAATCACCGGCTCCACCACCTCGAGCGGCACTGTCCATATGAGCGTCGCCATTCCTGTGCCCGTCTCATCCCTTCCCCGCCGCCGTCATCACAACAGTCACCCCCGAGACCCACCTTCTCCGTCCACGACTGGTCCCAACAATGTCTACTACCCCTATCACCGCATTACCACCCTCAGCGCACAGGCCGCGGACAGCATGGCGCAGCACCTTTCCGGCTATATTACTGACATACTCCTTTTCCCGCTCGAGGCGCTGTACGTGCGTTCTGTCGCGTTGTCTTTCCTATCCTGGCCTGCTGCGAATGTTGGGGCGAAGGTGGCGGCGGAGAGGTGGAAGGGGGAAGTCTATCCACTAGGAGGGTGGTTCGGAATGGGGTTGAGAGGGGGATGGAGGGGCGTAGCTGATTACGTGGGCAAGATGGTGCTGGTGCAGGGACTAGAAATGGGGGTTGGATTTGCTGTTTGGCAGGTTAGCGTGGGTTTGAGTTGGTGGGTTGGGAGGAAGTGGTTTGAGTGGGGAAGGCTATGAATGTGCGATTCAGTGACGGATAAAAGCTCAGAACATACGGAAGGGCGGCATGCTGAGAATTCCATTGAAGCCGTGTTTTAGTTGTTTGGAGGCACAAGATACCCCAATCGTTGGGCGCTTTTGGCTTTTGATCATCAATAGGTATCTTTATGTGATGGGCTTCGACCCTCAAGATCTGAAGCGTAAGGATATCAATACCGCCGATGTCTGCGCTCATCAGATCGGCTTCGGTCTCGTCTTGAGGATTTATATGGACTTCGGTCCCTTCGCGATGAGCCATAGTGATGGCTTCTGTCCCTCGATCTTGAGCGTCGGCGTGAAGAGCTGTGGCTACTTCGCTCATTCGACCGGCTTCGATCCCTTCGTTTTCGATCCTTCGACCGGCTTCTTTCCCGTCTGGATGAGCTGTGTCGGGATGAGCTGTGACCATTCTCCTCGATCAATAATCTCTCTCGTCTCTCCTCCTTCTTCCTCGCATCAATAGCAAGATTTCTATCCTTCCTCTCCCTCCATGAGTCCTCCTCCTCCCCTTTCCCGTTCTGCTCCAACTTCTTCTTCGCCAACTCTTCCTCCGTCACCATCTCCCCAGTCTTCGAATTCTTCAGTATCACGGGACTGTACGTCAGATCTGTCTTCCGCTTCCCCTTCGCCCCTTTACCCCACGCTCCAAGCTCATCGTCGCCGACACCGGTCGGCACCTCTTTCGCACCAATACCCAACAAAGCCGGTCGCCTCTCCACGATACGAGGTTTGTTAGTCGTGGTACCTTGGGTTCTTCGTTTGCCGATTGGCTCTCCATCTTTCCAGCCCATGCCGCGGAGCATGGCCGGACCAAAGTCGAAGACAGGGGTGGCCTCGTAATCATCTAGTGTGGGGACGTCAGGACGGGATGCGACGTCGGCCTTGAAACGGTCATCTTCATTCGTATTGTCTTCGTAGGCGTCTTCCTCGGGCTGGTAGCCATCCCTTTCGTTCTCTAGGGCGGGGACGACGAGGTTCGACTTCTTCTCGCCACCCAGTAGGGCCTCCATCGCTTCTTCATCGGCAGTCTTCGTAGATCTGGGTGTCTGCTCTGTGGCATGTTGGGAGGCCTGCCCCTCAGCCATTGTGGTGTCGCCATCTTGATCCTTCTGCACAAAGGATATACCCGACTGTCTCGAGACTTCATCCCGTTCCACTTGGGCGGCCTTCAGCTCCTCCGACCTTCCTGATCGAGCGGCCTGTACCTCCGCTGGTAAAAGATTTTTCCGCCTCTTCTTCCTGCTCTCTTCCCTCCAGTCGCGGTTCTTCTCCACCTGTATGATAAGTGGCGCCTTCTCTTCTTTCCTTCCATTAGTGACAACAGCACCGGACTGGTCAAATCCGGACACTAGCTCGGCCGCAGGCTGTGCTTCATCTTCACCGTCTGAGTGGTCTGCGAGGGCAGAGTGGGGACGCTTCTTGGGGCCCGGGGTGGGGGCAGTCTTAGGTCTTGCGGACCCAAAGGAGATGGAGAATGGCTTTGAAGGCCTGGAGGACAAAGAGGGAGGCTCGGCGGAGGGCATGACGACTGGTAGATGTGCTGGTTGTAGAGATGGCAAAATCTCAAGATTCTACAGATTCAGTCACTGGAGTCATAGAGGAGTTCCGCGCTAGCCGCTTTTCAACGTTGCTCTAGTAGGTAGTCTTGTTTGGCCACTTTGTTTTCAAGGTACTGTCAGCTGGCACCTCGCAAAATACCAATAGTGAAAACTGTCGAGCTTCCAATTTGATTAGACTCAAAGCTCACAAGCTGTGGGTTTGACAAAGGAGGCTCTCATAGATCCAAGATGGCTGAACAATATGGGCCTATGAACCCGAATCCTATTTTACCGCTGATCCTGACCCGCGGAACTTTCTTACTTCACTCTTCCATACTTATACGCACTATAGTCTGGCTCAAGCGTATAAAATTAGATGACGACTTTCTATGTTGACTTTGGATGAATTTCTGCTTAAGACTTTCGTGTAGCCTTCTTCTATCTTGTTTCTACCCTGATGAAGACAATTTCTATTTGGCCTATTAATCATTGTTTCACTCCCGTGTCTGAACACTGACCACCACGCTATATATATATCTTATGCATACTCATCGCCATCGCAAAACAAAATCCAATTCTCTGGATTTGCATGATGGCCGGCAATAGTCTGTGCCTGCCTGATTGAACAGAGTGTAAGGGTATGAGGGTGTGAGCAATATGGCCCTGATCTTCCCATGGTGCTTACCTATATTACTGCCAGCGCTGACAATTGCTTCGAGTCGATCAGCTGCCATTATGAGCATCGCTTACCGTAACAGGAGAAGAGTGAGGGAGCATGCCCCCCTAAAAGTGTGTGGTTGCCATCCTGCATGATTGCTGGAGTAGCATCACCATCTCGAGACTTCTCAGCGCCGAATCATTCGATTGTCAGTACTGATTACCGAATTAATTGATATATAAAGCTCTAGCTTTATATGGTGTTGGAGGTTTTTTTCACTAATAGAACCGTATTTTATATGTAAAACAGCCTTATATACCAGTAGTACTTTACTGCTGTCGCCGCTAGTTAGTAAGCTGAGAATTAGAGAATAGATAGCGTGTTATCTACCAAATTAGTACGCGTAAGAACGTATTTCTCTAGTATATCCTCTACCTATTCACCTGCTACGAGGCTATAAAAAACGATCTCGAGTTAGATACGTGAGGATGACGAAGAATAGTAAATATAATAGTCGAAATAGTATATATAGAATGGGTGTGGTGTAGAATGGATGTGAAAAGGCTAAAATAGTAAGACTGAGGTAACTGGAGTGGGTACTTAATTGACTATATAGATGACTAAGTAATCTTTATACCCTCTCAGAAATATCAGCTTTATATGACCAAACCCTCAGTTGTTTCAAAATGATTATTTAGAACCATGCTTTATATGCAAAACAGCCTTACAGTCAACTACGGCTTTATATATCAATTAATTCGGTAGTGAATAGTGGGAAGCTTTTGCCATTGGATTTCGCCCCCAAATGCTTCGTCAATTGCGTCGCATACGGGGAGATGGAAGAGAGATCGGATGTGAAGGCCATGGCCAAAACGAGGTTGGCCACACCACCGTGGCACTGTGTCGATTGTTTGAAACAGATTGCTTCTGTCAACATCGTGTTCGCTTGGAACTTTCAGCTCCCATTTCTCTTTCAGCCTCATCATGATTCCAGAGCCGAGCTGTCAAATGCCCGCCGCCATCCTCGGACCGACCGAGCCACTGAAAATATGCGTTAGACTATTGATAATCGCGAAGCTGCGAGATGAGTGAGAATAAAATATGTAGGCATTCGTAATAAGGAGTCAGGCCTCCGGCAGCACAGACAGTGATGAAATTGCAATGTAGCAACAGTACAGTAGTAAGGGAGTGAGGATGGTGAGGAGAACTTCTGTCTCGGAAGGATTGATGCTTGTTACGCCCAAGCAATTATTAGAATGTTTAGCGGGACGATGCGGTCCAATGACAGGCAGCTTCTGTCTGCTCGTCGCTAGTTCCTGCATATATGCTGACATGAGGCTTAAGGCGGGAAGCCAAGGGTCTGTTTCAGCGCTATGAGAATTGAATGCCGTATCCAATCATGAGATGATGAGACCATCTCTGTGCCACTTTGATGCTTTCATCCCACCACCCGCCCAGACTAATCTCCTTCTTCTCTTCGAAAATCATGGACTGCTTCCTTCAATCGTTGAGAAGTCTTCTCTTCAATCTTCATCATGAAAAGTATAAGCAAGTGGCATCTGCTTTCAGCCCCTGCATTACTCATGAACCTCCTGGTGGCACGGTAGAGTACATGCCATTGCCATCCGCAAGCATAAGGCATCCTGCCTCGTTCGAACATCCATCCACTCATCTGATTTTGAAGGACTACACGCATCACACCATTTCGTGCGTGAGACCAGGCCAGAATCAGCACCCCCAGCGGGCGTTTCTACATGGAAAGTGCCCATTAGAAGCTGATATCCTCATGGGAACCATATGTTAGGTATAATGCCTGACTTACGCTGTCTTCATTGTCTCTGATCTTATCCTTCGTTGTCTCTGATGTTGACCTTCAATAACGTTTGGCGATGGGGGATACACTGGGGCATTTTGGTGAACAGTATTACGGCTAGTAAGTCAATAACTTCCCTCGTCGCTTGATGTAGCGAAAGAGTGCAGGATATGTTGCTTCTATCTTACGCTAGAGATGAGACATAAGTGGTCTCTCCATGTGTGCATCTATTCTTCTGGTCCACGTCTGCTAATTACGTTGCTGTGTCTGCAGGGAAGCTATCCGGCAATGGAGTTCACCCTCGCTACCTGAATATATCGGGTTTACTCCCTCCAGTATCTTCTCTATCCCTCGACCCAGCATCGTCTCTGCTCCCCCAAGCACCTGCAGACTACTGTGGACTATGCATTATAGAGGCTCCCGGAGGCATTCGTTTGGTATACTGGGTATGTATATCTTCGGAGCGATCCTTCCTGTTTCGAACCATTATTCAAGTTGCAAGAGACCCTGAACACCTCTCCGAGGTGTTTGATTGCTCGCATTTCTAGCCTAGAGGGAGCGCTGCTGGAGCAAAAATCCTTGATACCTCTTCGCTGTGTTTCATTGCTCGATTTTTAGGCCTCTTAGGAGAAATATTGACCGAAATCTCTACAGGAACCGGACGGTGTGGGATCTCAAGGGAATGTCACCGCAAACGCAAACCCAACTCAACCGTACACCACAGTGGATAATGGATTCACGTAGTAAGCCAGCAGAGCGACCTTCTTCAGGTTATTGCAGCTGATCTTCGCCAAGTACATCTCCTTCGGTATACGTGATATACAGCGAGCTGCAGGCAACGGTGTCGGCGACGGGTCAATGCGACCTGTCAGCTTCCGGAGATCCTGTGGGACCATCCTATGCAGCGAAGACAATCGGGTATTCTTCGCGTTTCCTTGCTTATGGAACAGTCACAATTCCAGGACCGAATTGCGATGAGCAGTACATCGAGGGTGGATTTCACACTATCGACTTCAGCGAGCTCTATTACACGCCTATTGTCACGAGTACAGTCTACAAACCGGGCTGTACTCCCTACGCGAATCCGCGTTTGTCTTTGCCTGCGGACCTGATTGATGTCGTCCCTGCTTGGGAGACATGCCAACCTCTTTTCTATGGAGCTTTTGATCCGCCAAGCATCTTGACGAAGGCTAGTGGTCTCGCTCCCGCTCAAGCCAGTCCTGCAGCAGTCACGCCCCCTCCGCCTCCTGTTCCAGCTTTGCCCGTCGTAGCTCAGGCGACTCCTACTGCTGGAATTCCCGCTGCGACAATAGCGCCAAACAACGCTGGACAAATGGCAGGAGCAATTGACCCACCAGCATCTGTCATCAAGTCGAATGATATAACCTTGTTGAATGGGAACACCCATGAAGTGGTGGCAACACCTGCGGCTTCACCGGAGGATAGTGATCCGAACTCGCAGGAAGCAGTTGCGGCCAATAATGATCCGAGCGGCCAGTTGATTGCGCCTACAGCAGCGGTCGTGGCGAACAACCCTACTCAAACCCCAGCGTCTGGAACTGACCCGGACTCGCAGAAAGTAGCTACGGGCAACGACGGTCCAAGTGGCCAGGTGCCAGGGTCTGCTGCTGCAGTCATTGTCAAGTCACCTGTTCAAACTCCAGCGTCTGCGGCTAACATCGTTGTTGCCCAAGGTAAAACGCTGACGGAAAATGGTCCTTCAGCGAATATTGGTGGGAAAGCTGCTGTGTATTCCTCGGGCTCTGTTTACGTGGATTCGACTCCGGTGGCGGTTCCTACCAGCGCGCAAGTCACTCCGGCTAACATTGTCGTTGCTCAAGGCCAGACGCTTACAGAAGGTGGGTCCTCAGCCAATTTCGGCGGAAAGGCTGCCGTGTATTCCGCAGGCTCCATTTACCTGGACTCCTCGACTCCGATTGCCGTTCCTAAAGCCGAAGACACTAACGTGGTGGTTGCCCAGGGTCAGACACTCACGGAAAACGGTCTAACCGCCAGCATTGGTGGGAAGGCGGCCGTGTACTCTGCCGGGTCCCTCTATTACGACTCAACTCCTATACCAATTCCTAAGGCTTCTCCGACTAACGTGGTTGTTGCCCAAGGCCAAACGCTTACGGAAAATGGCCCTTCTGCGTATCTCGGTGGGAAGACTGCCCTGTACAAAGCAGGTTCGATCTATTACGACTCCACTTCAGTTGCGATTCCCACATCAACGCAAGGCCAACAAAACCACCCGCCGGTGGTTGCGGCCGGGGTTACTTTCGCCCCAACGATACAGACTCCCTCGTCAGTCGTCACAAATGGCATCACTTTTGCGCCAGTGGTGGAAAAGGCCTCTCCCGTAGTTGCAGGCGGGATCACATTTGCGCCAATACTACAAAGCGTTGGGGGAAATACCCATGAGCCTGTCGTGGCTGGTGGCATAACCTTCCAGCCTAGTAATGTTCAGTCATCAAACGCTGTTGCAATGGAAACGCCAGCACCACTTTCGGTGGGTAGGATCCCGGTGCTAAAAGCCGCGAACGGTGGCTTGATCGTAGCAGGTACTACGATATTTCAGGGAAGCACAACTAGCTTGCTCGGACATGTCATAGTGGCTAACTCCGATAACGTCGTTTTGGATGGTACAACCCATTCCCTCGCACCTGTAACTGCTTATCCTGTTGAGACACCGACATCGACACCACTCGAGATAGCCAATGAGCCCGTATTAAAAGCTGCAAATGGCGACCTAGTCATAGCGGGCAGCACGGTATCTCAAGGGAGCATGACTAGTCTGCTTGGTCATGCTATTTCTGTTGGTTTAGGTAATGTCGTACTGGACGGCACGACTCATGCGTTCGGACCTGTTAGTGCACATCCTCTTGAGACACCGACTCCACTCGAAATTGCCAACCAGCCTGTAATGAAAGCTGCGAACGGTGGATTGGTCCTTGCAGGTGTCACGATACCACAGGGGAGTCAGATCAGTCTGTTTGGACATGTCGTCTCAGTCGGTGCCGATAATCTGGTCGAAGATGGCAAAACTCTCGTTTTTGCAGCTAACACTAAAGTTGCTGGGCAGCAATCCGTGACGAGTCTTGTATATGGGACATCCAACATTGAAACAACCCTCACATCGGGCGTCACGTACTCATCAAGCGGTCACATCATCACCTACACTGGATCAATCCCCTCCGTTCTCACAGAAGCGACATCAAGCGTCATCGGCACCACTACCGTGCCCCAACAAGCATCCGCTTTGCCCAACCAGGTCTTCGTTGAAACATCAGTATACGCGACACCTGAACAGCTGTTTGTAGAGGCATCGCCATCAGCTCTGCAGTACGTTCTAAATGGGAAGACAGCAACCGCAGCTGCGCCAAGCGATGTTCCACTCGGCGGCTTAATTCTGGCTGGTTTCGGTGCTGTACCTAGCAATGGGTCCACACCAATGAAGTCGTCGGTATTGCCATCCATGGTTCTGGTGAACAGTACTGTGACTTCGATCCCGACGTCTCAGACGGTAAGGCCTCCAGGTTCGACTTCAATGCCTGGGAGCAAGGCGTCGCCGTCTAGACCAGCTCATGGGACGGGCCCCAGAGTAATGAGTTGGGCGCGGGTCTTGGGGAATTACTTTGTTGTGCTTGGGTACATTCTGGGTATTGCATTAATCATGTAGTAATGTTTTGTGAGAGGCGAAAATGTATCTGACTTCTTGTATATAATTCAGAGATTGTATTGATGACGCAAGGCGCCCTTTCCTGGACAGGTCTTGAACAGACAACAGACATAGCTAATAGCAAGAGCAAGGGTGAAGAAGGTGGCGGCCAGATACCAGCATCAGAGAGACAACCAGGACGATCAATAGCGTCGAGACGGCAACGTGCTTCAAGAGCGCGCTACTGCAAGTCAAATGCATGTAGCTGGACAGGGTAGCAAACAACTGGACAACTCATAAAGAGCCAGTCAAATTTCAACGGCCCCCGCTTGGCTCAAAAATTGACCACACCGGCAAATTCAGCAGTGAAAGATCACCAACGCCCAATGATGGAAGAAGATCAGTCTTGCCCCGTCCTGGACCCTTCAGGTGACCTGCGATTGAGTACCAACACGCAAGACTTCGTCGTCTCATCCAAAGTCATGTGCCTTGCCAGCCCCGTATGGCGTGCAATGTTTGATCCCCAAGGCCACTGGGCCAGGCATTCATCGGGCGTTTTCAGCTTCCCGGACGATGATTCCGACGCCCTCTTGATCATACTCCAAATTGCTCACTTGCAGTTCTCGGATTTACCGGACGCGCTCCTCATCTACGAGCATCTTCTGCAGTTGGCGGTCCTGTGTGACAAGTATGGCGGCTCCTGGACCCTCGATGTTTTTACAGGGTTGCTTGCTGATTACCGGTTGACCAACAGATATAATACCGTCAGACTCGTTCGTCCCTGGATCTCGAAATGGCAAGCTCCACTGCAAGCTCAGGCAGAGGAGTGTTCTCAGGGCGGCGGAGAGGGCTACGAGGGTTACGAGACCTGGCTGTTCATCGCTTGGACATTTGGCGATGAGGCCGGGTTCAGAAAGATCTCTCGCTCGTTGGTGTTGACGTCGACAGTCACCACAGTCAACGGTGAGAAACGGATAGTGAACGCACAGGGAAATATGGTCGGTGATATTATGCCTCCAGGTTCAGCAGGTTAGTGACTATCCTGGGCTCTGATGCCAAATCCCGTCTCCCTTTCATTTTGCTCACAATTACGTAGGCGCCATCGTCGAAGCCCGCTCAGAGCGCATCTCCGCACTCCTCGAAATGTGCTACGGGCTGGTAGACCGATACGAATCGACTACCCTAATGGCTCCTGAAGACACCACCATCTGCACCCTCCGCGATCAATCGCCCAACGAATGCGACTCCCTAGTCTACGGCTGCCTGATCAAAGGTCTGCAAAGCCTCAAGCTATTCCCCAAGCGTGCGGAAGCGTCCGAGGTCGAGTCGAGCGTGATGGCCTTTGCGGACAAGCTGCGTTCGCTGCGATGCTTCGAGTATCCTTTCCCGTATAATAGTCATGGCTACTACAATCATAATGGGATTTCGCATTCAAGATGCAGCTTCACGCTCGCTTTCGCCGATCAGATCAACGCTATTATTGGTCAGGAGGAGCCGTCAGGGGTACTGGAGGAGCATCTGACCCATCTCAATGAGCAAAAGGACTAGCTGCGATTTCCTACAGGCTCATGCCACTCCCACCCGAACCTACTCTGTTGAGGGCGGGTTTGCGCTTGCTCCAGCACATCCGGTCCCCATAGCAAAGCGCTCACGAAGGTCTCGTTCAGCATGTTTCCAAGAGGGATTGTCATGTTGTCTATAGCAGCTCATCAAGTGTTTGTAGAAGCGTTTAATATCCGTGCAAGCTATTGCATTCCAACAACTGCATTTTCACTCAGAGTTCTCCAACACCATACGCAAAGCAGGAGGTCTGCAATTATGCTCTGTTGTTGCAGCGTGTGACACTGGATCGAGATGCTTTACGACCGTCTTGTCCGTTTTCAGTCACATGCTATGCTAGCTGACTTTGGAATTTGCCTTCCGTGGAAGTACGGAGAGTATCCTCATAAATGTTCACAACAAGACAGCGAGACCGTTCAGCTACCCGTACTGTTTTCATCCCCAGAGTTCAGTTCGTTACCACGTTTGCCATCGATGCCGTTCTCCGAACCGTTGGTCTTGTAGCTTTCTAGTTCTGACATGACAAAGGCCTTCAAACAGGTGATCCTGTTCCCCGCTTCGTATGTGCCTAAGAGCAATCCGATTTGCCTTGTGGTGGGCAGTTTCGTTGTGTTCCCGTTCGCTTTACTATCACCGCCATCGGCCGAGATGCTTACTTCATCATTCACTTCTCTCGATTTTGATGCCTCGTCTACGAGCTCTGACTCGTCAACCGTCCAAAGGCGTACAGCACCATCGCTACTACCAGTAACGATGATGAAGTCTTCTGAACCTAGTGGTTTCAAGATTTCAAAATCTTTCACACGGCCAGTTATTTCATCTGCAGCGCCTCCTAATTGGCAGATGGGGTCAGAGATGGGTGTCTCGAGTTTCGAGGCGGACTTGGTGATCTGTGTTCCGACGACGTCTGTGGTATCATAGAACAATATGCGACCATCTTCTGTTGAGACAGCCAGAAGGTCTTTGGTTCCGCCATCGGTCCCAGATAAGGTCATGTAGTGTACTTGATGGATCTTGGTAAGTGGCAAAGGCAATATTCGACATTTTGGCTTCGAGTCCTGCCATAGTAATTAGCTTTCTGGAGGCGGAACATACAAGTATACTCATACCATGCCGAACACAGCACAACCTCTTTCAAATGCCACTACGAATTCTTCGCCAAGGGTGTTCCAATCCACCCTTCTGCCTTCCCCCCTTGCCCATTTACCCTCTCCAACGCCTTGCAAAAGTTCTCTTCCGAAGTTCAGGACGCCCGCCTTTTTGCCGGTCACCAGGTTCCATAAGCGCATACACTTTTCTCCTTTTCCCACGCTCACCATGAGCTTCATACTTGGATGGATTGCAAAATCATTCACACCGGCAGGAGTCCCTCCAAAAGGCGCAGTATCCCCGCTTGGACGTCCATGAGCTTTCGGTATCGGAGCTTTTATTGTCGAGAGCACAGTCCAATCCCGTGTTCGAGCCACCGCTATTGTATTATCCTCGGCCCCCGACAAAAGCTTCGAGCGTGTAGGGAAGTACAAAGCATTAATTCCCGCGTTGTGATGTTGCAGAGACCCCAACTCTCGATTTCTGGGATTCTCCTTGATGGTGCTGCCGGCCAATGTTGGTATTGAGGAGCCTTTGGACTTTTGCGGTAGTGTCGTAGATAAGTGGTAAAGATTAATCATTTGGTCAGAGCTGCCACTGGCAAGTATGATTTTCTGAGACTTGGAAGAACCTGTTGAGGAGGGCGAGATCTACGCACATTTCCGAGTCAGCATCGCTTCCAAGGGTAAGAGCGCGAGCTATAAGACACGTGCAAGAAGTCCAAAACGGTCTTCGCTCTCGACACGAGTCTTGCGACCCAGGATTGGGTAGCGAAAGGGAGAGACTGCTCCAAAAGAAACATACAGCGAGGCAACGTATGGCTGAGGTATGGGCGTTAAGAAGGAAAGTATCCGCAAATTCGATTTGTTTCTGTTCACGGTGTCCCTTGGCCTGACTCGTTATCGAGGCTGTTATCCCGTGTAAGACCTTCTCGTATGTCCCAATGATTATCTGAATTGTCATTGGCGTTGCTCCTTCCTGATGTGCGACCTTTTTTTTCTTTGCCTCGCCCGCCGGGCGGGGCAATTCTTTATCCCCTTCGGCGGCAGTCCTTTTTCTCTTTCCCATCTTCCCTGCCGTTAAAGTAAACTATATGCCCCCTCGAGTGATGTTGGAAATGTAGACTGTGGACGGAGTGTTGAGACAGAGAAGTAGAATTTTGCGGGCAGTAATTTTGAGACTTTCGGGCCTGGGACCCCTCATGCTTGAGCCCTATTTCATTCCACCATCCATCCACCCATCACACCAAATCATCAATGATCATGACGGCAACAACACGAATTTCATCAAAAGAATTCTGAAAAAAGGTATTGATGAAATATCACAAAGAACTGTGATGGTTTTGCTACGAAATATACATCGTAATGAAGAATTGTGATGATCTTGCTACGAAACATACATCGTAATTTGCGATGCTCCAGTCTCCGCTAAACGATGCCCTTTCGTGAGTCCCTATTATTTCCAAAGCTTCATTCCAAGAATTGTTGGAAAGATAAGTGTCATACGTATGACATTAGCCTGGATCGCTGATATTTGCTGTGTTTTGGTATTTGAAGACGTAGTCTTCAAAGGCGACAGAATCATCTCGCCGCCCTATACTATGCGACGGTGACCATCATCGAGATCAATAATTTCAAACCTCACAACGCCAGTCTAGCTTCATTTCTCGAAGCAAATGACATAACACAGTGAGTGCACGTAGAATATACGTCGAATCCTGCCACTCATCATTGCACAGGGACCGTTCCTTCGATCCAGCGACCCTTCCACCTACAGATTCGCTATTAGGTTATCTCAAGGCGCAAACAACAGATCCAAACCAAGCCTTGCGTGAACCCCAAGCAGTCTCGAAATCCGTCTCGCAGGAACAGTCTGGGCCTCCAAGAGATGGGAATGCTGCGGCTCGTCCAGAAGAGCTGGACCGAGAGCCAGACCTGGTTTCTACGCAATTGAAAAACACAGAGTCATCACGATGGGGTGAGGACGGATTTACATTTTCTGAATCCTCAATTCAAGGCTCAACGGGTCTAGGACCGCAGGAAATTACAGCGACGAAACGTGCAGCTGGCGAACCTAGCATTCGTCCATCTGAAGCTCTACCCGTGGCGTCCGACGACGTCGGCTCCTTGGATGCGATAGCGATCAAAAGCCTGACCACCGAACAAAGGTCCGCACATCCTGCTGTTGTTCATCTGCCGTCAAAAGAAGCTCAGGAGGAGCGTCTGGAGCACCCCGATGAACGGGGATCTCGTGATGAAGAGCAGGGGCCAGTATACGCAAGCAAAGGTCATCTGAATGTCAACGGACTTACACCGCCGGCTTCACGAGAAGATACGGCTTCTCGGTCAAGATATGACCAAGCGCAGCCTACGGATGATGGCTCTGGGCATGATGCGATCCTCAAGTCGCAGATGGATATCGCTAGAGCGGAGACTTTTAGTGGGGCTCCTTCTACACCTGATGAACAGCTACGGCTTGAAGAAGCCCGTTCAATGCAACCCAAGGTTCCGGAGAGTACATTTGGTGGGCAGGCCGATGATCTGAAAGACTCACACTCGATGCCAGCGCCGTCTAGCCTACCTTCCCAATTCATAAATGACAATCTCGGCGAGGAAAGCACAATACCTGACATCTCAGATGTGAGCAATGAGATGAGTTTGAAAGAAGATGGCGTTTCTCGAGACCTGAGTGAGCAGAACGACACTTTGCCAAACCCCTCCTCAGCTCTACGGGATCGCATGTTCTCTGGAATGAATGGGGAGTCACTTAGGGATCTTACCCTTAGCCGACGACCACCCATGCGAATCGATACTGGAGTTCCGTCAACGTTCGATTCTTCAAGTTCAATGGCTGGGCCACGGACCGCACCCATAAGTACGACAAATGGTCCCACTCCTTTGGGGTCTGCAACGCCTAGCAAGACTGCAACGCCAGCAACGAGTATCCAGTCGCCCCCGGAGCGGATGACCACAAGAGTGTCTTCTGGAGCACTTCGACATAAATCTGTCTCTGAGATTCTTGGTGAGACGCCTAAGGCTACCCCTGTTCAGGCTGAGAGAGCGGCCATAGACCGAGCTTTAGTCGAATCCCATAGAGAAGATCATGGCTTTTTGCAGACCCCAAAATCTGCATCGTCGTTCACTTCCCCCGATGCTGCGGTGTTCAAGCAGCGGCTTAGTGAATTGAAAGACAAAGAAAGAAGTAAGCTGTCGACCGTGGTGTTTGCTAGTTCGAGGAATACAGAAGTCACCCAAGCTCAACGGCTAGATGATAACGAGTCCCCTGTCAAGGACAGGGACTATTTTTTGACATTGTTTGCCGCTCAGGCTTGGAATGTAATAAGAGCGCAATCTGTCAATACACTAGTGAAAACGGCCCACAAGACCTTGAATACGTCGGATCACTATACCGACTTCAATGAGCGACAAGCTTGCGCTGTCTTGAAAAGGATCCACGAGCTGCAATCCAACAATCGCTGGTCTTTTCGGCAAGTGGAGCGATCTGCAGAGCCCAAGAGATCAGTGACGCACTGGGACGTATTGCTTGGTCAAATGAAATGGTTGAGGACAGACTTCCGTGAAGAAAGAAAATGGAAGCACGCAGCTGCCAAACACACCGCATATGCCTGTGCAACATGGGTCGCCACTTCCCCAGAGGAACGTAGACTACTACAAATCAAAGTTCGATCTGTGCCTGCAAGGGCAATGTCAAGGTCACTCTCAGTATCGACACCAGACCTGGTACACTCGGCGGATGATGGGGCCAGCGAGGTGACCGACGATGACTTCTCCCGTGTGGATGGTACTGCGGGAAGTCCTCCTGCAGTGATCTTCTCTTTGCCCCCTGAAATATTTGTGTTTGGACTCAGCAAGAGCCCTGTGACTGAAAAGCTGATGCTCGAACTCCCGCTATACCGGCCGAGTACTTTGGTCCAGGACGCTGCATTGCGGGTTAACGATATTGAGTCCGATTCTGCTTGGAAGAAACCCATCGTGCCGGTATCTAAGTACGTGCAAGGCAAGATGATATCTCCGGAGGAAGGCCCGCCGCGTAAAAGAAGTCGATTTGATTATCAGGACCCCCCTGGTTCCCACAGCTACTCCTCTAATCTGGCTATCAAGGACTCGGAGAATGCTTTTGGCCCAGATCAAGAGGACGTCGCTTTGTTCGATCCTGAAAACAAGCACATCAGGGATCGCATACACGCTGGCCATGCCTTCAGACCTCCATCAGAACATAACATGCCATCACAGAATTTCTTTGAGTCCCGCCAATCGTCTCAGTGGACCCAAGCAGAGGATGACGAGCTTAAAAAATTCGTCAAAGATTTTGCCTATAATTGGTCGCTGATTTCAAGCTGTTTATCTTCGCCGTCAATGTTTTCGTCTGGCGCTGAAAGACGAACACCGTGGGAATGCTTCGAGCGTTGGATTAGCTTGGAAGGTCTTCCTGTAGAGATGGCCAAGATCAACTACTTCCGAACGTACCATCATAGGTTGCAGTGTGCTCAGAAGATGGTCGAGGCTCAGCACCAAGCATTACAGCAGCAACAGGGCAATAACGCCAATCAGATGCCGTTGAGACGTCGGACCACCCAGCCTTTCACCGTTGAACGTAGAAAGAACGCTAGGCACTTGCATCTCATTGATGCAATGCGGAAGCTGGCCAAGAAGCGCGAAACCGCGATACACAAGCAACAACATGGTATGTTCATTTCTCTGCTCACGAGCGTAAGTCACGAGACTTCCAAGCTGACTTTCATCATTAGTCGCTAGTCTTGCTGCAATGCGAAAGGACAGGGAAGCTACGAAGCAGAGGCCCCAAATGCACACTCCCCAGGAGTTCAGTCGCATCAAGTATGAAAGCCAACTCCGTATGGCAGAGCAAGCTAAATTACTCAGGGCCAACGCGATTGCAAATCAAAAGGTAACGTTTTCCCATCTTGTGAGTCTTACTATATTTTGCTAACCGTTGAGAAGGCTATACAGGCGCAGAAGATTAACCAACAGTCTACTCAACAAAGCAATGGGATGCAGTCTGTACGTATTCCAGGACCAGTGCCAGGAGTACCGAACGGAAGCAGTCCCAATATGGCAGCAGCGAATTCGCATGGACAGATAAGAGGAAGCGGGGGCGATTCCTCCAGACCAGTTCCGCAGATACCAAGGCTTATGAATGGCCAAACGAACGGCGTTTTACCCACCAACTCACACAGCGTCCCTCACGCTCCTATGCAGCCAAATATGCAGGCGCAAATGCAACAACGCGTGCCACCAATGGCACCCGACCGCATGATTCATGAAGCTTCTCGACTCCGAGAACAGCAAGCATACGTGCGACAGCAGCAGCAACAGCAACATGCTCAATCGAACAGCTTAGCCGGCTCTCCGCCCCTGCAACATCCGAACATGCTCTCGCAGAACAATTCCACCATGCTCGCTTCCCTCCAAGGCCGCTCCAGCCCGTCCATCAACGGCGCACCACCTCCCCTAGGCTCTTCTTCCTCGCCACGAATGACACAACCCCAAGCCCTCTCCAGCGGCATGACCCCAGCCGTCAATCAGATTTCCTCGCAGTTCAAAGCGCGCCATCCTCAAGCCAGTCCTGAACAGATCACTCGCATGACCACTGATCAGCTCTACAAGATGTCCAACGAAGCCCGGCAACAAGCCATGCAAGCAGCAGCGGGCAACTCCAACGCCGCTGCCGTTGCCGCGAATGCGAACATGGGTCTTCAAGTACCAAGCTCAATGCAGCAACAAGCGGCTATGATGACAAATGGAGGCGGCGGTCCCATGTTCAATATTGGAAATTCACAACAATACGCGCAGCTCATGCGGCAGCAGCAGCAAAGTCAGCAGAGAGGGGCAGGTGGGCAGGGAATGAATGGTGGAAGTAGAAGTGCTACGCCGATGGTGCAAAGGACAGGGAGCGCGCAAGGGGTGTCGAGGCCGAGTCAGAGCCCTTCTCGGCAGGTAGGGATAGCCGGAGGCCAATAGGAGAGCAATTCAAGTGGGTTATGATTTTGTATATACTTCATCTGTCTCTAGGCGTGTTGACGAGGGCGGATACCTCCAACGTCCGTAAGGGAGTGATGAATGGATGGCAGCGACTTGTAAATATGTGAAGTTATTGTCTCATTGAGGTCTCAATGAACGGAGAAGACTCAATTCTTTTTTTGACAACTTCATCTCTACTGATGAACCTTTATGTCCAAGCAAGGTGTGGAACGTTGAGGGATTGGGAACTCGGAAATGGCCGTTTTCACATCATTCTCAGGGCGAACTGAGCCGAGTTGGACAACTTTCCGGGAGCGCTCTCCCTTTTGGAACCCAGTTCCAACTCCAATCGGCCCTTGAGAAGACATGCTGACTTGGTAAATACACAATGGAATGGAGGAAAGCACGGGCAACACGCCAGGGATCCGAGGACCTCGATTCAACCTCGTTGAGCTGGTGCTGGTATGGAATCCCGTTCGATTTGGTAAAGTGTACTTTGTCGATGGGCTTATGGATGGTTTGGTGGGCTGTTTCCCGTCGCTTGTGCGTCGACCTTAAGTCGTCAATATCAACGCGTGAATCATCTTTTCAAACACAGCCTCATCCCGAAAATCCCGAGCCATGGAAAGCCATGTCTCAAGGTCCGTGAACGGGGTTGTTTTCAGCACGAAATCATAGAACGTTACAAGGATTGGACCGTAAAACAAGGAGGCAACGACGCTGTCTGACAGAGTGGTTTCCAGCATTGAAACTACATTAAATACTGAGTGCCCATCGCTATGCGGGCAGAACTTCCTTGCTCATGTCATAGTCAATCTCCCTGATACCGTCTTTATCTATGACCTTGACCAACATCTGAACGAAGAATTAGCCCATTCTGTGCAGCCTTGAGCGATACTCACCCCTTTGAAGTCTATAGGCAACCTCCGCTTCAGCTCGTCTGTGCACATCTTCAGTATCTTGAGCCCCTGCTCGAAGTCGATGTCTGGGTGGTGGTGTTTGTCGAGTATTGATAAGCAATAGTATCTAGGCCTTCGCTCAGCAAAATGATTCTCACGGCTGTGAACTTCTCTAACGGGGAGCTCAGGAAGAGGAAAACGACATACTGGGCATAGCCATGGGCTGCATATGGAAGCGGGGCCAGCGACGCCAAGTAGTCAAGCCAGTAGAGATGCGGTTCATTCGTGATGGGATCCATTCCTCCAAGAAGCAAATTTACCGTGTATGGTTTCCTTGACCTGAGACTTCTTGCCAACTCTCCGCGGACAAAGCTTGCAACGGCTGAAGGTCCCAAATCGGTATCATTTCGCATGGAGTAGAGCTGGATGTTGGCCTGTATGTATTCCGCAAATTGCACTACCCGCTGCAGATTAGCTAGCCATACTATTAGCGTATCTCGATGCCGCTTTACCTGTGTCTCCTGCTTCTCCTGAGAACGCCATCAACGTATGTTTGTTGAGCTGCTTCGTCTTGTCATCAGCAGCTTTGAGGATCGTTGCACCTCTCATTGCAGCCTTTGAAGCCGCAACGATGGTGTAATCCTTGCCAGTAAAGCCGAGTAGAACCTCCCTGCTGTCCTGTTAGCTGCTGTAGTACATTTTTGTAGATGTTGACTTACATCTTGGTGCGGAGTTAAGGATGAAGTTGAGAGGTGTAGCTAGCTACAGGTCGAGAGGTCTACGCGTGAACTAGCACGTCTAGGTTGGGATTGGGAAGGAAGGTTTAGCGAGACTGCCAAGATTTCGCGGCACTGCAATTATCAAAAGTTCTCGGAGCTCGATCCACGGATTTGCACTTGGGACACTCCCTCATTCAAGCTCTTGTACCAGCTTGAGAAGCTAGTGGCTCCCATGTCTTCCTTCTTCACTATCCCAGCGTCGCAACGAAAGCGCAAGAGAGACGAGGCCAATGTGGTTCCATCAACAAAAAGAAGAAATACAACTAAGACCAGTGCAAAGCCTCCGAGTAAAAAATCCGCTACAGCTCGACGAGATGAATCTATATCAAGCAGCGGCTCAGAGGACGAGGTGATTCGTAAAAGGGTTAACGATGCAGAGGCAGTCTCGGAGAACGAATCAGAAGAGGACGATGAGACGGGGGCGGAGAGACGTCTACGATTAGCGGAACAATATCTGGAGAATATAAAAGGGGAGGTAGACGAGGTTGGGTTTGACGCAGAAGAAATTGACAAAGATCTTATTGCCGAACGATTACAAGAAGACGCGGTATGTAGGCTGCCTAATTGCACATTGCTCTTCCCTGGATCCTCATCGCTCTACAGGCCGAAATCAAAGGTCGTCTTTACCGTCATATAGCCTCTACGCTCGATTTCTCCTCTGCGACGGAGACCTCATTTCGCACAACATGCTTGAGCACAACCTCTATAGCTACCTGTGCTCCCTTCGCATATACCGTCCACAAGGACCTTACCCTCACAAAATGGGAGCTCCCCACCCCGCCCCCTCCTCTGCCCCCAAATCGAAAACCCCCCATAAAACCTCCACGCCCGGTCCGCCGTCGGCCAACGAAGCTCATGACCACCAGGGGAGACAGGGGCAAGACTGGGGATCCGAACTACCAACACCACACAGCCCCCATACTCTGTGTCGCGGCTTCGGATACTGGCAAATTTGTTGCTACCGGGGGAGCAGACAAACGGCTTATCATCTGGTCCGCCGACAAACTCGAGCCGCTGCGTGTTTTTACACAGCACCGTGATGCTGTCACCTCCTTGGCATTTCGAAGAGGCACGAACCAGTTATATTCCAGTAGTGTCGACCGCACCGTCAAGATATGGGACGAATTAGCTTATGTGGAGACGTTGTTCGGGCACCAAGAGGAAGTGCTCGATGTGGCAAGCCTGGCGCTCGAGCGGTGTATAAGCGTTGGGGCTAGAGATCGCACGGCTCGCTTGTGGAAGGTTGTTGAACAGACACAATTGGTCTTCCGTGGCGGTGGCAGTTCGGAAAAGCGTCGACCGCGAAATAAAGATGGGGAGATTGCGGGGCTGAGAAGCTATGGCGAAGGATCCATCGACCGGGTCGCCCTTATCGATGAAGAGTCGTTCGTCACTGGAAGTGACAACGGCTCGATATCCCTTTGGACACTGCACAAGAAGAAGCCAATATTCACCATTCCACTAGCACATGGACTCGATCCACCAATGAAGCCGGAAGAGGCATCTGCAGAAGCCGAGCCGGATGCTAGGGTTCCGGAGCGACAGCCGAGATGGATCACAGCGCTGGCAACGGTCCCTTATTCTGATGTTGTTTTGAGCGGCAGCTGGGATGGTCAGGTGAAGGTCTGGCGAGTAAGTCAAGATAAGAAAAGGCTGGAGTCGATGGGAGTCGTTGGAAAGGTTCAAGGCGCAGATGAAGATGAAAAGACGGCTGGTGTGGACGTACAGGGTGTCCAGGAGGAGAGAAATGTGCGGGGCATCGTTAATGACCTCTCTGTTTTTGAGAGAGGAGATAGAGGGAAAAACGGACTATGTGTTGTCGCTGCACTGGGAACGGAGCATCGACTGGGAAGATGGAAAAAAGTCTATGGCTCGAACAGACCTATTGTTTTTGAGGTGCCTAAGATAGTAACAATTGCAGAGGCAGAGGCAGAGGCAAAGGAAGAGAAAAGAGGTTGGGATGGGAAGGAGATTGTGCAAAAAGAACCGCAGGATGTATAGCTGCATTGTTTTAACAAGCTCTCTGTCGCCTATCCGTGGCAAAGGTCGGCCGCACACAAATTCGTACAGCACTGAACATGTATGATATGCTATGAAGCTATGCAAATTAGTTGTGGCTGCTGAGGCGCTGGTGTACATGCAACAGTAGTAGCCCGCAAGCTCGAAATGGATGTTGGGCCACCGAAGCGCTTCCCGCTTCCGCCAAAGACGCTGTAAGCAATGTTAAGCAGACGGGCATCTATGTCGCGCCTTACCAGCTTGGGATGACTAGGCACCACGAGAAACACCTATTGTCAGCTCATGCATGAAAGCCTAGTGACCCTTCAGGCAAGCTGCACCGGTCTCTTCCCGCTCGTTTCCCTTGGTCCGTGTTCGGGTGTCTCTTGATCCTACGGGGTTTCATCAGAGGTCTTCATATTGATTCGATGAGCCTGGCGAGGGTGACAGTCCACTTTGGGGCCTCGCTCTCTGCTCTCGCTCTGCCTTGAGGCGCCGACGTTCAGCTCTCCTCTCAATCTTCTGTGCTTGACGGTCACGTCTTCCCTGCTCGAACATTTCCATTGCCGTTGGTGAGTGATACTGCCTAGATGTTGGGCTATGCGGATGCGCAGGAGGGGGAAGTGGACTGCGACGCCGCGTGCCTCGACGCTGCTGTAGCCCGTTAGACGGGGAAGCATTGGCTGGGGAACGTCTTGTAAAAATGCCCTGAGGCGAGTTATCCGCTCCACGGTTGGTGCGAGTAGGAGCCCGCCTGCCGATGTTCAGAGAGCGGTTTGGATGACGGGCAGATCGGGAACGTTGGGGGAAAGCTCCAGGGACAGGAAGCTGGCGGTTTGCCGATCTCGTCGGACTTGACTCGATCAAGATTGGCGAAGATGCACTGCTGGTCTGACTGGCCGGTAGGATGCCTCCAGTCCTACGAGCGATCCAACCAGCAATCGGTCTTGGGGAGTCTCTACCGACAGTAGCCGTACCACTACTGGCCTCCACGGCACTGTCATCGTCCGATGTGAGACGATTCGGAATAGCTCGCCTTCTTCTCGTATGCTGAGCAGGCACAGGGGAATCAGAATCACTTTCAATCTCGAATGGGCCGCCTGTGGATCTTTCACCACTTGCACCTGGGTTTCTATGGGGAATGTTCCGTTGCGCGTTCACAGATACACGGCTGCCGCTGTATCCGTTTCTCACGCGAAGGGCATTCAAAGCCTGCGAAACGCCACTGCCATCACTGCCACTGGACTGGTTAGACACCACTGATCTTCGTCGAGCTTGTCGCCTGGAACGCAGGATTGGGCCTTCGTCGGACTCGTCTCCAGGGTCATATTGAGCAGTTGCAGATGATGCTTCGTTACGAACACCATTCGCAATTGCTGAGGCGTCTTCCTCTTGGCTGTTTTGATCATTGTCGGAATTTTGCAGTTGGTTACCCTCCCCATCCGTTCCTTCATCCGTTTCCCAATGCAAGCTTCTGGTCGAACTTGTAACGGAGTGATGACCATTTTCGACATCGTTGACAACGAAATCATCGAGTGAGCCAACCTCCTCACCTTGACTGCCTTCATCTGTATCATCAAGAAAACTATCGTAAGGGCGCTCGTCCTCTGAATTTGCCCGCAGTCGATTGAGCTGTGCCGTAATCCGTCTACCTCTGTGACGCATTTGCGGCGGGTTTCCGTCAGAAGAACCATTTTCACTCGAATATCCGTGCTCGGAGAAGTCGAGATTCGGGATATACCCATCCATACGAGCATCTTCACCAAGGGCTCCCACAAGTTCTTCCATAGTAGCCCCTTCCATATCGTAGAGGTCATCATCCCAATGTCCATGGCCGTCAGAATCACTCATTTCGGCCGAGTCTTCCCCCATTGGATATCCACAAGATTCACAAAGTCCGTCTTCAAGCTCCCACGTGCACCTTGGACAACGATCAACACCATCTTCATCGTCCCTAATGACATTCAATTGTCTTCGACGTGTCAGTTTGAAGCAACCTCGGAAAAGGCCACCTTTAAGGCCGGTAGTTGTCCTGTCTTTTTCGACCAAAGCCGCCTCCTCGTCCTGCCATTTTTTGTGTTCCTGGGTAGTTTCACCGACAGGCATGAGCTCTGCCCGCTTTGCGAATATTTGCGTCATATCACGAATCTGGTAAACTTCAGTGAGGGCCTTGGAGCGGTATAGGGACAATTGCTTACAAGATAGGCCGGGGCGGGCGGACGTAGCACATCGGCTCGGCAGTCGGGGCAAGATTTCTTGGTCCGGTCCCTCTCAAACCAACGAACAAGGCAACCGTAGCAGAAAGTGTGGCCACATTCGATGGTGTAAGGTTCAAAGAGAGGGCGTACACAGACTCGGCAGGTAACGAGGGTTCGTATGTCGTCGAGGCTCGTTTCCAGTGTTTGTAGTAGTCCGACGGGGTCATCTCTTCCATCTCGACCCTGCTCTGGTTTGCTGCCGGAGTTTCTCCTGACTGTTTTGGCGACTGAATCTCCCATTATGATTCAAATTGCGGTGCTAAGCCCGAAAAACGGCGGTGCTACGCCCAAAAAGAGGTAAGATTGACGAGAATGCGGAGAATAGGGTGGATTCACAGCTGAGCATTTGCCATCAAACCCCTTTGATGTGACTGATGTTCTCTTGTAGTAGTCAGACTGCTTGCGGCGTTGGTGAAATGGCTGAAATGAAGTGTAATGAAGGTTGTACTTCAAAGAAGAGAAGGGTGATGTTTGATAAGTCTGGAGGGGAAGAAGAACGATTGGTTGAGCCGAATCAGGCTTAGATTCGGGCTCGGTTGAACACACTAAGGTACTTTAGCGCCACCATCCCGCTCCTTCTTTCTTCCGAGTTCCCAGGCTTCCTGAAGCAGGCACGGAGAGGATTGTATCTTACATTTCGGAGTGTCATTTCTTTCTATTCCAGATCATTCTTCGGTTTGCATAAACACATCTCGGGACCAGGCTGCCCTTAGTTCTTTTTCAATCTATGTCACTGCTCGGGATTTGCCTTGGAAAAAGAACGCTGAAGTCGGAATTTCTTAGATAGTCAGGTATCTTATGACCACAAAAGATTGGCAGAGAAAACGTTATGTGGGTTGAATGGTAAGATATCGCTCAGATTTCGCCAGCCTCAAATCTGGATTTCTGCGTAGACAGCTACGAGAAGAGACCGCTCTGCGGCGGCATCCTGATGAAGTATGTTGTGTACGCAAGCATTTTAGTCTACTTCTATCAGGGTATATCGCAGCGAAGGTGCAGATATGCGACCAAACAAGTTCATCACGGTCAAGGAAGCCGCTGATCAAAGTACACAACTCGCTGAATACCGTCAATGAGATTCATCAGCTGCCGTTATCACTCTCGCTCCATTCTGTCACCCGCTGAATTTGAAGGCTCGCTCACTCGACCCTCGCGCGGTTGCTCTCGGCAAAGTCGCTGAAAAGATGGCTATTGTCAATGCTGCCCTTTGTCACGAACTCATCATCGATCATTTCCTTGTTCATGTGTGCGAGAAACAATTCCTGATCATGAAGGAATGCCTTGAGCGCCTTCGTGCTCATTTTTCTACCGCTTCTCTCCGCATCTCTCATTGCCTTGAGCTGATTGCGAATTCTCTCTTCGAGAATTTCCAGGCGGTACTCACAGAATTGGGAGTAGAGTTCCGACAAGTTCGAGACTGGGCGGACAGTGGTAAGCACGGTGTCGTCCCTGAAGGTGTGGCATTTGGGACGGAAGGATGTCACCATCGTGACCCGCTCCGTTGACCCGAGAGCGCGTAGAGCTTGGTGCTCGATGTAGCGGCCTTGCAGCACAACAGCACAACCCTATCAAATCGTAAGCTTATCTCGCTTCAAGTCCTAGGTTCACATACCATCTGAGGTCCTCTGACTTTGATGACATCTCCATTTCCAGTGCGTAGTACAGTCTCTCCGCCAATCATATTAGTACAGTCGCTGAGCATGGTAACGCAAACGAAAGGATAGCTGTCAGTGTGCCAGTCGACGATGGGTTTGTCATCTTCCCATGGGCAGCCGGCAATACCCTCATCGTCCTCGGTCAGCTTTCTGTCCAAGAATGCCTCAAGTTCTTCCGCTTTCTGCTTCTCTGATTTGACGGAGATGTTGATATGGGCAATCTCGAAATCCATCTCTGTTACAAGTTGGACACCGGCAATATTAGACATGATCGCGAGCGTCTCAGGGTTCTTCCACGCATCGTACACAAAGGGTGCATATCTGACAAAAGATGTTAGTGGAATAGGAGAAGGAAGATGAGTGGATGGAAGAGGTTGTCGTGGTTCTTTGCTTACTTCGCAGCGAAACCTCTCAGCTGACACTGGGCTAGGTTGCTCGAGTATTTGCAGTTTTCCAAAACTTCTTTGCTGAATATCTCGGCTCTCATGCGTTGCACGGCCTCCTGAGTGAAAAGCTGAAAGGGATCGGAGACAGCAAATGGGGACACTCCGGTACCCTCAGGAAGTTTCAAATCGCTCATCGTCAGGGTCTTGGCTGGTGGTGTGAAATCTATGTGCTTCTTGGGATCGAAATTGTCGGTGCTCAGCGTGTTCATCGACATCGCTTTGATGACTGGCCCGACGTGTGCGCGCGTGTCGTCCATGAGTGACTCAACTTCCGCGGTAGCCATGCCAGCAAGAAATTAATGAAGTTGTGGATTTCCGGGCCTAAATGATGTTGTAAGCAAGAGCTAGAAGCAGCTAGAAGCAACAAAGACGACTGAAGGAAGCAAGCAATAAGTAGGTAACAAAGATGGTCCGCGTTAGATTGTAACCACGAATAAGAGAAGGCTCTGATACAGAGAGTGAATCTGAAGGATTGAGAAAAATAGCGAATCTGTGTGTGAGACGACACAGAAGGACCGTATGACAAGGCCAGAGTGTTGTTATCTTCACACTTACTGCTCTTATCTGGCGAGCGCCAGGAATTTAGCTTTATAAATGTTGATAGTAGAGTAGGTTCTTGCTCGGACGCGGGCGACTCTTATATGCCAGAGTCTTATGAAGAGATGGACGGTATTTCGCGAGAAGTCGATCTTTCTAACGCGTATCAATACTTGGGCGCGTCATTCCCACCAGTTGGGTTGTGCACTGAAAGTTCCAAAGCCGACATTGGTTGGTGAATATATGCGTATCAAAAAGATAGATTTTTCAGCCGTACGAGTACAATGCACCTACAACATAGACACTTTGTTATGGCAAGAAAACCCAATTCTGGCTTTTACGCGGGGTTCCCCAAAGCACGTTGGCACCTCTAATTTACAATCTAGGTTGATACCCCTCCACACATCGAGATGCATGCAGTTCTTCTGGATAGAGATGGAGACGGATTTGCGGAGTAAAGCTGTCACCAGCGCCGCCTCAGCCACTTCCTGCATCGGAAAGGAACCGACGGAAGGTATGGGCCATGGTAAAAGCATCTGTGGGAAAGTCAGAAGGTGACCGGGGTGGAAAGGATACCAATCGCTGATATGTTATATGGATTCAGTTACTTTGTTCGGTTTGGTATGCGGCTAGACCGGATCATGCGATTGTGCCGAGACTAAATACTCGTGCGACCAGGAAATCTAATCATCTATCTCTTTGTCACAGAGATATCCACCAATAATGTCGGGTTTGCAACCCTCTATGAACAGCTTAATTGGTGGGTATATCCGTGTCGGACTGTTGATGAGGATCGACTCCTCGACCGCACGAGTATCTGCTCTCTTCCAACGGGCACTAAGATCCTTGACGCTTGAAATTCTCTCTTCCTATAGGTCTATACCAGTCATGCAGGGATGCCATGCAGTAAACCTTCTCAAACTCTATCCAGATGTCTCTCAAATAGCAAATGCCTTAACATCAATGACTAACAATTACACACTTTCGACGTCCACACTCGGAGTAAGTAACATTCGAGAACGAGCGCTCTGCAGGGAAGATGACAAAAACCAATGAATTACGCGAACGGATACGACCGAGTCGTATTTCATCTAGCAATCTCATAGGACGGTCTGGATCCAGATGCTTGATATGGACAGACAGTCATCATTCGATAAGCTGGAGAGCAGTGCAAGCTCCAAGCTAGCGACCCAGGTGGTCAAGCATAGGTCCCAGAAAATTCGGCAGCTGCACATTTGTCCTGCATGATTTGAGAAGCGAGCGTGCTTCCACACGATGATTGTCTGCCCAACCTTCACTTAGGACCCAGGGGACAGAACCGAAGCAAGATTGCTGCCGATGTTAGCCGCTGGTTGTTTCTTGGGTTTGCAAAAATCGGTAGAGTCTGCATCATGCAGATCAACTTCATCAGTCAGTATATGCAATCTGTCGGTTTCGGACTTGAGAGGGGTAATGTGGTTGGAAAGTTATAGCACTGGTCTAAGGTACCTAGTTGGAAAGATGACGTTGAAGTCCCCTCGGTCCTTATCGGTTAAAGTGCTGATAGCGCTAAAGTAGCCTACCCGAGCTTGAGCGCTACCTACTGTACTACTAGACAAGAATAGAACCTCGATTCATGCAGATGGAACTCTGGGCGCAACAACCTTTCAACAATCAATTGCTCCTTCACCTGCACTACCAACTCACAAATATGGCCCAGCCCGGTGGATCTGACGAGTCCCCGTGGGCCAAAGGAGAGGCCGCATTTACAAGGTGCCCTCCCAAACCTTGTCTGCATTCTGAAATACTCATTTCATAATGCCTGCGTGCCTGCGTGCCTGCCTGCGTGCCTGCCTGGACCTCATACCTTCTAATGCCTCAGAACTGACGACTTGGTAGCAAGGAGTACAGCAAATATTTTGACCCGTGTCAGGACGCAGCGTCCCGTAGCATGAAATGTTTGCACCGCAATGGAGGAGATAGGCAACTGTGCTCCGACTATTTCCAGTGAGTCTGCCTAACCTCTGCTTTCGGGAGCTCCAAGTCCAGGACGATATCGGAAGCCCGCCACCCGTCTTGTGAATCCACTGGCTGATGAACCTATTTATCAATGCAGGGCATACAGAGACTGCAAGAAGGCATGGGTGAGCATCGGAAAGCAAAGTCGTTAGTCGGGCACAAATGCTGATGATAGTGCAGACTACCGAGCGCAATGAGGCGAAAAGGAGGCAATCCAAGGGGTTCTTCCCAGAATAAGCTGAAGTCTGCTAGTGGTATTGGGTAAACCCGGAGAAAGGGATAGTAATCAGTGTTCTGGCCGTGGAGATCGACAGGCACTGCGATTGTTAGCTACAATCGGGCATATATCACGGTGATTACGAGTCCTGGGATAATGGAAATACCCAAGTAAAGAGTGTGGAGGGGCAATCGTATTCAGAAGTATCGAAAGCAGAAGAGAGCCAATTCGAAACACGAATGGAAGAGTAGGCTCGGGGCTTACCTTATGAGGCTTGTCTCCATTTCGCCGCGGAGAGCTGATGACGCGATGAAAATAACTTCGGGATTGAGGCGGCTCTGCGAGTCGCCCGCGTGTGTTCTGTCACACGTAGACAAACCTGGATTGAGCATAGGATTACACGAGTATCAAAGCCGGCTGTCAACCGAAAAGTCTGTGTAGCTCACGATCGCGCGGCAGCACCAAGCAGTTACTGCAATGCAACCCGATCCAACGCGACATTCGCTGAGACCCCTTGCCACAATCTTCCCAGTCACAAATCTAGATGCACTACAACCTATCTGTTTTGGCCGCAGCCTCCTTACACCTTTACTTGGCCCTGTCGTCTTTGTGGCCCAACCGCATGTGCGCCTTGTTATCGAGATTTACTGAGAACGTCTCGTTCCTGAGAGCAAGAACGGGAGAGCTCGAAAATTAGTATCCAACTATCTATCAGAGTTACAGCTACTAGACCTCGGCCTGTTGGGATATTTGCCAGCTTTGGGGCCGGTAAAAGAGAAGAGCGTTTGTAGTAAGAAAATCTTTGGGGTCGTAGCCGACAGAGGTGAACGAACTCAACGAGGCATTGGAATGTTGTCCAGAAACACTCAGCAAGAGTTCTCATGCTCTCATGAAGCCAAACGCTCAATTCCGATAAGAAGTGCAACGAGATGTGAAGCGCGATCGCCAAGCATTCTGGTAACCTGGCAAGGTGCCAACACAAAAGTCGAAGGTACGAATCCCTAACAATAGCAGCACCAACGAGGAGGAAATCCGCTGTCTAACCTTCTTCTTGAAGCAGTCATAGTCAGTCAAAGTTGAGGTTTCTCTTCGAGTTTCACACTGCTGTCTTTTCTGATAGCTTGCCGAGCGAATGGCCGAACGGACATAATAAATCTTATGAAGCTTAAACCCGATCCATCATAAATCCCACGAAATAGTTGCGTAAATTGTAAATAGTCAATCACAAAGTGTCGGGCATCGAGCCCAACATGCCTACTCTCGACGGGCAAGATGACCTTTTGGATGAGCTTATCCTAGCCAAACAGTGGAAGCAAGCCTTGAGTCTGTGTGAGAAGAAGCTGAAGAAGGCAAATAGTAGCGATTATCTGCTGGTTTGTGACCCTCCGTCCTCAATGACTAACGACTTGGAGCCTTCATGCTCAAATAAGCGCAGGTCAAGAAGATCAAGGTACTTCTTTTGTGGCCAGAAAAGACACGTCATCAGCAAGGATTAAAGGAGCTCGGCGTCCTACTGGAAAGAAATCCTCCAGTGGTCGACATCGAAACTCTTCGTACTCTAGATACTCTCGCTGAGGCGAAAGGACAGAATGAGCCAAGGCTACGGCAAGTATGGCAAAGAGCCGCAGGAGTGCGCCCTCAGGATGAAAAGCTGCACGTGGTCTGGTTTCGGTCGAAATTCCAGGTCGGCAATCTGAGAGCTGCACAACAGGCCTCTCAGTCTTGGATGAAGAATTTTCCGAAGAACCGAGAACCCTTCTTCCTCTACATTCTCACAATGCATAAGCTTGCCGAAGACTCGGCCACACCGGAGTCGGAACGAACGCTGTTGCGATCTTTGGCCTATAAATTCCTGTCGAAAGCTGCCTCAGAAGTTTCAGACGGGGTAGAAGGGATCAAACCCACCAGAGCTATCAATAAACTGGAAGATCTTCTACTCCTAATCAGAGTGTATCGAGCGCAGGGGAAATACTCAGAAGCGGCCGCCATCGTCAGAGGTTCTCGTATGGGTATGGAGTCTCCGCTCGGAAGGAATTCATGGGAGCTTGTCAGGCATTTAATCGAGTTGCTGGAAATGAGCCATCAATGGGTAGATTCATGGCAGCTCTGTCAGCAGCTCCTAGTTGATGCTCGTGACGAATCTACTGAGAGGCGATCTCATTTGACACATTATCCTTTTGGTAAACTGGGAGATGACTGGAAAGTGTGGCAGGCACTTATCACGGCAAGCAGCAACATCGGTACTGAAGAGTGAGTGGGCATCGCTCCTTGTCTGTATTAAAAGCCGAATCTGACAATCAAAGGCGATCAACGATCACGGAAAACTTGATTAATTCGTTCGGTACTGGCATGCCTAGCTCTCGCAACGCTCAACTCGCTTTGCTCAAATTCTACTCATGCAAGGTTGCTGCACGAAAAAATTGCCAGGATCAATTGCTTTCCTCGTGCTGGGAATACTTCAAAGACTTTTCAACAAAGGTCGCCTGCTTCCATGATCTACAGCCATACATCTCATCTTTGGACAGGGTAAAGCAAGAGAAATTGGTCGAGCTCTCAAGTGATATTGCTCGAGAGATTCGACCCGAGCCAGAGAGTTCAGAGGTCAGTGAATCGAGTGGATTGATTGACCCTTACTAAACTCAAATCGCAGTCAAAAAAGGTGCTGTGGATCACATCAGAGATCAACGTGCTGAAGCTCGAATATAATCTCGTTATCTCGAGAGACGACAATACGTTCAAGGATGGCCTCCTCCAAGAATTTGTTTGCAATTGTCTCCGACTCTATAGGCTTTCATTGAAATATGATCTCAAACTCCCAGTGAGCGATCGCCTACCCGGAGATGACGCAGCTTTGTTGGCTGCCATGGGTCTCATTCGTCTATACAAAACTCGGCAAAAGTACCCAGAGCACAATAACGCATTGTTGCGAAGCGTTGTTGTCCTGGAACATCTGCTCCTGCGCTCCAAACACAACTACGACGCGTTATTGATCCTAGTCCGGCTCTACATATTTCTAGGTGCAGGGTCTCTGGCCATGGAGCGATACTCTCGGCTGTCAATAAAAAACCTACAACATGCGACAGTCTCGTGGGTACTTTATACCCGTATATCGACAATGCACCCGCATCTGGTGACCATATCTCGTCCGAACGGCGGAGGCCAGATAACTATCGACCCGGCATTCGACATGGCCCAAGCGTTAGACTGGCATAAGTCTGCCTCGGATCTCAGCAAAAGATCTGTAACATCGATGCAGGAAAACGGCCAGTGGAGCATGTCCTTGGACGCTCTCTCTACCAGCACTCATATCGAGTCCGGATTCTCAAAGCTTCTGCTTCTCGTTGAGACTAAACGGATAGCGCGCTTTGTCTCCGTGTCTCATGAGATCCAAAGCCTGGATATCAGTAAGTGATGCAGTGTCAATACTCATGGGTTTAATGCATTCTTGCTAACACTATCAAAGTGCTAATTCCTCCTCGGACAAAGGATGCCCGGGACCGATTGGCGTTTCCAAACTACGAAGCTCATGGCCAGCTCACATTCGAAGAAACTCTACCCTCAGCAGGCCCAACCATTGATACAAACGTAAGCGTGAGGGTGAAACATGGTATTACAAGAATATCCCACTGACCTGTAAATCCTAGGATAAATGGTTGGAGCACCAACTCAGCCTGGCAAAGTTCTGGGACATGCTCCACAACAACGGTCATAGCTCGATCGATGAGGCTGGATTGGCTGCAATGAAACAGAACAGCGGGTCAGACCCAAATGCCTCTACCGACGCGGAGTCCACGATAGGCGTGGTTCTAGAAATCCTTCAGGAGCTATACATGGTCTTCTACCAAAAGCCACCAACGATTGAAGGGAAGTTTGTCGGCGCATGGCTTCGCAACACTGTGGACAATCTCGAGGTGTATATTCCTACCGGCTCGCAGACCCTAGAGTCAAACATGAAAGCCGGAATGAATGCTTCTGCACGACTGGGGAAGAGCCTGAAAATACCGCTTTGGAGTTACTTTCATTCTATGTATACCTACTTGGAGCTTTGCAAATATTTGATTCCACTCCTCGACTACGTGCTTGCAGAGAATCGCAAATGCAAACATGTCGATGCCACTTGGCTGGGCTCCAAGCTAGCAAGATTTCGAGAAGAAGGCAAAAAGCTGTCTGTCAATGTTCGGCTCTCTGTGACAGAGCTGCGAGATAAGCTGCGAGGCCCCGCTGTCCTTCAAGAAATCACTGGAGAGGTATCAAGGGTTACCAACAAAGATGAATTGGAGGATGTGATTGGGACGGAGCTCCGTTGCTTGGGGAAAGAGTCAACTATGATCTGCAAAGACATACAAGAAAGCTGGATCGAGGCATTAGATGGAATCATTACGAACCAAGGTCGCATAAATTGAGGAACTATGAGAGGGATTGCATGCTTGGAAAAAAAAGGGGCTTCATTTGCATAGCGTGGGGCGTTTCGAGCACAAGATACCCTTTTGCATTGACAAGGTCAGCGAGACATCTGGCCGAGTATATGGAGAAACCCAAACAAATCATTTGCACACTACCTACGCATTGGACATTCATAGCTTCTCCAAATAGAGCCAGGGGTGCAGGAGCGATGAGCATTGCCCTCTTACAATGCAGTGACCTTTGCATTCGCCGACTTCTCAAGCTCACAGCCGATCCTCTTCCGCCTTTCTCCTCTCCTGAACCTTCACCATCAGCTCCCTCTTCTCATCTCTCAACGTCACATAAATCTGGTCCGCTGTCAGCAATCATCCCTGGAAGTCCGAAGGCTCAAGCACGGCCACTCACCCAAAACCACCATAGCATCTCCAAAAACCCCCAAGTAAACACCACACTATTACACAGCACCTCCCCTCCCCTCCTTCCCTTCCCACCCCACAAGCCCCCCGGCTTGCCCGCGTAACTGTACCCGGTAACCGCAAAGAAGAACGTCAACCTGATCGGCGCCTGGCTGCTCCAGTAATGGCTACCCACCTCTTCCGGTAATCCTGAGCTCGTCAAGTCCGATATAGCGAATAGAGCGAGGAACAAGGCGGCGAGGGTGGAAGCGGGGGAGGGCGTGGAAAGGGATATAGGAGGGTCGGGGATGTCCATTGCGGCGCCGAGGACATAGACGAGGTTTTGTGAGGCGATGGTCGAGGGTGAGGTGAAGAGGTAATAGGAGAGGGTTAGGTGGAAGAGGGAGAGAGTGCGGAGGAGTGATTGAGCAGAGAGGATGGCCATTGTGGGCTTTGGAAAGGTTTTTATGCGCCCAATTGGTTTTCTGGCAGTAAGCAGGAAGCTACAGTTGAAGCCGAACAGGTCGACGTGGGACCGAGGTTTGCCCGCGTGGGGGGGGGGAGGTGCTCTCCGCTTGTCCTCCCCTTCCTAGCCGTATAGACTCGTTGCTCGTTCTTAGCATGAAGAAACAATGCCCGCCTCCATCACCCATGCCTCCCTGAACAAAGAAAAGCACGTCAAATACTGGCTCCGCTGCCTGAAAACCTACCTCCCAAACGCTTACACCTCCAATGAAGCACAGCGCATGAGCTTGGCCTTCTTCATTCTCTCCGCCCTCGATATCCTCGGTGCACTCCACACCAAAACCACTGCCTCCGAGCGCGCAGGATACGCGAATTGGATACTACGCTGTCAGCACCCTGATGGAGGCTTCAGAGGGTTTACGGGTACGATGACAGGGGATGAGAACAGGAACGAATGGGATGCGGCGAACCTGGCTGCTACGTATTTTGCGTGCGCGTCATTGGCGGTGCTAGGGGATGGTATGGAGAGGGTGAGGAGGAGAGAGTGTTTGGAGTGGGTGAGGAGGTTGCAGAGAGCGAATGGGAGCTTTGGGGAGGGGATAGGAAAAGAAGGCGTGGTGGAAGGGGCTGAGGACATGAGGTTTTGTTACGTGGCTGCAGTGACGAGGTGGTTCCTGAGGAGGGGAGAGGATATGGAAAAGGTGGAGGACATCGACGTTGAGGGGTTGGTAAAGTGGATTGAGGCTTCCGTGGTGAGTAGAAAGTCTGATGACGGCATGGTATGCGCATGATGCTGAATTTGTCAGACTTACGAAGGAGGCATTGCGCAGGGTCCGTTCCATGAGGCACATGGTACGCAACATGTCGCTCTTGTTGCCGGGTGAAGAAGCCCTACTCATCTGCGTGTGCAGCTGGGTATACGTACTCTGGCGTCGGTGCACTAATGGTACTTGGCAAGCTGCCACGGCGTACGAGCGATTCAAAGGACGAGGGGAGGATGAGCGCAGAGTTCGTGGAGAGCGTGACCAAATGGCTCGTGTTGCGGCAAACGCTGATGCTGCACGAAGAGGATGAACTCCCTATGGCAGACGAGGAGCCACCCGATACGACGCTGGAATCCTTCCCTCCTACCTTTCATGTCCAAGGGGCCTTCCCTGTGTCGGTCGCAGACGCAATTCTTCCAAACGGTCTAATCGAGATGTCACCACACGATCTTCAGTGGGCTGGGTTCAACGGTCGATGCAACAAGGTAGCTGATACATGCTACGCTTTCTGGGTTGGAGGAACATTGGGGGTGAGTTTCTGCTATACTGTATGACCGAGCGTCAGCTGACCAGCGGCCGGGACAGATGCTGAACAGAGAACATTTGCAAGACTTCAACGCCATTCGCCACTATCTGCTAGACAAGGCACAACATATGATCGGCGGTTTTGGTAAACTGCCTGGTGATGTCCCTGGTCCGTATTCCTCCATAGCTACCAAGCTTGAGCGGCAATCTAACATCAGATCCACCAGACATCCTGCACTCAAATCTCGGTCTCGCAGCCCTGGCGATCATGCATGACCCAGATCTGAAAAGTATAGATCCGACGCTATGCATCAGCCTCAGTGCGAAAGAGAACTTTGAAAAAAGCTTCCCTTCTCAGCAAGCACGCGGCAATCTTCATGGTTCAAATACAGCCAAAAGCATGCATTGATACAACTACGAGTCCCATTCATGTTCCTGTCGGGCCACAAACCCCCACCGTTTGTATATTTTCAAAGCTCAAACAGTAATTAGAAGGATCGCATTTGCTGCTCAAGTATTTTGATTCTCTCAGTCAGAGGTCCAACGGACAGACGTTGTGAAAAAGGTCCCACAATAAACACTATTCTTGACGTCGAGCAGACTCTGGACTGGCAAATTTCCTGCTCCAGTCCTTCACAGCTCAACCCCTTGCAAAAGCACATTCCTGGCGCTAGTCCCGATGGGGACCTCACTCCCATCTGAGTCACGGCTCAATCGTTTCAAAAGTGGTTCATATAAAGAAATGCGCAAATTTTCCCTACAAATGGCTCAAATAGCTCAGGGGTTTAGAGCATGGATTTGCAGTGTCCAGGGTCCGCTGTTCGAATCAGTGTTTGAGCTTTTTTTTGTTTTTTTTGGACTTTACTGAACGCTCTCCGTCTTGCTCGGTAGGGACGCTGAGGCAGCAGTCGTTTGGTGACCGACCACCTTTTTTCCACATTTTTCCCGCTGGATTTCCGGATTTTGATTTACTAGCCGGGATACGATTACGTGCCAAGAGAACCACTTTTGTACCTATGTAATTCATTCTCTTTAGGGTTGATTCAAGTGATAGCCCTCAGGGGAGGTCAAGCCCCCGGAACGAAAACCAATTGTTATACACGATTGAACTATTTGAAAGAGAAAAGAAGGAGTTTGTTTATGAATCTCCTAGAAGAGCGCAAGATTCAAATCGCTTCTGAATATACGACTGGAGTTCTCTAGATATTCGACCTCGGATATCGCTTTCCGATCAAGATGTATTTATTGGAAAGCTTGCTTTCTCATTACTCAAGACTGAAATCACAAAATGTTCGACAACCATAAATTTAAAGTTGACCAATCAGGTCTTCAGATTTCGTGATTTTGAAGCTAAAACTCACTGTATTTCTTCATTTCTAAGCTAAAAGCGGGTGCACACGGGTACGTCCAAAAGAGGAAGCACCATAAGGCTGAACCTCGAACATCAACTTTATCAATTTATTCTATTTAATTCCTTTAACGTTACGTAATAAATGATAATAAAGTAAATTTATAGAGTTATAGAGTTAATTATACGCTTTTAAATAAAGTAGCGAAGACGAAATTTGATAAAGTATTCGTAAAGATATACTAAAAACTAAGATTTTTATTCAAATTATCGAGTTTGCGAGAAGAGCCTCTCCGGCGGGAGCCCTCGGAGAGCCCTCGGAGAGCCTCCGGAGGGTTAGGGGGGTTTCAGGGGGTCTCCCCCTGAGTATATTAACTATCTCTCTCGATTCTCAGGGTTAGACCCCTTAAAATCCCTTAAGTCCTTCGGAGCTCTTTAAGGGCTCTCCGAGGGCTTCTATCGGAGGGGCTGTCAAAGTAAGCTCGAAATCAATCAAATATCACTAAAATAATCAAATTTCGAGCTTGCTTTGACAGCCCCTCCGATAGAAGCTCTCGGAGAGCCCTTAAAGAGCCCCCGAAGGGTCCGAGGGGTTTTAGGGGGTCTCCCTGAGAATTAATCAGTCAAAAACCAGTACTCGGCAAGCTTTTCACTACTGGGAAGCCCGCGCCCCAGCACATATTATTTCCATGCACGTACGTAGGGCTGGTATTTGTGGCTAGCCAAAAGGGCCCTCGGTGGCTACCGGCCTTGATTAGCGGTGTAATAAATAATGGGCGTTCCACATCTAAGGGACCTACTTGTTATTCAATCAATGACAAGACTGCATGCTTTTTGCGGCGCCTAAATTGCTATAATACATATAATGATACCCACCCATCCCCCCTTATGAAGGCCGCCAAAAGGTCCCTAAGGTGGAGTTTCTTTGCCCACTGGTGCCTGTCCAGTCTCCTCGACTTTGATCGTATGCGTGTTTGCCGCTGGATTACTGTCCTGGTGAGCCTTCCGGTCGCCTATGCGGTCGCTCCTAGTAGGCTGGACGATCCTTCCCTTCTCATCTCTAGGCTTCCTCTCCCAGCCCGTCTTCAGGCCGCGGGTAAGCTTGAAGCGTGGGAATATATGAGCTTCCGTGTTGATGACAATAGACTCCAATGGTAATAAATCATTAGGCGAGAAAAGAAGATAGAAGTATTTGAGAGTCTCGGCCTGATACTGTCAGCTCGTGGGTCTCGTCAGCAGCAACCTGGTGTGCCACTCACCAGCCAAAAGCTCTCCATGTTATCTTTCAGCAATGGGGGTATCTCGTTTGCGTTGGCAAGGCTGGTAAAGCCAGCTCCGTCCTCTGCCGCACTGTACTTAACGAATGACGTGAACATCTCCCAACCCCACTCGCGGTACTTCTCGTCGCCAGTGATCCGCCACATATAGAAGAGCGACTCAACTGTTTCTGGGCGCTGTAAATTATGGCGGTCGTTAACTTTGATGATATAGTCATCCTTCCA